GGCTTTATGGTTTAATAGCCCGGCCTCGCACTTGAAATATTCTAATAACGCACTTAAACGTATAAACCTTCCTCTTCATTCAATCTACCTATTAAAGAATCCGCACCAAAATCCGTTACGTAGTTCTAAAGATTTAAGCGTAAGTATGCATATAGGGCCACAGAAAGCGACTGTTTTATACTATGTAGTAAAACAGCTTCGACACAAGACTTATGTGGTAAACTTTTTAAGTGAGAACTTTACAAGTTAATGAAATTGAGTGATTAAAAATCTGGCAATGCCATTACGATAACGTTTGAATCATCGTTTGATTCGTCACCACCTAAGTAATAACAAATATCGGAAAACGCTAAATGAACTCCACAGCGAACGATCCATTACAGTAATGGTTACGCATTGTCAGCTCATCAAGCTAAACTAATAGATAAGCCACCCCCCAAATTGTCTATGTCCTGAGTGACGGGTAACGACCACAGATACACAAACAACGTTCTAATTGCCCATGTGGTTAGCGCATAGATTAAATTCCTCACTCATCATGAATATGAATGAACAATGTCATTAGCATTCAACCTATTTATCCGTAATTGATGAACGGATGACGTTTTCTGCGTAATTTATTGCTACAGCCGTTTGTATTATGATAATTGTTACTAATATAGCAATTATTTCATGCTTACGATTCCGTGAAACTTCTTGTACAATATTAGAGATCTGCAGTAAGAAATTGTATTCATTGAAAAGCTCCATTTAGATTTGTTCAATACTTAATGTAATTCTTTTTTAGTTGTAACGTAAAAACCATATTGGTAATACTGCGTCCAATTTGCGTTGGCAAACTTCCATATCATTTTGTCCTCATAATAACAATTTCACTCAAATCAAGATAATAAAATCTCCTTTTAAAGCTAGCGAGTCTTACATCTCAGGCCATATAAAACAACATCACGTTTGAAGGGCGTTGCACCCCACCAAAAAAACCAAAACTTAGCTTTGGATCTAAGCGATCAGTGTTAGATATCTTTTCAAAGAAATATAGACTTTCCTACTACGGAATAATGTCTATGAAATGAGCTTTGTATCCTTTGAGCTTGTGTATGATAGGCTAGACCCCCTATAACGGTGAAGGACAGAGGTTATCAAACTTTTGCGTCTTCATAAATGCAAAAATAAACAAACGAAACAACATGTTAGCCAAATTGGAAAACGAATGTTGACTTTATGATTGGAAATCTAATTTAAAAGTCCTTAACATCCCGTCATCTCAAGTTATAGATACTATTATGAATTGAAAACGCGATAAATAAGTACTTTGAGCACCATAGTCCTAAGTGAACCGGTCCGGCAAAGCTATCGGATCTGTAGTGCATGCACGTGTACTGTAAGCAGATACAGTTGCACAATCGCGGTCAAAGTTGGACAATGGATGCTTGAAGCTTTTCGAGTTCGACCCATCTTGTTATCGGCCATAGTTAGCGTTGTTACTCGTGCTAACGGTACCGGAATGATGTTGTACAAAGGAGAATACTGTGATGGATTATACAAAGGAGAGTACAGTCAATGAAGGAGAAAAAATATCATGGGCATAGAAAACATGTTTTCTAAAGTAATATTTATCTATTAAGAAGCTATTAGCGGTTCTAAAACCAAACAATAATGATCATTTCTCACAGTTGCCGAAGACGTAAAGAGGTCTTGCACAAAATAATTGATTCAATAACAGAGACGGGAAAATTCCCACAGTGTGTACATAAGGAAACTTTACTTGTTGAAACAACGCCGACTGTTTTAAGTAACAGACATGTATTAGTACGAAGATGACACAATACCTGTGTGATAAGCATGGTTTGAGGTCGATGGTCACGCTCGCTGCGATCAGGAATGTGCCAGCATTCCGAATCGGCACCCATCGAACTGTGAACTTTTGTCACAACAGCCCGCAATGCGAAAATCAACCGTAAATCCTTTCGTTAAGTGCAAGATTACGTTGAATATCTCTTGGATTAAAATAGAAATTAATTAGAACGCAAGCTATTTATAAACTGTTGAATATTAAAGTAATATTTTGTTTATGCTTTTTGTGCTGATTCATGATATAGTAAAATGACCTTTGTAGCCTTAATGAGTTTTATTAGCTTTCTTCGAATTTTTGCGCCGAGATATTAGGTTGGCGTTAGTGATGCCATTAGAACATGTACCTTCACTATTGTATTCAATTGGACTAGCTTTCACGTGGCCCGAATAATGTGTAATGTGTAATGATATGGTGACTACCACTGTCATGTGTGCTCAATATATCGACTAACAAAAGCGGCAATTACAGAAAGTACTTTTTGATTTGTGAGCTGAATGTAAAACGTTCACCTTAATTATCATATAGTTCCATAATAGCTTCCGCCCGCGGCTTCTCGTGGTATGTTGATAAAATAGCCTAAGTCCTATTTCGGAGTGTATCCTATGCCTGTGCCAATTTTCATCCAGATCCGTCCAGCCGTTTTGGCGTTTTGTTTTTTTTTTTTGTGAGGGGAAAATCATCAAGTGTCTTCTATCCCGCCCAGGGCCGGGCGGGAGGGAGTGTCAGACTCTTACTGACAAAAAACCCCCCTGTTCCTTCTCCTGCTCTGGGCCGAGGTCGCGGTGCCTCATTGCGCTTACCCCGCAACCCCGGCTTTTGGCGTGATTGAGTAACAAACATCTAAACATCGTTACTTTCGCATTTATAATATTAGTAAGATATCCGTATCGTATCGTTCTTAACCAGAATGATACGTTAAAATACTTTACGCTTTTCAATCTCCCAAAATAAGTTTAGTAGACAAGTATAAACAGAGGCATGTTAGCGGTAACATTTGAAATTGACAGCTCTTTTTTGCCAATTAATCAATAGTGTTTGGGTATTGACATAAGTACAAATAAACGTACTATGAGTAACCTTTCAACTTTTGCGCGGTCATATCGAACAGTTGATGACCATAAATCCATTAAGTACAGAATACTATATTCAATATTACCACGTTTGTTTTGTAGTATAACAGAGAGCTAAAGGTACGTGATCATTTTGAAATCGTTAAAATTATTCACGTATTACATTGAAAATTACGTGTAACTACGGAATAATACGCCGTGTCAAGAAAACTACATTTAATTTCTCATTACAGATAATAAAATAACTAACTCCTAACCTTATGATTGGTGATCATCTATTCTTAGTGGTTCACCGTTCAAGGAACATCCACTTGATCCATTCTTTCCTGATCCATTCCTTTTTCTTGACTTTATTTCTATAAGAAAAGTCTGAAGGCGCCATTATCACATAGACTGCCTATTTAAAGGACAATAACATCCTACAGGTGTGAATTATCAAGTAATTAAGTGACAGATAGGCTTTTTGTTGTCGTTTTGACACTTGCAATACAATGGGATGTCGTCACGGAACGTGCAAAGATGTCTGACTCATACCAGTACTTGTTATGTAGTACTAGATACTGGGTAAAAATGGAAAAAAATACAATATTCTTGCAAGTACGTTATGTACATAGTACTTGACTATTGAGTAACAGAACGATTGTTGAAAAACAATTCAATTGACGGATTGCTATGCCTAGTATAAAAGAAAGTCGCTTTCTTTGTCCCTATATTCTTAAATCTTTAAAACAGCGCAACGGATTATGATGCGGTTTTTTTAAAAGATAGAGTGCTTATAGACGTTGTTTTAGATGTACAATATTGCACTAAGATTGCACCAGTTCGATCCCCAGATAGCTTGTATCTTTGTAGGTAGTTTCTGTTATTTTTTTTTCATAATTAATACTGATTTTCTTTCTCGTTTAACTTCACTAACAAAATGTTAGTTCGTAAGTACCAAGGGCCGAATCATGATCAAGGCCGAAAACCACTGATTAACGTTATAAGTATCAGTTTTTGTGGGAGGTTACTGGCCAATGGGATTTTTGTTTAATAGAATGACCTCATTCTTTCCTATCATTTTAAACGATCAATTTATTATGAGTAGCAACAATGATATCAGTATCTAAGCATTTAATTTACTATCCATTACGAAACACATAATTTTTCGTCTTTATTACAACCGCCTAAGGTGGCACTCTCAAGAATACTTAGTCAGTAATAACCATTTTATTTTGGGAGCAGTCATAAGACTGCTACTTAGATGATGTTACGGACTTACTTACTTTACGTTTTCTGTTTTCAACGTAGCAACACTAGGTTTTTCTCCCTTATAATAAATGTGTAAAAATACACAAGGATCCTATGTGTGTACAAAGTTCCTAGAGTGCGAACGGATCTGCGTTGACACGTTACCTCACAGACAGTCGCCCGGCCTCTGCACCAATCGCACAGTTTTTTGCCTGTCTATCAACACACGATTATAGTAATAATGACAACACCATTGACAGTTTCCATGGGAATATAAATAGGCACATGCTGACGCGAAGAATAGGTTTTCTAACAAGAAAAGAAGGGGTCAAGGCGTTCCATTGTGACTTGTAGAGTTGTGAGCCACTCTTTGTAATACGGTTGCCTCCCCATCCTATTTACACGTCACTCTATATCGCGCTAATAGCCCCCATTGAGGGTGGTATAGCCATTTGAAAATAAGACACCCTTGCGGTTTCGTGCTTACTTGGAAAATTATAATTATTGACAAGTTTTCCAATTTTAAAAATACTTATTTCGCTTTATGATAAAAGCAAACTTTTTCTGTGTCTAAAAAATATTTCAGTACCTATTCTTTGTCTTTGCCCCGTTGTCCTTACCTCTGAAAGAATAACTCTGAATCTCTGATACATATCATTTCTTAGTTTTTCTTGCATTCAAGTACCGTATTTATAAATTATTCTGCAAAAGAGATACTTTTTCAAAAATGTATCTCTATAATTTATTAATACGGTCTCATAATTTTTATAGCTTTTAGGAATATTATATTATAGGCTTTAGCATACAAGATATAAAAATGTAACAAATAATTTATTTGTTCACAGACAGTGCAACACGGCTTTCCACACAGGGCGTCAGCGCTAGCATGGGACCCACTCCTCAGGGTGGTGGCGCTGGGCACAGCCACCGGCGCCCTCAAGGTCTACGGCAGACCCGGCGTCGAACTCTACGGACAGCACACAAACTCCGACTCCAGCGTCACACAGATACACTTCATACCTGGTAAGTTAACTTATTTCTCATCATCACCAATATTGGCGATGCCACAAGCTTACTATAATCCTCATATCTGCCTTTGAGTGAATAAAGATCTCGTATGTCTGACAATGTAACGTAAGTTCTGAGAAAAAAAATATGCGCGTTATTTTAAGTTTTTTAATTATTTAGGTATATGGAAATTGCTATGGATTTTCAAATAAGAACTAGGTTTACTACATATACGCCATTAAATTACAACGTTTATATTACCGAGGTTTTCACTCTTAATTATTAAACTTGGTTAGCGGTGGGCGATCTTAGCTCGCACAAAATTTAATGTTCCCCGTCTTTAGCTGGCTGGTTGCAATTTTAAAAACATATTATATCCGGGTCTCTTCACTTATCGCCTCTTATCCTATACATTCTTGTAACTTCACAAAAAGAACCTTGGATAACATTGTGTGCTCTTAAGAAAAATTCAACTAGTGCTTATCTTCCGTAACTCTTTAAGTTTCGCAATAGTGACGTTTTACCTACCTGTGTTACGTTTAAAATAACTCGAGGGAGACTAGTTTAAAAAAAAACATTTTTCTTAATAACTGCATTTGCATGGGTTTTCCATCATGAAGTACCTGTATAGCATTTCGGAAGATCGCTTAAGTTTGTGAAAGAAAATGGGAACACCGTGATTTCCTAAAATGTGTCAAAAACATCCAAAAAGACAACATCATTTTTACTTTATCCTTTAAGGGCTAATTTTTTAATGGTTATCTGGGGAATAATTATGATGCTGTCGCGTCAGAATGTTTATACAAGACAGTGACAGCAACAATTTTAACATTTATCAGACTATTGAAAAATCGGCCTTAAAGCAAACTATGGTACTGACGCTTTTTATTAGATTCAATAAGTAAATAAATACCAATACAGACGTCACTACAATACTCCAGGATATATTTTAAAATTAATTTTCACAAACAAATGACAACCACAAATGACTAATTGCTCAACCAGTCGTGACGTGTTCAAAGATCGACCAAATAAAGAAATTACAACTCTACCCGCCTAGCAACAGAGTTGTAGCTGTTGTCAAAAGCATATCAAGGTGCGCCCATAGGCTTTTAGATTACGGTCTTACTAGTAAACAAATTGGAATTTGCTTTTATTCTTTAAATATCATACTATCGCATCTAAATAATAATTATGCCAGATAAACTTTATCGTAATGAAAGTTAAGATATATTTTGATGTTGCCCTACATTAAACTGTCGAAGTACATTTTCTCCTGTTTGATTGGATCGTTTACAAACAAATATATCATACCTAGACCAGAAACAACAATAATTCCTAATTTAAATGACAGAAATACTCACCGTCCCAAAGGTCTGCGCCCACGCATACGGTTTATTACGAAACGTTTAGTCACGCTGTGGAACTTGATAAGAAATTATTTTAGGACGTTATTCATCAGAGACGCATTCGCAGTGTACTTACGCCCCTTTGTAGATTTTTTTTATGTTATGGGTCGGCAAAGGAGCAAGCTAATTAGCTAATGGTAACCAATCAGCGCCCCCCATGGACACCTGCAACAGAGGAGTTGAGTGCGTTGCCGACCTTTTGTGAATTAGGGATTGGGGGATAGGAAAGATAGGGCCTCCGGCAACCCCACTCACACGACGAAACACAATGCTGTGTGTAAGCTTGAAGAAGTGTTGACTTTATGACAATTCTTTTTTACAAGAATGGTTCGTTATCACTAAATATTTCGTAGATGAAACAGTAAGGAATGCGAGTATTTGTTTTTATAAGTAAATATATGTAGGTACTCAGCAAAATAAGATCACTATTCGATATGTTACTTTTCCGAATTTTATCACAAAGATAACAACCTGCTGATAAGAATGCAATGAACTCCTTACATATTTTTGACATAAATAAACGTCCATTTCATCACAAAATTCATATACTTACCTCCTTCCATGTTTCTAACAACACTATTAAATTGTTTTACAAAAATAATTGTTACGTATATGTCGCAGTTTAGTTAGTCATTCAGTCAACGTCTTTAATGACTAGCTGTTTGAATAACTGAATTTCTGATTCAGTAGGTACAATTAGTTAATTATTTATTGTGATGGTAATTCGAGTTGGGTTCAGGTCACAGTTTTAATATACTCTAATCTATCTCTTCTTCTTTTATGGTAGCAAGTCAAGTACCCTTTAAGTAACATCTGAAATGGGAATTTCAGTCTATCAATAAAGCAGAGCTTCAGGCCGTTGATTGGTTGAATGACTAGTAAAAGGCTGCGACGTATTCATTTGACAAAAGTCCAAACGTCTTGCTAAGACCGTAGAAAAACTAATCGAGTACATTCGTCTCATCAATCACTTGATGCACGGTTGATGCGGTGACTGGGCAACGGGCTGCCGTGCCTCATGTCGCGGGTTCGATTCCGGCATGGAACAGCTTTTTTTGTACACGAAATTTTTGTTTTCACCCACGACACAATAGAAAAAGCAGGAGTAGGGTAAAGTTGTTTGTTAAACATTTTTATTGAAAATATTATTTTTCCTGCCCTTAATAAGACTATCTCATTGAAGCAAATGTATATGATACACCTAGTTTATATGAATGCTTCAGAGAGCACCAGGATGTTTGATGACAACATCGCTGGCAAGACAGGAAGACGTCTATTTTTGTAGCGAACCACGACCGATTCTAATAAATTACTTCTAATGATATAATCAACTAGATATATAAAGTAACTTGTACATTATTTTTGTTTGCCCAGACTACTCAAATATGATGCAAATCTAAATTGGACATAGTACCTACGGTGTTCCATTGAGTTGTTGGTTTTCGTAGTCAAGCAGAATCGAACATGAATTTCAGAATGAGTTTTTTTGTAAACAGCCTATCAAATTAAGCGTTTTTTATATTATAACTATCTGACTCGGCAAACTGTGTGTGTTGTACCTCGAAATTTTTTTTTTTACTAATTTCGTTTATACTTTCCTGCCTTTTAAACCTTTCCTGTATATCCAGGAATATTTCCAGACCACAATAAGCCATTTCGGTCCAGCCTTTCTCTTCGTTGCTTTACTGTAGCTAGTGCTGTAGAGTAGCTGTTCGTTAGTAAAACTAGATTTTAGCGACACTAACGAACAGCTACTCGTTTTTATATATAAGAAGATTATAAGAAACTATGCATCCTTTTTTCTTCGTAGTCCAGTAAAGCGTTTCGTTTATACTTTTATTTAATTCTAAATATTTAACGTTACAGGCACTGGCCGCTTACTATCACTTTCCGACGACAACAGTCTTCACTTATGGGAGATTAACGAGAAGTCCCTGGTGGAACTAAAAACATACATATTTGAGGGTAAAAACAAGAAGATATCGTCACTATGCGTCGAGTCATCCGGCAAGCACCTGCTGATCGGTACCGAGGGTGGAAACATATACAATCTGGACCTTAACACGTTCACCGTCACCGAAGATGTGATATATCAGGATGTTGTTATGCAGAAGTAAGTATCTTTTCATTTTTAACACTACAAAATTTACAAAATGTCACTTTTATTTTGGGGGTCTAACAAACTTGTAACTGAGAAAAAGAGAAAACGCGGTAGCATTGGGGTTAGTGCCATGACTCGTAAAATGTGAAGGCGTAAGGTTTACTTATTATTATTTTAAATAAATACTAAGGCAATTAACTAAAAATCGCGGTAGTAGGCTGCGCGACGTCGCCGCGTCCGCGCACGCTGCTCATGAGGAAGAACCCCTCTGTGGTTCGAAAGTAGTAGAGCTTTTCTCAATTGACACACGTGACTAACCCGCGATTTTAGTTAATTTAGTATGTCTCACGATAGTTATTATAAAAAAAAGTACCAACTAACTTATTTTATCTAATTTGGTTCACACAGTATCACTCTGGTCGAGCCGACCCATTCGTGTCAAAGCACATGTTCAATGCATGGGAGATAGCTCTCCCAAACTGAAAAAGATTTGCCAGCCATCCACTTTTAAAATCATCTATCTAAACTAAAACTATTAAGGTATAAAAAACGCTATAGAAATAATCTCTTTTGTTTTCAGTTGTCCAGAAGACTTCAAAATCAACCCAGGCGCAGTGGAAGCTATCTGCGAACACCCTAAGGTCCCTAGCAGGCTGCTGATTGGCTACAACAGAGGTCTAGTCGTGTTATGGGACCGCATTGCCGCCGCACCCACACACACCTTCGTGTCTAACCAACAGCTCGAGAGCTTGTGCTGGAATGATGAAGGTAGGTTGAGGATATAAGGCTTATGAAACTAATGTAAGCCGTTTCTGAGTATCAAGGCAACAGTTTATATTTCCCTTTAGTAGCGAGGGTCTTTTGTTTCTGATGGATTAGATGAAGTGGATTTATTGAGAAAAGCTCCACCTATTGAGAAAGTTTCAAGTCACAACCGGCTTCTTATTATTTAGCAGCGTGTTTATCGAAACTATGTAGTAGAGCTTTTCTCAATTAATTTAAGTCACTAAGCCGTTTTGTTTTTTCAATAAAATATGCATTTACAAGCACTACATACAAACACTGGCTTTATGGCGCCCTAAGACCAAAAAGCCTCAAATTTCTTTATCGATGTAATAAACCATTAATTACAGGTGAACACTTCACATCATCTCACAACGACGGTTCGTACGTGACGTGGGAAATTGCGGGGGCTGCCAGCGACCGGCCCCTAAAGGAGCCCATCACACCGTACGGCCCCTACCCCTGCAAGGCTATCAGCAAGATCCTCAACAGGACTAGTGTTGATGGAGACGAGATAACTATCTATGCAGGTAAATTGTCGAAATCTATTGAAAACTTTTGAAAAATACGTAAAGTTAGTTTCATAATCACATCAAGCTGTTCGTCGTAAAAAATCGATTAAAAATAATAATATTCAACAGACTTGAATGTTCATATAAGTTCAGGATGAGTTGCCTTCTTGCAATATTTATTTACCGTTCCTTGTGATAGAGTACATTTTTGTTTGCAGGTGGTATGCCACGAGCTTCGTACTCCGACAAATACACAGTCACAGTACAACAGGGAGAGAAACACGTCGCATTCGATTTCACAAGCCGAGTAAGTAAAATATGACTATGTTACAGGGTAGTTTTCAATAATCATAGTCATAATTAAAAAAAATACTAATTTCGACCAAGTTCGACTACTTTCAAACCTACACCAGAGTTCTCAAAATCTTACCAGAACTTGTTTATAACGAATATTCTTTTTACAGGTTATCGACTTCTTCACAACGACACCCGTCCCTCCCGACGGTGTGCCGCTACAAGAAGACCGCCCCGACACTCCTGCGCAGATACAGTTGCAAACCGTCAATCAAGTCGCCGCTGCTTTGGTAAGATTGATCTCCAAATATTTTGCTAGAAACATAGTACTAGAGCATACTAGAGAAATTAACAATAAATGTGCTGTTGTTTTCTGTTTTACAAAAGGGAGTTAATTTTTAAAATAAGAAAAAATCGCTTTTGTTGTCTTTAAAATTAAGATGAAAGGATTATTATATTCTCATAATAATTTGTATTGAAAAATGAAAATATTATTATCGAGTTAAAAACCGCCGTGTCCTAAAATACTAATGGTGTTATATTTGGCGTTTCTTCTCTATAGGTGGTACTAGCAGAAGAGGAGCTGGTTGTAATAGACCTGTGCGACGAGAGATGGCGTCCCCTGCGCCTGCCCTACCTGGTGTCTATACACGCGTCCGCCGTCACTACCGCGCAGCTCGTCGACAACGTCGCCGCCAACGTATACGACAATATTGTCGCCGCAGGTACAAAAATATTCACTTCATGTCTTAATATAGCGTTGAAAATTATATTATTCTGATAGCAATTGAATGAAACGTAAAACATTAAATATATGACTAATTTAATATAATTTATAAGTAATTGTTACAACAAAATGTATTTGATTAGATTATGTTTTTGAAAGTTATGCTATTGAAAGCTTATTATTACACTAGTTCCGACTAAGTTTCGAACTTGTCTCGAGCCCGTCAGTCATACCTCTATCAGAAAAACTTCCAATTTCATGTATCGCTAATTTTCAACCGTACGTTTTTCTTAACAGGTCAACAACAAAGCGAGAATGTATACTCGGAATCAGCGTGGCCTATCTCTGGCGGGTGTGTGGAGGGCGAGGGTGCGGTGGCTGAGCGCCAACTGTTACTGACGGGACACGAAGACGGCTCCGTGCGCTTCTGGGACGTCAGCGGAGTCGCCATGACCCCCCTCTACAAGTACACCACCGCGCATCTCTTCAGGTCAGACATCCTACTTACTACACTAGTATCGATAAAGCGGGCATTTCAGCGCTGGTATCGATAAATTGGATATCACTAGTCCTAAAAATTATTTTGTTATTTAATCTATAACGGTGACTTTCATAGTAATACGGTGGACTAATAACCAAATAATCTAGAAAATCATAAAATGTATTAACTTATATAGTCATTTAAATAATTTAATAAACTAATAATAATTATGAAAGCGATTATGCTTACTTTAACTTAAAATTGATGTTAATATAGCCTGCTAAAGTCATTCATAGCTTATTACTCAGGCCTCGTCGCACGGAGGTAATAGTAAAAAGTTTCATTAGAAAGCGAGTTTTCTTAAACTTATTGCGATCGATACGTTTATGGTGTTCGGCGTTCTGATTGGCCTACTCCAAACTAACCAACCAATCTGAGGGCTAAACGCGGTAACGTCTCGATCGCTTAAGGGGTTAGTCAGTAAGAGACTGACACTATGGGCGGGAGAAGCTATTTGATGATTTTATAAAAAAAATATGTCCCTTCTAACTATAAAACTATTTCTGCCCGTGACGAGGCCCTAACTGTCAGCTAACAATATGTTTTCTGCTTATTGCTTGCTCATAACGAAGTGGGCTCAAACGATCGACCACAAGGTAACAGTTAATGTTGTAAGCATGAAAATATCTATGTATTGCCAGCTGCATGATAATTAAATTTTGTTATACTTTATTTCAAATTACTCGCCGTTTTAATAAATAAAAGTAATGCACGCAATAAATAAAGGTGTTTTAAAAATATTCTTTTTTTGAATTTGTGTAATTTTGATAGACTTTTAACCATTTTTTTATTTTGTATCATTCATGTAGTTATAAACTGTTACCTTTTTCTCTCTAGTGAATGCATAAATAGTATTCATTAGATTTGTACTGAACGAATTATAACATTACAAATGAATATAGTATTAAAACATTAACATAATATTTTTTATCCATTTTTTTATTATTTGAAAATGTAGTGTTACCAGTTCTCTGAATCGTACCCATTTTCCTACATGTAAAACTAGTACTTTTCAATTCTGTATCTACTCTATATTTATCTTTCTTCTACTATTAGAACATCAAATATCTTTATTATATCTAAATATTTAATTAATGTATTGTGTTTATATTTAGTGGTGAAGAAATAGGCGAGAACAACGACAGTCAGACGGACGAGGAAGAATGGCCTCCATTCAGAAGAGTCGGAACCTTCGACCCATATAGTGACGACCCACGACTTGCTGTCAAAAGGGTAAGTTTATTTATTTATTCTAGCGTCGGTAGTTACTGCGGTACACAGGCAGTAAAGGGTTAACGGCTGGAAAAAGAAACTAAACACAATTTTTTTATGATATTACAACAAACAAGAAAGTTTGAGCGTGGGAGAGCCATGCTTCGGCACGAATGGGTCGGCTCGACCAGAGTGATACCACTGCCTCACAGAAAACCGGCGTGAAACAACCACAGCGTTGTGTTTCGCCGTGTGAGTGAGGTTACCGGAGGCCCAATCCTTCCCCTTACCGCACCCTTCCCCAATCCCTAAATCTCCAAATCCCTAATCCCTAAAAGGTCGGCAACGCACTCGTAACTCCTCCGTTGCGGGTATCCATGGGGAGCGCTGATTGCTTACCATCAGGTAATACGTCTGCTCGTTTGCCGACTTATTACATTAAAAAAAGTATTAATTATACTTACCACTACATAGTATAAAAACAAAATCGCATTCTCTATCCCTATATCCCTATGTATGCAGCAACGGATCTAAAAAAACAGAATGATTGAAGAGGAAGGTTAATTTGTATACTAATTAAATTCCATTAAATAGTGGAAACATTTAGTATTAGCACTGTTCCCGTGCGAAGCAGGGACAAGTCGTTTAGAACATATCTTTTTTCCAATTGCAATACTATTATAATTATAGTGTTGCTAAACCTAAATAAAAATCTACATACTGCTAATAATATCGTGTACCGCAGAATACTACCCACATACTTATTGCTCATTAATGTGAAGTCCATAGCTTTTCTCGTACATAATTATATTGAAATTAAATGTTAATTTTTCACCAGGTAATCTTATGTCCTCTGTCGGGAATGCTGACAATCGGTGGTGCGGCCGGTCACATAGTCATCGCGAGCTTAAAGACATCTTCCAGCACTGCTGAAGTCAAGGTAGGATACAGCTAAATCAATCTAAAATAAAAGATCTAATTTTTCTACCCAAAAATATGGTTACTTAATAACTACCTGTAATTCAAACTTTGTACACTTAAAGTTTATTTTTCATTAAATTATGTTATAATGTCATAGAACAGACCCTCACTCGGCCTTATACTAAATTTCTTGTTTGTTGTTTCCACAGTCTGTCACAGTGAATATAGTGTCAGATCGCGACGGTTTCGTATGGAAGGGCCACGATCAGCTTACCCTGAGGTCAGGATCACTCACATTCCCACAAGGATATCAGGTATGTTGTACTTTAATAGTAGCTTTTACAATATGTATGCATTAGGCAACAATACAATTTGAAAAATGGTCAAAAGCAATTGAAAATAACTTTGGCTAAATTTATGTGAATATGTGGTTTCTTGACAATTTGTTAGCGATAGCGTAATGAGAATATGAAATTCATTGCAAATTGTGTGAATATTTTTTAATATTCTATTGAATTCAAGTAAAAAAATATTTTTTTGCCAAGTCAAGTATCAAATTTAAACGTATAAAATGGTCTTTAACGTCGCACAAAGGTTTGCGCAACGATACCAGCTTATGCGCAAAATGTCGCGTGATATTTTCACTGTCATAAAATGTTATAGTCTTATAATAGTTGTAAAACTAGCACTGATCATCAAAACTAAGTTAGGCCCGAATTCCTCTGTCGCTGATGTCGGTCGCGCGTACGAATATACGTTGTGTTCTATGAAGCACCACACTGTGACGCTGACATCAGCGGCGCGCGAGTTGCTACGCGCCGCTGACGACGCGCGTCGGTCTCGCTCGTCAGCGCCGCGTTCGTCGGTCGACTGACGCGCTATAGAACGCTATGAGCGTCCTCACTCTGTTCCCGATCGTCGGCACGTCGGCACGCGCGCGTACATTTGCCCGCAACCATGAACATTGATACCGAACGTGTGATTGCTGAGGTGCGCCTACGTCCTGCATTGTGGGATTTGAATTATAATTTTGATCCCAAATCCAATCCCAAATTCAAACTCCGCTTCACAAATCCACAACAAATCCACTTGGAGACGCATGTACCGTGGAGCGGTCAGTATCGCACTACGGATGTTTTCATTGGCGCTGATGGTCAGCGCGCTACGCGACTGACGGTACGCGACCGACGTCAGCGACAGAGGAATACGGGCCTTATATTTAATGTATGTGTACGTGTGTGTGTACTAATACCTCTCCCCCCCCCCCCCTGCAGGCGAGCTCGGTGGTGCAGCTGGTCCCCCCCGCGGCGGTGACGGCGCTGGGCGCGCAGTGGGAGTGGGGGCTGGTGTGTGCCGGCACCGCGCACGGGCTCGCGCTGCTCGACGCCATCGCCGCGCGCTCCTTGCTGCACAAGTGCACGCTCAACCCGCACGGTAACTATACACACTTGCTATGCACGGGCTCGCGCTGCTCGACGCCATCGCCGCGCGCTCGTTGCTGCACAAGTGCACGCTCAACCCGCACGGTAACTATACACACTTGCTATGCACGGGCTCGCGCTGCTCGACGCCATCGCCGCGCGCTCGTTGCTGCACAAGTGCACGCTCAACCCGCACGGTAACTATACACACTTGCTATGCACGGGCTCGCGCTGCTCGACGCCATCGCCGCGCGCTCGTTGCTGCACAAGTGCACGCTCAACCCGCACGGTAACTATACACACTTGCTATGCACGGGCTCGCGCTGCTCGACGCCATCGCCGCGCGCTCGTTGCTGCACAAGTGCACGCTCAACCCGCACGGTAACTATACACACTTGCTATGCACGGGCTCGCGCTGCTCGACGCCATCGCCGCGCGCTCGTTGCTGCACAAGTGCACGCTCAACCCGCACGGTAACTATACACACTTGCTATGCACGGGCTCGCGCTGCTCGACGCCATCGCCGCGCGCTCGTTGCTGCACAAGTGCACGCTCAACCCGCACGGTAACTATACACACTTGCTATGCACGGGCTCGCGCTGCTCGACGCCATCGCCGCGCGCTCGTTGCTGCACAAGTGCACGCTCAACCCGCACGGTAACTATACACACTTGCTATGCACGGGCTCGCGCTGCTCGACGCCATCGCCGCGCGCTCGTTGCTGCACAAGTGCACGCTCAACCCGCACGGTAACTATACACACTTGCTATGCACGGGCTCGCGCTGCTCGACGCCATCGCCGCGCGCTCGTTGCTGCACAAGTGCACGCTCAACCCGCACGGTAACTATACACACTTGCTATGCACGGGCTCGCGCTGCTCGACGCCATCGCCGCGCGCTCGTTGCTGCACAAGTGCACGCTCAACCCGCACGGTAACTATACACACTTGCTATGCACGGGCTCGCGCTGCTCGACGCCATCGCCGCGCGCTCGTTGCTGCACAAGTGCACGCTCAACCCGCACGGTAACTATACACACTTGCTATGCACGGGCTCGCGCTGCTCGACGCCATCGCCGCGCGCTCGTTGCTGCACAAGTGCACGCTCAACCCGCACGGTAACTATACACATCTAAAAATCCGCTTGACTGTAATTATATGACGTAGTAAAGGTCATAGTCTTCGCAGCTTCAGCCGGGGTTGCGCGGTAAGCGCTATCTTACACTCCCTCTTACCCCAACCTAGACGGGAGAATTAATTTGTCGATTTTCCCCTCACAAAAATTGCTTTCCATCAAGCAAGTCGTATGTTTTGTGGTACTTTCTATAGTATACTAGCAACCCGCCCCGGCTTAGCACGGGTGCTATTCTGATACAAAATGTCTCCACTATTTAATGGATGTTGTTCTATGCATAAACTTTAGTTTACAAATTGTTGCGCAGTTTTAAAAATCAAAACAGAGGTATCTCTATTGGCTTTGTTTCATACTATGTAATAAAAACACCACGAAAAATAGAACTTAAAACAAACTCAATTTGGTAGCTGATTCTATTTTGATATTGAATCTCTTTTTGCAGATCATTCCGGTGCTGGCGATACGCCTATTTCAAGAAGAAAATCGTTCAAAAAGTCGCTTAGGGAATCATTCAGAAGACTGCGAAAAGGAAGGTCACAACGTCGTCAAACGACTACCTCAAGTCCTACTTCACCCACACAAGTAAGTTCAATCTCATTTTTGCGCCGGTAGAGGCGCTGGTATAGCTTTACATCCAAAAGCTTAGATACATTTTACCATTTTATATTTCCAAATAAATTAAAATTTTTCAGAAGACTTCACTGCCATTTTTGGAAATAATTCTTTTAATAAATATGTAATTGGTACGAAAGCAAACCAAAATTTGAAAGCGATTCATTTAAACCTGAAGTTCGTTAGAGGTCTAAGCGCTTTTAACAAAGGCCAAGATTTCATATCTTGATGCGAAAATGTCGGCATTGAATGCGTTTAAAACATATAACCAATATAAAATCTTATCAATCCGTCGCTTACTTTAAACTAATTACTCAAAAACACGTTCTATTTTCCAGCCAATCCCCAAGAAGCCAGCGGATAAAGCGGCTTCAGATACGGACGCGGAGTTGAAGCCGGTGGAGCGAGCGATCGAGGCGAGGCCGGCCGACGATGGGTTCGGGTCCATGGTGCGCTGTCTGTACTTTGCCAGGACGTACCTTATTAACAGTATGTCGATTTATGATTACGTATAAATAGATTTAAGATCGCTGTACGCCGTGATTATTTTTATATTTGCGTTTTAGCGAGTTAAATGGCACTAGTAATCAGTTTAGTATATTTTATCTACCATCCTAAAAATAAATAATCTAAAATAGACGTCTACCGTCTGATTATAACACTCTTTTTATAATAGTATCTTGTATCTGATAGTCATCAAAATTACTACAACTAACTGGTGAAAAAGGCTTGAGTATTGCAATTTAAATGCAAATTTTATAGTAAAAACCTACACATATATACGAGTATGTATCGGTGAAAAAAACCAACTTCTTATTCAACTAAAACGAAAATTTATTTTCCAGCACAAAACTCGACGCCGACCCTATGGGCGGGTACGAACAACGGTACAGTGTACGCGTTCACGATAACTGTTCCCAACACGAACAAGAGGAAAGACGAGCCCGTGACCTGCCAGCTCGCCAAGGAGATCCAGCTCAAGCACCGAGCGCCCGTCATCGGCATCACCGTACTCGACGGCGCCGCCGTGCCGCTGCCTGACCCGCTCGAGGTACCTTCATACCTACACTTCTTACTGTGCAGTGAATATGCAAGTTGACTCGCACGACTCAACGTAGCACATGGTCACATAGTCACATCGCGATAATATGAGCATCACAAAATGTTCTTGTTAATGTTGCAAATTACTAATTCCAAATGTTTACTACCTGTCTTGTCTATCAGTTTAGGTAACTAACTAAATGTGCTTGGCGTGTCTTTTTATCTATTTTTTTTTTAATTCATGTAATAATATTTTTAAAACAATTGCTCAAAAAGTGGCGTATTGCAGGGACGTGTAGCGTTCGGGATCTGGGCTATTTCACACTCGTGCTTTTTTTGCCTTTCCAATCAATCTTTCAATTGTCAAAATAATTTCTTAAAAAAAAACAACCATTAAGATTTAACTAAAAAAAAATCATAGAAGTTTTTGCGATTCATGCAAATAGGTTTATTTATTTCTAAAAAGAAGCTACCTATACTAATTTGTCCAATATCAGAAGTAATTATTTGATTGAATGAGTTAGGTAAGGTTTCAGTAAAAAATACTAATTACAAAAGACTTGGCTGTATGGGCAGTTCTCTCTGCCTACCAGAATAGATGAAAAAAAACTGCTTACATTCTATGCGCCATTTTCCGAATAAATGATTAGTTATTGAGTTTGTTGTGTTTTCATAATTTCATTAAATTGCTTAATTTTTTCGCAACTGTATTAAAAATAGTCGTTCAGTACACGTACGGAACCGTCATTGCAACTCGTTCCGACTGTCAACCCTCGCTTTCGGCTCCGGTAGACATTTGTCGGAACTCTTTGCAATGACAGTCATTCCGTACTAGTAATAGTATATACTATTACAATCAGGTTACTAAATTGATGTTAGCTTATAAATTAAATTTAGATCATCTTTGTACGTATTTTTTACTAACTCTTTAATATGAAAAGACATACCAAGATCGTCCACTTTTAATTAACCACCTAAACCCAGAGATAGGCCATAATTTAATTCGTTTGAAGGTTCTTAGGTTTTTAACAACTAAAAATCTTCGTGTAACGTCTACTACAAACTAAATTATTTGGTCCAGGTGGAGCGTGGTGTTTCCCCCCTCCCGGAGGGCGGTACGCATCGCGTGCTGATAACGTCGGAGGAGCAGTTCAAGGTGTTCACTCTGCCCTCACTCAAACCTCACAACAAGTACAAGCTCACCGCGCACGAGGGCGCACGGGTATGTATTTACAATCTATTTTCATTTGAAAAGAGAACCATGTTTGTCTGTTTTAAATAAGCTTCACTGCCCTTAAAATAGTTTTTAAGTCTGACGAATTATGAGTACTATTACAAATCTTAATACATTTTCACACAAATATCATTCACAATAGAGGTTTTAGGAGGCATTAAAACAAAACAAGAAGTTAAAGAAAATCGTAAGCATTCCTTTGATATAAAGGCACAAAGATGTTAAATAAAAGCAGATCAGTATTTCTCAATAGAGGCTGTTTCAAAAACGGTAGTAGTAGTTCAGATTTACATCATCAGCCTATAAGTGATCACTGCTGCAAAGTTCCCTTCTCCTGTGACAAGGCCGCCGTGTTCGCCTTTGCCAAACTTTGGCAAACTTATAATTAAAACATTATAAGTCTAGGTTTTCTCACGATGTTTTCATTCACCATATATATCAGTGGTGCCTAAATAAGTTCAGGCTACCACTCTTAAGAATGACGAAATCTTCTCAATACCGGAAAATACAATGTTAATAATGTTACTATCGCAGGTACGGCGCACGGCGTTCGCATGGTTCGAGTGTGGGTCTGGCGTGTCGAGTAGTACGGGCGGCGCGGGCCCGCGGCACCGCGAGTGGTGCCTGCTGTGTCTGACCAACCTGGGCGACTGTCTCGTGCTCAGCCCCGACCTGCGCCGACAGCTCAACGCTGCCGCAGTGCGCAAGGAGGATATCAAGTAGGCTAAATTATCTTTCATTAAATATATTGGTGTCTAAATATTTTCAGTTCTGGGTAGAGGCCCCTGTTATAATAGGCGATTAAGCTTGATTTATACAGTTCGTCTTTTCCCAACCACCATTACTTATTTGCTTTATTTTAGTTTCTTATCAAAAAAATCAAAATTTTAATTACTACTACACCTTATAAGTAATGATTTTGAAAGCGAAAATGTTGAAATGCTCGAATATTATTTGTTCGAAAATTACCATAAACATAAGTGAAACAATATATGTAGCTACTGTTACATGTCTTATAATTCGAAAATAGTTAGCTTGCTTACTTTTTTTACGACATACCCGTCTAGTTTCGAGCTCGACTGAAGCTCATCGAAACACATTATTTAAACATTTTTTTTTATGAGAGCATTTTATCAAAAATGTACAATTGTTTCAGTGGCATTTCAAGTTTATGCTTCTCGAAACGAGGCGAAGCTCTCTACTTGCATTCCTCATCCGAATTACAACGGATTACTTTGTCAGCTACCAAGGTAAGCGCTTTAGAATACTAAACCTTAGTGCCCTAGAAATAGAACTCAATTTAGTAACATGTATTGTGTGCTTCTTGAAACTAAACTTTATATCTAAACGATAAAAGTCAGTATTGATTGTGTTATGTTTGGCCGTATAGGTGACGATCGCTCAGTGCCACATTATCCTGTCCCCATGGGCCGCTTCACTGCGCGGGGCTGTGGAAGAGCCCCCACTAACTAATGGAGAACACAAGGTTAGTAAAAATTTTGACAAGTTAATGAAAACTTAATTTTGAACAATACGGTACTTTCCAACTTGCAAGATTCAATACTTTTATCCAATTGACGAAAACCTATACTTTTTTATTGAATTTGCATGAAACTCCAAATTATGAAGCGATAGTATTGTTGCGTCAAATAAAATAATATTAATTATTTCTTAAAAATAAACTTACAAAATATTGAAAAGTTTTGATCGATGAATAAAAGTATAGATATTTTACCCAGGACCTATTTTTTAACTAGGAAACTACCCAATAAGGATTAGACAGATCACGACAGGTTCCATAATTCTTTGAAATGTCATTTCAAACTGTATGTTCTACCACATGTATATGTACATTAATTTAGTTGGATAGCATTTCTAAATGCTCTTTGAATGATGAATATCACTTAGATATGCTTTTTACAGTACTCCGAACAATCTATTACAATATTATTCAAATTTAAATACTATAGTAAAGTTATTTTTATGTAATTCGTATACAGCAGCAGGAGGAATCACTGGAAGCGGCGCACGACGTGACGGCGGTGTCGGCCGACATCACGGTGGACTCGGTCCGCGACCACACCAACGCCGCGCCTGAACCGCAGCCCAACGAGCTGAACATCAACCTACAGGTCAGGGAAACATAACCACTAACTTTAGCCCGCGACTTCGTTCGCGTGGAATAGTGACTTCCTGCAGATTTTTGGTTTAAAAACTATCCTATGTCCTTCCTCGAGTTCCAAACTATGTCTGTACTTACCAAATTTCACGCAAATCGGTTTAGTAAACTACTATAAATAAGAAGGCATAAAAAAGAAGAGACATACAGACAGAGTAACTTTAGCATTTATAATATTAGTTTGGATTAAGCAAACATTGTGCATTTTAGTACCGTCCAACCCGTCTAATAGATAGTTAGGCGTAATGGTTGTCAAAGGGTGGCCACGTACTGTCAAGTACGACGTAGGAGATCCTTCTTCAAGATGGACAGACGATCTCATAAGGGTTGCTAGAAGCTTCTGGTTGCAGGTTGTCTTCAACCGGTGGATCTTAAACTCACTCACTCGGGAACATCTAATGTTCAGCCACAGACATGTTGAGGCTAATAAGTTAATAATATATTAATTTGTTTAACGCGCCTCTGCGAATTGGTTTTGGTCTCATTTGTGGAAATCATTTACTAGAGTACCCCGGAACCCCGTAGTCCCGTTAAACGAAGCAAACATACATAATAATGATAATGACATATGCTTGTAAATGATTTATCAGAATACATACTATATCCCTTCAAAAAATTACTATGGCATTTCTAAATTAAAGACTGTGTAATGAATTCGACACTTTAACTATCCATACTTAAGTATTATCTTCTAAAAAATCGTCAACTATATGCCTGAACACACTTATCTAAACGTCCAATTAAATTCTGCCAACCGACAAACAGAATTCGCAAGTGAACACGTCCTCGATGGTGGTGAAAACGACGACGCGCACGATGGTCAACGACACGAATGGTGACGGTACCACCACCACTACCACAACGACCACCAGCAATTCCACCAGCGAGAATAGTGAGTATTCACGTCACAAATACACGTAGAATAGACCCTACATAAATATTATCTTTATCCATTTATCTACTATAAAAACCACCAATGAATCTTGTCACAATAGAAGAAAGACAAAAGTCCTTATCCTTTAGTATATTTTTTCGTGTCTTAATTACATCACAATTAGCTCCGCAGTTTATGTGATAAATAACTTTTGTTATTGTATCAAATATAATTCTGTTCTATATTTCAGATTTGTATAATGTATACTACAACATAAACTTATTCAGCTGTTTATTAAAAAAACTTATTTTTGCCTTCAAAATCAAAATAAAATCCTTCACAACTTTTACCCAATATGTTTGCCTCCAGAAGTAAAATTAGTTTCATTTTGAAAATTTCTCTCATGTTTCGTAGTATTAAAATCACTATTTTATTTAGTTTTATTTACAGGATTGAAATTTCCCACCAATAAAAATATGATTTGCATGAAAGCAAACAATATGCTATGAATTGGCTTTCTTTGTATACAAATTTTTACATAATTGTTTATAAAGCAAAGCTTTCGCAGCGCCCTGCAATATATTTTTATTGTATAATTTGTAATGGCAATGGAAACAAATAATTATGATTGCAAATATAACTTACGGCAACATCTTTTACGTTCCACATTTTTTATCTATACTAAACCAAACAAGTTTTTTAATTTCACCACCTTACCTGTCGCCCTGTCACCTTATAATTAATTATTCGTTTCCGACCATTGACATAGTGTTAAAATTGACCATAAAATATCTAAGATTTGAATCGCTTCATACACCATTTTATATGTTTATGTTTCATGTTTATCCGTTTCTATGTTTGACGGGCGCTTTGTGTTTTGTTTGTAGTCCTAGAGCACAGTCGCGAGGAAGGAGTCATCACGCGCATCGAGGTATCCCACACTTTGCTTTCATAACTACCTTACCTTACCTACGATAACTTCTACATACCTTGCATGATACTTTATACCAAGTATTCCAGCAACTTTCTACCGATTATTTAGCTTCATACGCCTCTATTGATAAACCTTATAGATTCCTCTTTCCAGAATTATTCAGATTCTATCTAAACTAACAATAACTAAATTTAAATTGTATTTTAACCGACTAACTTACTCTAAGCAATGTTGTGGCGTCCGCTCGTGTAATGTTCGTACAGGGATCATTCACCACCATGGCTAAATTTTAGCAAAAAGAGTAAAGAATTAAAAACAAGATCGTTTTGGCAATAATCTCCAGTAGACCCTGGTAAACACACGCGGTCGCCACGAGTTGCCGAGAAGAACGTTCGGTGGTACTCATAAGGCGGTGTTCACACAGACGGGCACGGTGACGGTGCCGGCCGGCACAGACCCGAAGCTGATCCTCGAGATGTTTGACCGGCAGCGCTCGCCCCTCAGCGTGCCCGTGCCGCCGCAGCCCGCCGCCGCCGAGACCAACTAGCGCGGCCCTCGTCCCTGCGCTACCGCTCCTAGAGCCGGCGCTATGTTCCGCCACTTGTTTCTATCTACCGCATACTGCGTGTACTGCTCTGTCGTTTACCCGGTATTCAGACCACCGATTCATGAAGACATACCGGTAATTTTATCATTTGACAAAATTGTATTAAACGTGACAACGGTTAGTTTTACAGTTAGTCTAATTTCTTAACATATTTATAGAATAAATTTCTTTCTATGCCTAGACAGCTAAAGGTACTGCCATGAATTAATTTCTTGATAATAAAAGTCAATTTGGTTACTCTAGGTATACAAAACTATCATTGGGAGCATTTCTGTACATTTATGTATTAATTCCTTCTTGTTTTAAGGTCTACTTGCATTTTATTATCTTAACTCTATATACTATTATTTACTATAATGTGGCTTGCATGTTTATATTATGGCGATAATTTGGATGTAATTTTCTTTGCAATGTTTTGTATTATTTAGTAAATAATTTAATAGATGCTTATTCTGTACTTAACAGTATCACGTCAATTTTCTATAAAATGAGATTATCTTATCTTCATTATTTAATTGCTGTTAGTTTTAATTTTAAACATGGCAACCCGTAAGTGAAGCTTCCCAGCTTTGCTATGTTCACTGCTATGCTTACTGGCGACTGGCGACCTATCCATAGCGACAAATATATAATGGAGAATGTTATGTTAGTACAAAATCCGGAACGCCATAGCAACATTTGTTGTATCCAGCAATACTACAATATAATTGTGGATTGTTTTAAGTAATTTATAGTTAAGAGAACAATGTGAAATTAATATTCTAATTTAGCTCGTTAAGTTAGTATTTGGAACATTCGGAGTGAATGTGATGTGCCTATTTATTTCTTTTTTTAATATAATAAAGATTGTATCTAGGTGATAGAATAGAAAAGTTTTTGACAATTAGTAATGACTAGAATATATTTTATTATGAATAGCATTTAGATTTTCCACAGCAAGTTGGAGTAAACATTTTTATTGCCAATTTTATATTAATATTATGAAGAAAGAAATTGTTGTATTACCTTGCAGTGTTTCACTTGAATTGTATATTCAGTAAATATTAATTTTAATAAATTATAATGTTGTACGAATGAAAGTTTTATGCAATATTTTTTTAGCTTTTTAAACGCGTTTTTTGCATTTTTATGTAACCAGTTTGCAATTCTATTTTGTACCTATATTAATTGGAATGTCTTGTTACTTATTTTATTAAAGCAGTGGCAGCTAGCTATATGAGAACGTAATTGAGCACATCTTTACTACACATCACAAGTCGTGATATAAGGGGATTGATTTATTGTTTTAGACATATATTTTATTCATAGATATAAGTTAATGTGCCTGTCTTTTTTTGGTAAACAATGGGCTCCATCAGGCCCATATCGACATAGTTACATTTACTGTAGGAAGCATCAAGGGTACTCGTATGGCGTCCAAAATGCTTCTATTTATAGTATATACAGATTTTCTCCTTATACTGTGGCATTTTATTAAATTTGATACGAAATTTGCAATTTGTATCCAACATTCTTACAAGAAAATAAAAGCTAAGACTATGATATTGTGTTTTTTATTGAACTTACTTGAACTTGAACTTAACGCAGCGATCAAATATTTACCCACTCCGATTCGGGCACACTATTATAGCAGCGGTAAGACCCCTCTTTGAGAAGTGGCTTGAGAGACGCCACGGGCGTCCTCACCTTCCGCCTGACGCAGGTCCTTACCGGGCACGGCAGCCTTGGTAGGTTCTTGTTTCGGATCCAGCGGGAGGAACCACCCGAGTGTCGTCATTGCGAGAATCAGCTAGAGGATACGGTGGCGGTATGCCCTGCCTGGGCTGAGCACCGCCGTATCCTCAGGGAAGTGATCGGCGGCGGCGACCTCTCGCGCCCGGCCTTAGTCGAGGCCATGGTGCGGAGTGAGGAGAACTGGGACGCCGTCTCCTCCTTTTGTGAAGCAGTCATACTCGAAAAGAGAGTGGCGGCCCGCGTGAGTTAACAATCCTCCTCCTCACGCCCCAGCCGCCGCAACTGGCGACACTACGGGAGTCGGGGATCAAGGGACGATCTCCGGCCACCGTAAGCACGGGTCTGTGGTCGGCGATTAAGGGCAGCTCGCCGCCGGACCAGAACCAGGCCCGAGCGTACGGCGCGTAGCGTTCCGCGCGCGCCTCAAAGAGCCAATAGACTACCACAGACGAGGCCCTAAAGGGCTAATGTTCAGCCGGGGTTCAGGAGAAGGAACAGGGGGTTTTTCAGTCAGTAAGAGTCTGACACTCCCTCCCGCCCGGCCCTGGGCGGGAGAAGTCATTTGATGATTTTCCCCTCACAAAAAAAACCCACTCCGACTCTACTTATTCAGAATTTCAGACGCCTAACTCAATTTTGTTTTCCTGGCGGTATCATGAGCCTAATCAACACTAATAGTATTAAGAGAAATTATTTATGTTGTTGATTGTTGAAAGCAAATGATACAAATTAGTAACACCCTAGGTAACTTAGGTAAGATATGTGTATGTATTGCAATTTAGGAGCTTATAAGACATGTGTAACTTGTTCGACTGTCTGTGCTTATTATTACAATAACTTACACTACTTATAGGTGAGGTCTCACAAACACTACAGTATATCAAATACATTTTACTTGTCCGAAGCCGGAGAAAATTTTTCCCGAGTTGCAATTACCTTTATGTACCCAGGCTAATTTATTAATATTAAGTACTTTTCTTGTCTCAAAATGTAAATTCGGATTATTTCAAATATAATGTATCTCAAAATGGCTTTCTTTTTACCGAGTACAATTCTAAAATAAAGTGTTTCTGAAACCGCCCAATTTTTCAATTGATTCCTCATAAAAGGAAATCATTGCCGTAACTATTTTTCTCCATAACCAAAATTCATTATAGTTATATTTGATGGTGTGGCAACAAAACTAGAGATTGACACATGTACGACTATGTGTCAATGTCACATACAAATCTCAAATTGTCGTATGTTTTGAAATAATTTCTATTGAGATTTTTCTATACCCTTTATTTAAAAAAGATAACATGGACCTATGCAGGGTCTGTCTTGGACCTGAGCCCTGCAAGGATATATTGTCTGAGCCACAAAAACCAAAAACTGACAGTAAAAGCTTTGCTGAAATATTTATGTTTTGTTTCGACATAAAGGTAAACAACGCCTTATTTGATAAAAAACGAGACCTATTTCCAGATTTATCATAATATATTCTGTCCCTTAGGTTGATGAAGACTCAAAAATTAGTACAAAAATATGTATAAAATGTTACAATAAGGTTAAATCTTACTATAGCTTTAAATGCCAAGCTGTAGAAAGTGATGCATATCTAAAATTGTTACAAGAAGGGAATAGCATTAAGAATGAGGTATTTTTAAGAGATGATAATGATATAAAGAGTGAACAGTCGTCTTTGACGAATGACATGCAGGAACTAGATGTAACAGTAAAAGATGAACCAAAAGATGATTCTTTTTATAAAAGTGAGGACGACTCACGTGGCTACGACACTGACGATGTATTGCTGAGTGTAATCAAGAATATAAAGTATGAATTTAATCAAGATGGTGGTAAAGAGGGTATGTATCTATGTAAGTTTTGATTTGCCTGGTAGAGGCTGCTTCGGAGATCAAATCGGCAAAGTTTTTGTGTACAGTGATTGTTACAGATTGTACATAAGTTGCTAAGATATGTGTTTGGATTAAAATGTTTATAAACACAGGAGAATAGACCAGTGTGAGATATATAGTTTTTCCTTAACATGGGCATTTTCTTTTATTCTAAGAACAAGCTGTAAAAAAGAAGCAGAAAAGAAAAGGTATTACCGAAGCCAACTCGAATGCTGTTAGACAAATATGTGAAGAGTGTGGGAAAGCCGTAAAGGACCTGAAGGCTCACTCATATCTCCACATGCCAGAGTCATGTCGAAAACGATTTAAATGTAAAACCTGCGACAAAGTATTCTCCAGCCACAGCTCAAGAAGTAAACACAATAAAATAAAACATTTAGGATTAAAAAAGCAATGTGAGCTTTGTAATAAGAGTAAGTAATTAAATTAAATATTACTTTGTTGATTAGATGACAATCAAATTTGCACCTTTTTTTATGTAATTATACATTGTCAATACATATAATAAAATTGTAAAAGGTTGGTGTCTGTACATGGAAGATAAATAGAAAAACTTTATTAGGGGAACTTGTAGAAACTATGGGCAGATGTACACAACAGAACCCAAAACAATGATTTTTATAATTTTAGTCTGTTTGTCTGTACATTTGTTCGGGCTAATCTCAAAAACGGCATTATCTAATTGAATGTAGTTCTCACTTTTGCGCTGTGGTTTGCTGGGATTAACATAAGTTGTGCTATAATCAGCTATTATACATAAAATGAGGTGCAAATTTAATACTGAATGTTTGTAATGAGTATTTTGAATATTATTATGACAAAGGAATTTAAGGTACTTTGGGGAAAACCAAACAAATTTAAGGCTTTTTTTATATGTGTGATTACCAGTGATCTGAATAGGTAGATTGATTTTTGGTACTGGTATCATAAATGCACACAGAAAGAGTAACATGGATAAGCCATTTTCCCGGAAAGTAATTCCAGATTCGGTATAGTTGGTAGTGATATTATTCCTGCTCAATTCAAGACTTAAAGGAAGGTATCAAAATTAAATTAATTCATTATTTATCTGTTGAAAAAACAATCAAATTCCGATCGAAGCTTTAATTTTATTTTTTTTTAGCCTTTTATGGCTAGAACGTTTATAGATAGACATAAATTGTTGCACTTAAATTTAAAAATTTTCATAGGCTCATGGTAATTTGCATTAAGGGTAGAATAAATGATGGGCCCCATAGAGGGCCAATGCCTGCTGGGATCGTGAGACTGTTCTAAGGATGAACTACAACTCTGAAACTTTAGGACCAGGATTTTAGGACCAAAAAAGGGGTAGAATAAAGAATTTTAAAATTTTATTACAATTCTCCTTCCACTCTGGCAGAATAAAATTCCTACATAAGTTCGGTTTTTTTTAATAATCCACCAATTCCAGAGGAGTGTCCATATTAATATGTAAGTTTCGGATCAATGACCCCATTTCAATCTACCTACTCTGACCACTGGTGATTACATCCATAAAATAGTGAAGAAAATCATTATTAGTTTAGCACCTGTTTAAAGCTAGGTCTGGTTGCAGTATTGCTATATAAAAAAAATATTGCATATTATTTACTTACCTACTCGTGACCAATGTAATTGTATTTGACAGCTGTAACAAATCTTCAGCAGCACATACTTGTGGTGCACAATCGGTCGTCGCTACCGTTCTGCTGCGTGTCCTGTGGTCGCAGGTTTATTTCCAAGTCCACGCTGGACCTGCACATGACGACACACACCAAAGATCGCCCTTATCCCTGTACAGAATGCGATAAAAAGTTTTCCACTAATCAAAGGATGCTTCTTCATAGGTGAGTAGAATAATAGCAATAAAAATATTAAATTTTATTTATGGCCCCACAATAAGATTTTCTATTGACTCGTTTTTGCGTTGTCCAACTAAAAAATCCCTGGCCAGAAGCAGAAGAAGGAACGAGATGGTATTTTTTCATTAAAGGTCTGACACTCTCAACCCACCCAAGAGAAGTCATTTGATAAATTCGGTCAGCCATTAATTTTAGGCAAGAAAAAATAATAGTCCTTATAAAATATGTGCAATTGTTACACCCAGAACTTAGGTATAGGGTATATAACCTGGGTTTCTTCAAGCCTGAGTGAATAGGTTGCTTATGGGTAGGCATAGGCTTGCTCCATTAAAGGTTGCATTATCGTATACCACCAGGCGTGATAGCGGCCAAATGTCTGCCCATTTCGGAATGGATTAAAAACTTTTCTTTGTTTCAGACGTCAAGTTCACGACAAAGAGAAGTCACACCTATGTCAATTATGTTCCAAGAGCTTCTTCAAGAAATATCATTTACAAGTACATTTAAGGTAAGATTCCATACCAGTTCAGATAAGTACTACAACAATAAAGATCCCTAATCTATGTATTCGATTCTTAGCCTTATTATTTAAGAATAGGATATAGTTCAATGTTAAGTCTGTTTAATGCATTAACACATTTGCTTGCAAAATTCTCATATTTAATAGCTATTTTATAATTCACGCACTCATGTGAATAAGTACGTGATCAGCTTTTCAAATGTAGGCCTGTGTGATACCACAGCTTCACAGAAACCCGACGAGAAGCAATACTTCCGTTGTGTTTCATCGTATGAGTGAGGTTACTGGAGGGTCAATACCACGACCCTCCTCCTCCCCAATCCTTAAATCCCCTATCCATTAATCCCTAACAACCCACAAGAGGCCGGCCAACGCACTTATAGTAACTCCTTTGATATTCCGAGTATCCATGGGCGGCGCCGATTGCTTACCTTCAGGTAATCCGTCTGCTGCTGCTTACTTGTTTACCGACTTATAACGATTTGACGATATAAAAAAAACTTGACTGAAGTAAAGAAAACAGCTGGCGAGTCCTCCTTTTCTGCAATTTCAACTTTGTTGTTATTGTATAAAGTTGAAAATCAATTTAAAGTAGACAGATTGGACTAGGTTGACCAGCTTCTAGAAAAGTAAATACGATTCACGATACTATTTTATATTTCTATCTTTTACAGGAGTCATTCGAAAGAGAAGCCGTATTCATGTCCAGAATGCGGGAAATGTTTCTCCACCACCACAACCCTGAACAGTCACCGAGAAATCCACAAAGAGGAGAAAGCATTTAATTGTACTCTCTGTGATATGTCCTTCAAAAAGAGGAAGTAAGTACTATTTAGGTCACAGATAGGCTTTGCCTTAGAACCACACCATCGTTCATGATCTTGTATCTCTCCGTATTACAACCACGGTGTTATTAACCACTTACTGGGGCTATTTCGATCACTTAAGAAACGATAAGAGGCTAAATAAACGATTTTTTAACAATGGTAAGTATAATTAATCCTCACGGCAAATAGCTTGGAGACCACAATTAAGTCACCAGCATTATTGGGATTGCTCGTATGACGCAGTTTTAAGGCGTCCCGGGCATGTCCCGTCTGTCCCTGAACCTACCTAGAACCTAGGTCGACAGCTATCGTTTCATATACATCTCACGCCCATATATCATTAAACTAAATCTGCAGACAGTTGAATTCACAATGTAATACTTAATTATTTATTTGTCGAATGACAAATACTAATAACTAATTAGATTTTTTATATTCGGTCCTCATTTTTGACTCTACACACTGAAATTCTAATTTATTCCTTCTGTCCTCAGCTACCTAAATGCCCACATGATCAGCCATACGAAGGAAAAACGCCACCCTTGCCAGTACTGCGGCGTGAAGTTCGGTCGTTCGGATCACCGCAAGAGACACGAGTATACAGCACACGAGAAGAATTTTATCAGCACCTAACAGGAACACCAAATCATACAACTTACATAATTTCATAAGTGTATTGGACGTTTTTCGAAACTAACGCCATCTATGTAAAATATTTGGCAACATGTTTACTTAGTCCATACGGTACAAGGTATCGAAGTTTGGAAAAAAAGTCGACACAATTCTAATCGATTTATGGACAGACATATCTTATTTTATGTAAAAGTTATTACTTCAAAATTAAAATACTTTATCGATTCGACACACAGTACAAGGCTCTTATCGGCGAACTTTCTTCTCACACTTGCTGCTTGAGACTAGCGGCATAAACTTAAATAAAAAAAAAATGTCAAAACATGTGAGAGGAAGGTCAAAGAAGATTATCAAGGACTTGGTATATTTTTTCCACTAGCATTTACGCTAATACTTCTATTAATCTTACATCTTTAAAAAGCTTTAACGTCTATCAAACACTTCTGTCATTAGTTATTTCGAATCTTCTTCCTTTATACAGGTGCTTCCAAATCTGATGAATGTACATGTTGTCTGGGTGCAGTTCGCAAGATGCTCACGAGTCTCCTTTGGTAGATGTAGACGCGCCTAGTCAAGTTCAGTTTTGTTTGCGTTATAAAACGATGCTATAAAAGATCAAAGTTGTAATTATCAGCGCCGTGGTGACATTTAATTTTCTTTTTTATTTTTTTTTTTTTTGTCATTATCAATAATCAACTGAAAAGAAAATTACGATTTTCTATTATTTTCGTATTATTAAAAAAGATATTATTTGATGTATGTAGTACAATATCAGAGATCAAATAACCACCTGCTATTATAATTATCAAATTAGTTTTCTTTTTAATCTAGTACTTATAGTTTCTTCTTAACAATTTGATGTGTCAACATTCTCATTTCGATGGGTGAGTGAAGTAAGTGACAAAAAATGTACCTACCTTTGCAACTTGCAACGCACTTCAGACTGCGAATCTGAGAGGTTGTGTTATTTTTTTTACTATTTACTATTATTATACAAGTGGCTTTTATACCTGTGATGGGCAGACCAACCAGAGTGGCTTTAAAACATTCGTCCTTCCGTGTATTATACTTTAAAAAAGTTAAAAAAATATATATTCTTAAAATATTGTTTAAAAATTGATAATGTTGAGTTAAAAGAATTGTTTGACATTTATTTACGTTATTAAAATAAAATCTATGAGGTTTTTAAAAATGTTTTTAATACCAATCACCAACTTCGGTTTCCTCGATTTCCTATTTCAAGTTTGTTCTGTATTCTGAGTTCAAACTAGAGTTACGACGGATAAGTAACTAACCGAGTTTCGGATCCAATCCCTGAGTCGAGCATTAGTAATATTTTTGACATCCTGAAATCGGCCAAAAATAAAGAATATGATGCAGCCAATTTCAAATACAGTTTTATTACACAACACACACCAATACAAGATCAAAAAATTAGAAATAATAACTGAACTCAAGTCTGCTTTTGCAGTTCTTCGAGTTGGTTACCCTGTTCCTCTGGAACAATTCCTCGTTTGGCCTTAGCGACCTCTATGATCTCTTCATCAGTCATAGCGAAATAACCGCCTTCTAACATTTTACAATTGCCGCAGTCAGGCAGGTCCGGACTCCCTCCTGGAGAGAATATGTTGAGGGTGTTGAATACATATTGTAGCTTGTCCTCAAGGTGTGGATACTCGTCCTCCAGCACTCCTACAATGTACCGCAGCCGTTCGTTTAAGTTCTTCGCTTGGGTGTGGTCTGCTAAAATCTGGTCTTTCGGCTTCTTAGGGCGGACTGACTGACGCTTTATAGCGGTGGAGAGCTCAGTCCCAAAGCGTTGCGCACGGACTACGCGTTCGAGGAGCTGCGAATTAATATTTTTGATGAAATAATATTTATTAATAAGTATCTAGGAGGCTAAAGCAACGATTTTATAAGCATAGAAACTAGCATGCTGTCGTATAAGCACGAGCGCTACCTACAACTACACTACACTAGACACATGACACTACACTGACCCAATGTTTGGTCCGCTCAGTGAGCATGGTCTCCTTGATGATCTCCGCGACGCGCTCCTCCATTTGTGCGTTATTAGCGTTTGCCTCAGCCAGCTCGCGGTCCAAACGTTCCTGGTTCTTCATCAAATGCTCCATTTGAGCTTTCGCGTCAGCTATTTCCTGGAACAATGGCAAGCCATGGACGTGTGAGCTTCTATGCTGCTAACCTGATTCTGATTTTTATGAAAATCTGGTATACAAATACAATACTCTATGATTTGAAAGATGAATTTAACGCGCACTGATTTAAAACAAATTTAGTAGTCTGGTTTTGAATAAATACTATTTCTTCATGAAAGCCACTTCAGCAAAAATAAGATTGGAAAAAAGAGAAAAAAAGGCAAGCATCCGGCAAGGCAAAAAAGGTAGCAGCACCGTGGAGTCCAGGTCCACGGTGCTGCTACCTTTTTCTTAGTGAATTGTTCCCGTTACCTTAGTAACCCTGGTCACATCTGCCTTAGCAAGCCTCAATTTGTGATGGTAAGTAGACTGCGAAGTGTTGGAAGGTCCATGGGACTTCTCAACGGCTGCAGCAGCCCTAGTCTTATCCATGACGGTGTCTCGGCGCGTCACGAACAGAGCCAAGTCATCAGCAAGTTTCTCACTAGTGCGGCGAAGCTGTTCTCGACGGACCTACGTAGAAAATACCAGACATTTTAAAAAAGCCTATTATTTAGTAGGGCAGGTTTAAAAGGAGGCTTTTAAACTTCATTCTATTATTATGACTCTCTCTTTTTTGTCAGGAGAAATCGTTAAGTGTCTTCTCCCACCCAGGGTGAGGCGAGAGGGAGTGTCAGACTCTTACTGGCTAACCCCCCGTGTTCCTTCTTCTGCTCTAGGCCGAGGCCGCAGTGTCTCATTGCGCTTATCCCACAACCCCGACTGAACATCAGCACTATAGGGCCCCGTCTAATTATTATGATTCGTTGGAGCTGCATTTTGTTAGCCTTAGTTAACATTAGGTTTTTTAATTCGATCTTATAAAAAATTAACTGAACTAACCTCCATCCTATGTATTTCGGCCCTCATCTGTCCTATTTCGCCAGTCATGGACTTCGCAGTGGCCATGCTTTTCTTCAGTTCTACTGCTAATATTCCCTAAAAAATAAAAACATACCAACTACATTTAAAAAGAATATCCTACTAATACTATATATGTCAAAGTTTGTGAGAATGTATGTTTATTATTTTTTCACGCAAAATCAGCTAGACCGATTTGGTTCAAATTTGATAGATATGTCGTTATGTGATACCCTGGGTTACACAACATATAGGCTCCTTTTTAACAGCATACCACGCGGGCCAAGCCGCCAGCGGAAGCTAGATAGTAGTAGTTCCGCGGTATCTTAAAAACCGACTGATGGACTACACCACGCCTAGAAGACATTAGTACCCTTCTCTGATAAACCTGGACCTTGAAACTGCGATCTCCAACCCACTTGCTAAGCGTGGAGATTGTGGCAAATCTCTCTTTATGTAGAGAAGACTTAAATAAAATATAGAAACTGCTAGCTTCAAATGTTATTACTTATCTTAAAAATATAAAGAGCTGATGATACTACCTTCCTCTGCCATATTAGAGCCTCTCTCTGAACTCGATCCAATTCTTGTGTAAGATTCATCTTCTCCTTATCCAACTGCTCTATTTCATCTTCAAGTTGTATTATTTCGGTTTCAGCATCCTGTCAACGTAGCCAACTTCGTTATCAATGCATTTTTAATAAAAGCCAACAGAAACAAATACTGAACAAAACGTATCAAGTTGTTTTTGTGACAGAGTTGTTTGATCCTTTAGAAAAAGGAAGAGAACAATTAAACTCTAAAACGGTCAAAATTAAAAACCAAGAAAACATTTAATTGATTAATTGTTTCTGTTAAAAATTGTCTCACATAACGGTCATCTCACGTTTTTTTTTTATTTCGTAATGGGCAGGCATTTGGCCTGGGGGTATGCGATGATGCGACCTACGATGGAGCACGCCTACCCATAAAGAATCTACTCACTCGGGCCATAAAAACACCCAGGCTATAGGTGCCCTTATGGCCTTTGGGGAACACAGAATCCGGCAAAGAATTCCACTCCTTAGCGGTTCTGAATCTACAGTTAGGAACGAGCAAAGAGCCTCACTAAGAGGACTGACCGACAGACTGTCAATTTTTATCTTTCAAGCTTTGTTAGACGTGCAAAAGTGCCTGTAATTAAAAGTGATGGTGAACCGCTTCCTACATGTGGGTATTTACCACGGAATACAGTTACCATAAAGCGATGACGTTTTGCCGACTTAGTTTTTTTTTATTCCGCCATTACCTTGAGACTCGCAGCGTATTCATGTGATATGGCGAGGTTGCTCCGTTGTGCGTGCTGGTTCCTCTCGGTGGCATCCTTGCGCGTCCTCTCCAGTACTTCGAGTCTCCCACGCAACGACCGCAGCGAGCGCTCCACGCGGTTTCTGTCTGCTAGCACTGTTTCTGACTCTGCTTGGATCCGCATTATCTTTTGGTCGCAGATTTGGATCTCTGGAAAATTTGGAAAGAGGGGCTATTCGTTAACATTGTCAAATTAAGAAGTAGTTTGTTTGTTTTTATATACTACTGCACTCTTTCCGTAATATCAACTGTCTTGCTACTGACAACATTTTGTAGGTATTTGTGCGACGGGGCACTTTAGTATATTCACATTTTTTTCGCTCCCCTGCTCTGAGTGTCCATGAGCGGCGCCAATTGTCAACCATCAAGTGGCGTCTGATTGTTTGCCATATAAAATATAGCAATAATTGACGTTCTAACTCGTAACGTGTAATAAATTTCAAAGCAAAGTTTCTGGAACACAGGCAATTTGTAAAGCTAACGTTTATTGATGAGGTTGATGTCGGTGACCAAGAGATGGCGCTGGTCCGCCAGCTTGACCACGTGACCCTGCTGCCGCAGCCACTCATGCTGCATCACCTCCGTGCGCTCACGCAAACACTTGATCTGCTTCTCCAAGCCCTCAATACGACGCTCTTGGGGAGACTTCATCTGTGACCGAAGAAGTATTAAGAAAAAAAAATATAATGTTCTCATTTGCTTTGCGAATTTGTGGTTTATGTGAATCACAGATTAAAAAAATATTCCGTGTGTACATAATTAATTTGCATTTTCTATTAAGAAAATTCAATATATCTAACAGAAGCAGATAAAAGTACACCAATTTCACCGATTTATTTACATTAACTTTTCCATATCGTGTTAATATGAGACACAATAGTAAGACAATAGTTGTGCGTTAGCCGGCATTCACTGGGGTTTGACAAATTAAGCAAGTAACCTCACATCAAATATCTCCTTCAGTGCAATAAATTTCTTCGTAATGATGTCCAGCTCTCTTTGCTTCCTCGTCAGGACTGACGACTTAGTGTCAAACTCTAACTGCAGCTCGGCTATCTCTTGCTCTTTCTTTTTCACCAAAGCCTGTTTCTCTTGCAGCACCGCCGCGTTCTTCGCTTGACTATTCCGCATTATCTCTATCTCCAAGAGTATGCGAGCGTGCTGGTTCTCCATTGACATTAGAGATATTTCCTGGAAATGAAATAGCGTCGAGATAAAGGAATTAAGTTATATACTTCACCCCGCTATGAATCGTTGACACAATTTTATTGACAACTACGTAATACATACTATAAATATTTACTGAAAAATAAAAACATTGTATTCCTATAGGTATCTCTTATTTGTGTCGTGTGGTAAACACTATATCATAACATAGTATAAAACAAAATCATTCATCACCTGTTTCCTCGACATCTCCCTCATCTTCCGTATGCCGTTGGCCATGGACTCCACAGCCTTGTCATTGAGCAGGCACTCCTGCAGGTTCGACAGGATCTCATTCTCCAGCTTGAGCTTATACTCTGCCTTTCTATCTAGTTCCTTCTCTGTGCTTTTCAACATGTTCCGCATAGTTTGGTTCTCCTGAAAAGTTAGTTAAGTGACAAAAATGTTAACTTTATGGGTATGTAGTTGGTATGAAACATCGGTATTTTATAAGAATATGAATGTGAATATTAAGTGAGAATTGTATGGCAATTCAATTGTGTCGTCCTGTGAGTAAGGTTAAGTAAACCATCAGTAGTGTTTGTTGCAACGCACTTGCAAGTATTATTATTTGATATTCTGAATCTCAATGGGCGGCGCTGATTGCTTACCATCAGGCAATCAGCTGTCTGCTCATTTTCCGATTTATGAGTCCGAGTCACAAGTCCGCAAGTGAGGTATTTAGGCAAACATTAATAAGTTGTTCAATCCCAGGTTTTGTGTAACATATTTGAAGTTCGTAGTAAAAAGTAGGCACCAAGAGGATCAAGCTGAATTTGGAGGATCGTAAAAGAAGTAATCATTTGTTTTGTGTAAAGTAGTTCTTTTTAAGTTTTTAAGCATATTCAATAAGTACATACAGATTTAATCATTTCATGATCCCGATCAGTCATTTCAATAGACTCGGTAAGTTCGTGGATTAGCGCTTCTAAACTCTGACGTTTTGTGTCCTCAACATCATCTGTAAAAAAATAGCCTATTTAAATCTCACTTTATTGGTAGATCAATATAATATCTACTTACTTAAAAAAGTGAGTTATATAATAAGAATTAAGTAATTTGCATCAGAAAGCACGTAACTTCACCTTCACTAAGTATATTTCAAAACAAAAAAAGCTGAGTTTCGCAAAAAAATTAGAAATTATGCATAAGATATACTGCAAGACCATTCATACTTTACTGGACAACCTGTATTTAGCCTTAAAATATTCATGGTAGGTACTCTATGGAATATTTACAAAGGTTTACAAAATGTCATTCAAAGTTTTTCGATATAATTATTAATTAATTTTGAGGGAAAATAGTGTCCGTCGAATCCGCTAGAGTAAATAAAATCCAAAAAGAAAGCCTACTATTGCTACCAAGATGTTAATCTTTATCAAAACAAAATAATTTTCTCCTTTTGTTTCACGTTAGGTTTCGCCGTGTGAGTGAGTTACCGAGGGCCCAATCCCCTCTTCTCCATCCTCAATCCCTAAATCCCCTTTCCACGCAGTTATTGAGCGCCTTCGAGAGGTTTTTTTTTAATGTAATACAACGGCAAACGAGCAGACGTATTACCTGATGGCAAGTAATCAGTGCCGCCCATGGACACCCGCAACGTAGGAGTTACGAGCGCGTTGTCGACCTTTTAGGGATTATGGATTTGGAGATTTAGGAATTGAGGAGGGATTGGGGGTGGAGAAAGATTGGTCCTCCGGTAACCTCACTCACACGGCGAAACACAACGCTGTGGTTGTTTCACGCCGGTTTTCTGTGAGGCCGTGGTATCACTCCGGTCGAGCCGACCCATTCGTGCCGAAGCATGGCTCTCCCACACTTAAAGGTTAAGGTGATCCGAGACTGCTATACTATAAAATAAAACCTCACTTACGAGCTTTAGTTGCGTGTTCGATATCGTAGTTGAGTTTGTCCTTGTTCATGGCGATCTCCTTGCCCTTGTTCATTTCTTCCATCACAACCTTTTTCGTAATTTCCAGAGAGTTCAGTAGTGTTCGGTAGTTGTCTTGCAATGTTCTGCGAATTTTAAGAACACAATACAAATAAGACGGTGCTCATTCAAAAACATTTACAAAAGTTAACGACTGAAGTGTCATTCAGTGCCAAACAAAATTAAATAACAATTTTTTTTAAAGATTTGAGAACACACCATGTCATTTCAAAAAAATAACCAGCCTTATTCAGTCCTTAAACAGCGCAGGAGGATAATGATAAGTAAATATTTAAGTTTTTTGATGAAAAAACAAACCATAAAGAAAGAGATTATACTTTTGATATTTATATTTGTGTGCGACGTATTTTTCACATCCATATTTTGGTTATTACCTACTTGAAATTCAAGTTCAAGTTTCAGTTACAACAACCGATGTGGGCGTCCTGCAATATCAGTATTTCAAACGCACGTTGACGACTTTTTAAAATACGGAATATATTTTTTGGACTCCAGACAATACAATTGACAGTTTTGTCTGGGAGGACGTTGCTGGCTGTGAGAAAGTTGTGTGTAAGTATTGTACAATTTTATAGCTATTATCGTTTCATTTCGTATGTTCCAAATAAAAGGTTGTTAATTAATTTTGTTCCTGAATTTAACAAAAAAATATATATTTGATATGTGTGAGATCCCTGTCAAAATAATCCTAGAAAATAAACTACTCTGTCAAGAAAGTACCGGGAAAAAGTCAATAATACACAAAATGTTTGTTATTCATCTAAATTTATTTTATCACCTTCAAAGTATGCTCCTTCAGAAACGATACACTTACGCCAACGAATAATCCAATCATCGAAACATTTTTTAAACGCTGTTTCCGGAATTGAGTTCAGTGCTCGCCGCGAATTCTCCTTTATGTCTTCTAACGATTGAAAACAGGTGCCACGAAGGGGTAATTTGAGTGTGGGAAAAAGAAAGAAGTCGGCTGGAGCCATATCTGGTGAATATGGTGGCTGCTCGATGGTGTTTGTTGAGTGTTTGGACAAAAAAACGTTTACAATGATGGCCTTGTGCGAAGGCGCATTATCGTGATGCAAAATCCAAGAAATTTGTTAAAATGCTACGGATCGACTCGTGAGATACAGAAAGTTCGGCGGCCATCTCTCTCAAACTTGAATCAGGATTTTCAGTCACTATTTCCTTCACTTTTGCGATGTTAACTTCAGTTGCAGACGTTGATGGCCTACCAGAACGAGGCAAATCTTCCATCACATCTCGACCGCTTTTGAACGCTTTGTACCACTCATAAGCACGTGTTTTTGATAAAGTCGATTCACCGTAAGCCTTCTGTAACATTTTGAGTGCCTCCGAACACGAAATTTCATTGGCGATGCAAAATTTAAGACAAACTCTTTGTTCGATGTTTTTGTCCATTATGAAATACACAATACACACTAGATATTATAAAACTAAAAACAGCACTGTATTTAATATAAATAACAGATGCAACTCAAATTTCGCGCCAAAATGGAAAACAGTTATGCCAATCTAACAACAACAAAAAAAATTTAAATTCGAATTTGGAACCATAAAAAAAAACATTCATTCCCGATACTTTGTTGACTGAATGTAACACTAACTTGTAATCATCTCTGACGGAGTCGTAAACCTTATCCCGTTGAGTAATGTTAACAATGACAGAGTTCCACAGGGAAACCAGACGGCGCTTGTCCAGTTCCAAGTCCTCCAGCTCAGCAGCATATGCTGTAACCTGGTGAAAAAGAATCCTCTTGTCTAGATTGGGCACATAATTATAAAAATGAAGAGATTTTTTTAGTATGGGAGAGCCAAGTTTCCTATTGATGCCGCAGCCTCACAGAATACACCGCGACCTCGGCCTAGAGCAGGAGAAGGAACAGGGGGTTTTTAGTCAGTAAGAGTCTGACACTCCCTCCCGCCCGGCCCTGGGTGCGAGAAGTCATTTGATGATTTTCCCCTCACAAAAAAAGCCTCACAGAATATCAGCTACCGACTTGAAACAACCACAGCGTTGTGTTTCCCCCTATGAGTGAGGTTAACGGCGGCCCAATATCGCTATCCTTATCCCTCCCAAATCCTTAAATATAGGAAACAGGCTGGCAACGCACTCCTTTGGGGTTGCGAGTGTCCATGGATGGCGCTGATTACTTACCATCAGGTAATCCGTCAACTCGTATGCCGATCTATCTCATTAAAATTATATTAAATGTGGGACCAAATTCTTCATACAACTTGTAATACATACTTTATACTTATACCTGCCACTGTTACTACCACTGAATGGGCCACAAATCCAAATAGATTGGAAAAGTTCTGATAATTAGGTACTTACTCTATCGTTAACTTTCTCCATCTCCGAGTTTTTGATTTCCAGCTGTTTCTTGAACATCTCCAACTTGGACTCCAGCTTCCAGACTTCATTATTCAGCCCGAACAAAAACATGTCCTGCAATGCAAGTAGTCGAGAAAAAGGATGCTATGGAGATCAATTAAACATCGACCAATAAAATACTTAATATTTTATTTAGAAGACACAGAGACTAGACCATTATCTTTGAAGTGAAGCATCTAAGTACAATAGAGGTAAATTAAGTAATTGTAACAAAGAATCCGAATATGAAATTGATTGCAATAAATCATTGAGTTTCTTCTTTTTTGTTCTTCGCCATCGGAATTTACACTTAGGAACGAAAAAAACTGAACGACAGACTGTCAATTTTGTTTGATGTTTAATAGTAATGTATCATTGAATATTATTTCCTAAATATTATTATTAATTTTATTAAATATTATTTTCTACAAAGTCTTTAAAAATCAGCAGAGAGTGACATCTTTATACACATCAATAAACATTCAAACATTATTCAGTGAAATGCGGCGTCTTACCAGTTGCCTTTTCTCAGCAGCTAGGGCCTGTTTCTCAGCCTTCATTTTGTCAGACATGCGCTGGCTGACAGTCAGGTCGGAGTCGGTCTCCTCACGCCACGCCTCCAACTGACGGCATAACGCATTCAGTGCTTCCATCTCTTCTGCTGTTTCGCGTTCTGGAAAGGTTAAATATATGTGGGTAAGTAAAATTTATGGTTTATAGTAAAGACACTGTTAGACGTTCGTGTGCTTTCCTTGAAAATGTCATTTATGTATTTTACAATTTCATCTGGCCAGTCCAGACTAACCTTTATACCTATACCTACAACTGTGATAGGCAATCCCAATCCATCACAATATAAAAAGGTTTTACCTTTGGAAACTATTATTTGTTCCTGTATTTTTTACCTCTAATCAAATCTTCATCCAACTTCGCCTTGACTTTCTTGTGAGTCTCCTGCGCTTCCCTTGCGCGCTTCTCAGCGGCTTCACGTTCTAGAGTGCGCTGCGCAAGAGTCGCTTCGTATTCTTCTATCAGGATCTGGGTGCGTCAAACATGTAATATTAGGAATTATTTTTTAAGTTTTTGATTGCGAATTTAACCAATTTGTGTATGTATACCAGCTTCCTCCCGCGAGTGTTATGTAGATAAAAAGCAGTATGTGTATTAATCCAGAATATTTTATATTATACTATCTAATCTACAAATGAAGTTTCAACCAAAGCGGTCCTGTTATTTTTGCGTAAAAGAACAACAAACATCTATACATATATTCTCACAAACATTCAGATTCATAATATTAATTAGTATAGTAGGATTGGTAGGATAAGACGTTCCAAAATTTCAAATCTGGGTAATAGCCATTTAATGTAAATGTAGTTGAGGGAATATTAATATGAAAACTACACTTAACTTAATATCTTAGAACGAAGTAACGGCAACCTTTATACAAACAGACGTGGACTCTACAACATAAATAATAAGCGTAGTAAAACAGGCTGTTAATTAAATTAGCTGTAGCTAAATATTTAATCTTAACAGGGCATCGTTGCAACATTCTAAAATCAAATTAGCGTGTACGAACCCTAGACGATTCGGATTTCAAAATCAAACAAAATTTAGACTTACCCCCGGTTTCCGAAAGGCCGATCAATGTTAAAATCAATTTAATCTCTTGTCAAGTCATCTGATTGGTTGACTGAATTATCAATAACCAATCAGATGACTTGACAAGAGATTTAACAGGAGATTAGTTAAATTTAGCGTTGACAAGCCTTTCAGAAACCGGGTGGGTGATTCTCCAAAAAACCTTAACTTTTATTTAACAAGTCATTATCCTCCCAGGTTTTTAAGCATCTTAGTAATTTATTTTATACAATATTTTTAATCGGTTGCTTGTAAGCAGTGGTGAGATTTAATTTAATAAAATAATTATCTGTGTTTTAATCAGCAGACTCGTTAATTTTCGGTTGAGGATAACGACATTATTAAATTTTTTTAATTGATGTGAAGAATCACCCGGGTAAAAGACGGTTATGCGAAGAATACAATTTAAACTTGACTTGTTCTGTCTCTTTGTAATGCCTGTATAAACACAAACATAATTATGAGCAATGTACGACAGACACTTGAACACCTACGTCTCTGTAAATGCAGCCTTAGACTAAAGCAGAAGAAGAAACGGGGGAGGGGAAGGTTTAGTCAGTAAGAGTCTGACGCTCCCTCCTGCCCCCCCCCCACCTGGGCGGGAGAAGTCAAATGATGATTATCCCCTCACTAAAAAAAGCGGCCCAAAAGACAAATGTCATGTATGTTAATAAGGCGTGGCGATTTGATATAGAATATCCCATCCCGTATTTCATACATTTCACAGCAGTAGAAAAATTATTTTACTGCTGGGAAGCTACTCTATCTCCGGTGAACATAGGCTATGACTATAACTACTTACATGAGTGAAACCGCAGGGCACGGTTAATAGTATGAAACCGATATTATTTAGTTCTGTTTCGTGCGTGGTTCTGATAAAACTATAATTATGTAGATGTAAGTAATGTGTATGGTATGTTGATACTATACCCTTTGCGCGTTGGTGTCATGATCACTCCGATAGATGGCTTCCAAGTCCTTGTCATATTCCTGTTTATGCAGTTTTAATTCTTCGCGCTGTAAAAATAATTAATATTAATGTCAGTGAAATATCAAGTAAATTATATAGCGGTTATCTGTAAGAGAGTGCTAGATCTGAACAAGGGCGGATCCAGCTTTGGCTCTAGGAGGTAGTACATAGTAATGGTCAGGTCGAGAAATTAAAATAATAATACTCATTTAGAGATCCACCGAAGTCCTGGAATCAGCACAGAGGGCGGGGTCATAACCCCCATGACCCCCATAACCCACTCCCTGGATCTGCAGTTGGACCTGAAGGCCCAGTGCGAGTTTGGTATACGTTGGGGTAATCAACGCTTTTATGACGTTCGGCATTCTGATTGGCCTCGCCGTAACGCGGTAAAACAAACTCGCATTAAGAATTCTGAATATGTTATAGTTCAGTTTTAACATTTGAATTTTTAGAAAATAACTTTGAATTTTCAGGCACACTGTTACGGCAGCAGTGTTAAGCCCTTTTTTGAAGAGCCTAGAGAGACGCCATGACATCCTCACCTTTTGCCTGAGGTGGCAGGTGCTTAGATACCGGACACGGAAGCTTCAGTTCGTGCGTGGTACATAGAGCGATTTATATAAAGAAAACTAAACAAATTTTTAGTATTCTGTTTAACTGTTTAGTATTCTACGAAATCTGTTTAGTTTCCAACTTAGAAATTACCAGGTTTAGGATTTCCTCTTCAGCAAGTGCGTTCTCTTTGATAAGGAACTGTTTAAGGGTTTCCTGGAACTTCTGCATGAGAGGATGCGTCGCCTCTAGCACCGCAGGCATCGCACCTATATCCCGCTTACTGCGCCATCTAGTAGCGACAAAAGGCGTTAATGGATAGCATAAAAAAATTGAGATTAATAAAAGAATTCGTGTTATTTTATCATAACAAGTGCAACGGTCGAAGAGGAAGGCCAAAGAGAAAGGTTTGGAGAACACATGAATATCTCATCGTGCACTAGTTGTTTGGTTAGGAATTTCTCAGAACGATCATCCTAACTACGATAATCGAAATGTTAATTGTCGACTTGAATAATTTGTTAGGCACTGATTTAATAATATGTATATATGTTCCAAGATTTATAACAATTGTAAAAGTACTTGAAAGTCTATTAACAATATGAAGACGTAGACCAGAAGGGTGATTCTTCACATCAATTAAAAAAAAAATTAATGATGTCATTATCCTCAACCGAAAATTAACTAGTCTGCTGATTAAAACACAGATAATTATTTTATTAAATTAAATCTCACCACTGCTTACAACAATTACAAATACAATTAAAAATATTGTATAAAATAAATTACTAAGATGCTTAAAAACCTGGGAGGATAATGACTTGTTAAATAAAAGTTAAGGTTTTTTGGAGAATCACCCAGAAACTACTAAGTAGGTACCTACGATTTACTTTAAATTTCCTAAAAAACTTATTAATTATAAAATTCAAATAAATATGTGTACGAACTCTTCAAAAGCTTCTCTGTCGACCAACTGGCAGCGGCACAGGTGAATGGGACACTTACAAGTTGGACAATCGCCTTCCCCAGCCCCAGCGGACTGGTCACCATCCTGGAAATAAAATTAGTAATTTTAGTGCTGGGCTACTTTCGTGTCAATGATTCATTGGCCGGTTTCTTTGCCCGGAACATGGGAGTAGGGTTTTGTATTGTGGTTGATTTCCAGCCTAAAGGTAGACCTAGGGCATCAGACCCACCGGCCTATTACAATGAGGGCATCCTTCAAGACACGAGCGTACTCCTTCTGAAAAACAAGTTAATGTGCCTGTAACTTCTCTGGTGCTGTGGGTGTCCACGGGAGGCGCGTCAGGTGGTCCGTCTTCTTGTTTGCCATAAAAAAATAATCTTTACAATAAATAAAACTAACATGATATGTGATCTTCTCATTCCTGAACATTAAGCATGTTTCCTCGTGGATGACAATGTCGCGCTCATCCCGAGGGCACTCGCAGTTCAAGCTGACCAACGATTCTTCAGTTGTACTGTCCTCCGTACAAACACACGGCGTCGACCCCGATTTGGCCGACATTTCGGTTTCTCTTACGTTATAGTAAAAAAACCAATATTAAAGACAATATTGGAAGCAACAACCGATTGAAAACTAAAATTGATAGTCAAAAAATTGTCAGCGAAATTAACAGCTTGTTTGTTGCTAGACAACGATGTTTTTTTTTATAATTTTATTCAAATTTGTCTATGGTTCGAAATAGCATACCGCACCTCCTTACGTGCTATGGTTGCTAAGGTAACGCGGTGTCAACAAAAGCGCGGCATTATTACGAAGTAAACACGTTAATTGGAGAAAACAAAATAAATATGGTAAGAGTTTTATGATAGCTATTAACATACAAAAGTTAATTACGGTGAAAAAATGATTAATTATTTTTAGTTATATGTATACTTACACCTAATATAAACGGATGTTTTACTCGGAGTGGAATTCCTTGCCGGAGTCGGTGTTTCCTGATAGCTACAATCCGGGTATCTTTAAGTCAAGAGTTGAATAGGTTACTTCTAGGTAAGCGCGCTGCATCGTCGACCGCATCGTCGCTTTCCATCAGGTGAGATAGCGGTCAAGCGCGAATCTATAATCAATAAAAAAAAACTTTGTTTTATTTTCATCCCAATCATATTATACAGTATTTATAGGAAAAAACTAAGTATGACCCACTTGACTGATTTATTGAAATACCTTAAGTTTGAATTAATTCCTTGTTAAACATTTGTAGATCCTATCAAGATCAAAACCAGCTACGGAGAGCCGTTCGAACACGGGCAGTAATTCCGCTAAGAAAAGCTTTCCGGAGTTGGAAGACTTTCTGCTAAAGAGGGATTATGTTGGGGCACTCACTATGCTCGAGGTAAATAGACTATAAATAGGATTGCATTGTAACATGATGATTTTCTGCAATGTCTTTGATTCTCATGATACGATTTCTTTATGAAAATAAAGAATGTCAAAAATCATAATTTGTCTTTCGTGAATTTTGTACGAGATAATATGTTGTGACATCAATTTTTCAGTAAAATATGCCATTTCAATACATCATTACTTACATCTTAAAAAAAGGCTAATAAAATATTAAGTATCTCGTAAAATCAATATATGTAAGTGTATACTTTTTAACCCCCGACGCAAAAATGGGATGGGATGTTATAAGTTTCGCGATTTGAATTAAGTTTTTTTTTTGTTTTAAAGGTGACTTACGTGCTTGTGTTCTTAGACATGTTTGACAAAAATCGGTTGAGCCGTCTAGAAGCTATAGGGGGGGGGGGGGGGGGGGAATAAATTAGACCCCCGACGACGAAAAAGAAATAGAGTTTTTTAAATTTTAAATTTATAATTTTTTAATATAATTTATGTTTGCGTTGGAAGATAACGATTGGAAGCGTGGTGATAAATGCTTGTTCCTTCTCCGCGTGGGAGCACTTAGGCTTATGATGATTATAAAAGAACATCTTACTATACCTACATTATTTTATGTTTATGTGTCCTGGTAGCCCAGTGGTCAAGGCGCCCGCTTCTCAGGCATGAGAGTGTGAGTTCGAAACCTCGCAAGTACCAATGTCCAATTTTTCAACTTATATGTGCTTTATATATGATTATATTATTTAGACACCTTTTACATACGTTGAAGGGCCACATCGTAAAGAAACTTGAGCTTATAATTTCTAATTATAAGTTTGACATCGCCAACCCGCCTTAAGCTAGCGGGGTGATTAATGCTCAAACCTTCTCCGTGTGAGAAGAGGCCTTTGATCAGCAGTGAGCACTTATAGGCTGATGATGATGATGATATGTTTATCCCAGTTCCTCAAACACGAGGGCAACAAAGATGTATGGCCGGATGTATGGAGTGCATGGTGCTGGTTCCACCTGGGCGAGTACCGCCGCGCGCTGGACGTGTACCTGCGCGTGCGCACCCGGGACAACCTAGACGCTCGCATATCCGACTACATCGCTATGGATGTCGCCGTTTGTTACTTCTATTTAGGTACGATTTACAGACATTTTTTAGTTTAATTATTTGTTTTTATTGCCATTCTGGATAAAAAAGTATGATTTTCAAAAATAAAGCATTTTGTTTTAGAAAAATACAAGTTCAATGTTTCTTTACTAAAATTGACGATAGTAATAGGACTGTTGACTTATAGGTATGTACCAGGAATCACAAGAAGCTGTGGAAGAAGCGCCCAAATGTTCTTTAAAGGTATGTCTGTGAACCATTATCTCTAACATTGGAATTTGCTATTTCTATAAAAAGCTTATTGTTGTATTTTTATGTGATGGCACGGTAAATGAGCCGACGGTTTGCTAAATACTTGATGATAAGCAATCAGCGCCGCGCAAGGACACCAGCTACAACGCAGGAGTTTCGAGTGTTTGTTTAACCTTTTGAGTTTTAGAGATTTTAGGAGGACGCGGGACTTTTGCAGGACGTCCACCCGCTCAATGGATTAATGACCTGATAAAGGTTGCAGGAAGCCACTGAATGTAGGTTACTTCCAGCTGACTGAACGTTCAAGAATTTATTAGAGGAGCTGAAGCCTATGTATATGGTCTTTAGGGGAAGACGGTTTTGGGCTAATATGACTTTTTCAAACACCTTTGCAGACTCGTCTCCTGTTCCACTTGGCACACAAGCTGGGTGATGAGGAGTCGCTGATGAAGGCACATGCAACTCTACGAGACGTGCCAGAAGACCAATTGTGTCTAGCATCAGTACACTACTTGAGGGCACATTATCAGGAAGCCATTGATGTTTATAAAAAGCTTTTGCTTGATAGACGGTACGTCGAAAAAGCCTGAATTATTTCTTTTGGTTGAACTGTGATTTTCAATGTTTTCTCAATAATTAAAGTAAGTACATTTCGACAATATACTAGAGACTCCCTTAGCAGAGCAGTGAACAGAACATTCCTGTAGAAAAAAAAACATATAGACAATACCTACTGTCTTTATTTTTATCAGTGAATTCCCTAAGCTGATTTAATTAATATTCCACCCTTACAGATATAAAAGATTTGAAAATGACGATATGGATTGGATTAAGACTTTGTCTGCTACTGATGGGTAGGATTGTATCTACTAAGTAGTCTTCCTGATTTCAACTAAAATGTACCATACCATTCGCATACCATTTATTTACAAATTTTGTAACAATCGACAATCCTGTTACACCTTCAATGCTTCTTTTTCTTACGTAACTTTGACTACACTAGACAAGTAGACTGATGGGTCATCTAAAAAACAATTCATCAATTTTCATCTTTATTACCATTTTAAAATCTGTTTCATGATTATATAGCGCAGAATAATTTCATTTAAGTACTTAATTATATGTATAGTTAAACAAGAAGTGTAGTTCTGATTCGGTAACACTGATTCGAGTGATTCTTCTGTATTGTCACCTTCCATTCTTCTTCTTTTATTTTAGCTCATATATGGCGCTGAATGTCTACGTGGCCCTTTGCTACTACAAGCTGGATTACTACGATGTGTCTCAAGAGGTACTCGGGGTCTACCTCACTCAGCATCCAACCTCCACAGTCGCGGGAAACTTGAAGGCCTGTAATCTGTTTAGGTGAGAGTGATACATTTGAATATAGATAATTTAAAAGTGATCCTTTATACAAATGCCTTGTGGTAGACCTTAGATTGTATTATTATGTACTAGCGACAGCCCTGGCTTCGCATGGGTGCGATGCAGATACAAATTTTCTGCACTTTAATGGGTCTTATTATACTTACATATGAACTTTCCTCTTTGATCTTTTTAAAAATGCTTCAAAATAAATTAAGATTAAGCGTACTTATATGGGTCCAAAGAAAGCGTCTTTGTTTTATACTTTGTAGTTATATATGATAAGAGGTTCGGAGGTATCCAACCTCCATACCTAAAAAACAAACTTGGAACTATCTTCAATCGTGTTGTATAGCCGTTCGCCGCCCCATCAGGTTTAGGAGTAACGAAACAAGGAATATGTTTCCTTTTCTAGAATTACTTCTTAACTAGATCCAAATCAAATATAGGATGATACTCATTAGCATATTATATTGAATACCTCCTGTATTTACATTTCACTGCAGACTGTACAACGGTAAGGCAGCAGAGAATGAACTGAAACAGATGACGTCAGACCAGCACACTTTCGGACAAGATCTGGTTAAGCATAACCTTGTTGTGTTCAGGAATGGAGAAGGAGCGTTAAAGGTAGGTTCTAAGTTATCTGTTTGATAGTACATAAAAAATCGTATACGTGCAAGAGTATATGAATATTCTTACAAGCTTTTATTTTTTTTAATGCAGTTTTCCTCCGTCTATATCGAATGTTTTTTGATTTATCTCTGATTGATAATTCACTTTGTAACGAGGACTTTTTTCTTCAAGCTTTGTTTGACGTTCAAAAATGCCTGTCAGGGTCTTATTGCAATTGCGGGTCTGCGGACGGCAAGCAAGGGGAGCGACGACGCGGCCCGATAGGAACCAGACCCGAGCGAACAGCACGTAGCACTTTATAGAGCCAATGGCCCAAAAATGATCTAATTACAATAATGATTTTTAACATTTATTACGAGCATAAGATGTGCCTTATGGGACGTAATAGGCCCTTTTCGTATCTCGGATAGGTATTAGAAGCTATATAATTTAATTCTGTGCCTCAACCGCATGAGGAATTTCAAATTTACTTACTACAATACTCTGCACTAATCAAGGTCATTCAAAACAAACCCACATTACTCATCCCTTTATCAGGTTTTACCAGAACTAGTAGACGTGGTGCCCGAAGCTCGCCTCAACCTGGCAGGGTATAGACTTCGGAACAGAGAGCCGGTAGAAGCTCGGACTCTTCTGGAACCACTGCAGCCCACCTCACCGTTACACTACATCCTAAGAGCCGTGGTCGCTGTGAAGCTGTATAATGAAACTGGAGATGTAAGTGTTTGTCTTTTTTCCCTTGTTATAGGAATGTTGGCAACAACAAAAGAGGCTAGTTGAACTATTTTGTGCCTATCGGTACCAAACAATTTTGCTAACAATGATCTCTATGGCACATTTTTTTTTTTATTGAAGAAACACACACGTTTAACTGCGGTCTCGTAATTAGTGCTCATAACGCTCAAATAATATTCTTTATTTACCGTTTGACCTTCGGGCAAGAATTCTGAGTGCACAACACCGCGATAGTCAAAGAAAACAGTCAACATGACTTTGACTTTTGATCGACTTTGACGTGGTTTTTTCGGTTTTGGTTCAGTTGGAAGGCGCCATTCCGAAGCTTGTTGACTAGTTTGCATGTTAAACTCGTAAACCCACGTCTCCTCACCAGTAACAATGCGTTTCATGAATGTTGGGTCGGTATTGACTCGTTCGATAGCATGTCCTCAGCGACTTTCATGCGATTTAGTTTTTGAAGAAAATTCAGGTCTTTTGGGACTAGCCGAGCGGCAACACGTTTCATACCCAAATTATTTGTTAAAATGGTACGGATCGACTCGTGAGATACAGAAAGTTCGGCGGCCATCTCTCTCAAACTTGAATGAGGATTTTCAGTCACTATTTCCATCACTTTTGCGATGTTAACTTCAGTTGCAGACGTTGATGGCCTACCAGAACGAGGCAAATCTTCCATCACATCTCGACCGCTTTTGAACGCTTTGTACCACTCATAAGCACGTGTTTTTGAAAAAGGCGATTCACCGTAAGCCTTCTGTAACATTTTGAGTGCCTCCGAACACGAAATTTCATTGGCGATGCAAAATTTAAGACAAACTCTTTGTTCGATGTTTTTGTCCATTATGAAATTCGCAATACGCACTAGATATTATAAAACTAAAAACAGCACTGTTTTTAATATAAATAACAGATGCAACTAAAATTCCGCGCCAAAATGGAAAACAGTTATGCCAATCTAACAACAACAAAAAACATTAAAATTCGGATTTGGAACCATAAAAAAAACATTCATTCCCGATACTTTGTTGACTGAATGTATAACTCGTAATAATATTTATCGGTCCGACACGTTAATTACATTAGTGAAGCTTTATTTTTGTTAGATTCACAAGAATTTAACACTCATTTAACGCCTTATTATTCTTACTCGTTTAGGACGAACAGCTTAAGCTGGCTCAGCAGAGCTTCCACCTAGTGGGCAGTTCAGCATCAGAATGCGACACGATCCCTGGTCGTCAGTGCATGGCTTCGTCCTACTTCTTGGCAGGGCATTACGAGGAGGTGCTGGTCTACCTAAACTCTATCAAAAGCTTCTTCGTCAATGATGATACCTTCAACTTTAACTACGCTCAGGTATGTGTGGAATTTACCTGTGTATATTAACGTGGTAATTTTAGAAATTGTAACCCCGTAGAGCAGCAAACGAGCAGACAGATTACTTATGTACCAACGACACCGGAGGAGGTTGTATTTTGCCGCGTGAGCGAGATTACCGGAGGCCCAATCCTTCCCCTTCTCCCAACCCTCCATAATTTCTAAATCCCTAAAACCCCTTATCCACAAACCAGCAACGCACTTACAACTCCTCTGGCTGATTTCCATAGGCTAGTTTGGCGCCGTATCCCATAAAAAACTGTTTTCATCCAATGCCTCATAAGCTTTTCCAATATTACGTCAATTTAAAATCTCTTAGCTTTATCTTATTTTTTACAATACATCAGAGGAGTGTTAAGTGCGAGTCCACTTTACATTAGCACAATCATCTCATTTATAACGTTCAGCGCTCTGATTGGCCTACTGATAGACAATCAATCGGGAAGCTAAACACAGTAACGTTTCGATCTCGTTAAGCAAACTTGTTCGAGGTACTCTGAGCTTATCATAGATTTGTAGTGTGTTTCAATGATGCAAGTCATTATTATCAGGCCAAGGTGGCGACGGGCTTCTACCGCGAGGCTGAGGAGAGTCTATTATCAATACAAGACGAGGGCATCCGCAACTCCTTCACGTTCCTCGCATGTCTCTGCCGGTGCCACGTCATGAATAAGGACGCAGCTCTTGCCTGGGAAATTTGTGTCAAGGTTGGTTTTGAAAAAATGATTTAACCGTAAATATGTAACAGTAACCAATAGTGACTAACTAATTCTAGCCAGTTTCGTGTATTATTTATTGGTTACTGTTTTATCTTTCACTTTTTACTTATCTTTCATTTCTGCTGTCGATTCGAAATGGTCATATCTTCTCGATAAAAGTGTTGTAAATGTTAAGTAACATTAAAACAAATTGTTCAATTCGAAACTGTAGTTCCAGTAAATAGCATATTCAAAACAAATAAACTCTCCAGAAAACCATATCAATCAAGAATAAAGATTAATAATAAGACTCACTAATATTAGCTAGCTAGGCTACTAAATCCTTTTTAGTACCTAATTAACGATTGAAGTTACCTGACGAAAAAATATTAAAATGTAAACCACATTTTTAATTATTACTTGCTTTATGGCACATATTAAGTCTGTTTCCGTTACAAAATCAGTTCACGTATCTATCCGTGGTTCTCAATGTTTCGTATTTGGTTGTCAGTCGGCGGGCACTCCCGACAGCTTCGCGTTGTTGCAACTGGTTGCTAACGACAGTTACCGCATGGGACAGTTTCTAGTCGCCGCCAAAGCCTTCCACATGCTCGACAGGTGAGCCCAATTATCACAGATCAGTTACTGAACTGCTTAACTGATTAGATTTATGGATAAATGTTTTAATAAGTAGTAACTAGATTCTAAGAAATATTTTTGCAAACATAAAGAAATCTTTGAACACATTGTAAATTTATTGATTTAATACCTACTAATGAATTTGTAATTGCGTAAGCGAGACGAAAAGACAAACAATTAAGGTTTAATCTACAGTTTATATAAAGAACTATCGTCACCATGTTGCATGATACCAGATTGGATGGAGGTCCAGAGATGTGGGAAGGTCTTCGCGGTGCAGTCTGTGGGTGCGCTCAAGCCGCCGCAGCCAACAGGCCTAACTCTGCAGCTGAGCTCAGGGACGCGCTCGCTCTACTCAAGGGGCCGAGGTCCCATACCCGCGCAGACAATATAGTCAGGACTATCACCAAGTGGGCACAACAAAACAGGATCCCTGTTTGACCAGAGACTAAGACGTGCAAAATATCGTAGAGGCCTTCACATAGAATTTAGAACCTCTAGAAATTGTAATGAAATAGCGTAGGTAACTGTGCTAACCAGCTCTTTTGTAAAAAGCTAAATAAATAGTTTGATTAAGCAATATTGACAAGTTCAATAAATTATTTAAACTGTTCATTAACTGGTTTCTTTACGGAGTACCACAAGGGTCCATATTAGGGCCAATACTAACTTCTGAACTTTTGAGCCGGAAGATATATTTTACATTTAATTTTATTCGATTTCAAATGCATTAGTTAGTTGGTTTGTGCTGACTGCAAGGTATGTATGACACATCCGATATCAATAAACATTTCGCATGAAAACTTTTGGGTGGTATTCGTTAATCTTGACCAAGTTATTACTGAGATATCAACGTAATTACACTGATCGAGTTCTCGCACTCAATGATTCATGACACGCAGTAAAAAGTTACATTTTATGACATACAGGATCTGTAGTACTAGCTTAGAACCAGTATTCATACATATTCGTACGTTCGTCCCAATTTAGAAGTTACATTGAATATTGATTATTGCCGCAAATTGCCAGTTGAACCCAATGTTATTTCTTAATCCTAAACACGTATCCTCTAGATATGGTGTCGCACGGCCCAGATCTAGAAACTTAATCTACTACTTCCTTTTAATTATCTAAACTGTTCACGCGTTATCCTTTATGGGGTATCTCAAACTTGTGAGTTTTAATTGTAATTACGATGTTTATAAAGGAGCGTTAATATTTAGGGCCTATTTCATCACCTTCATATAAGTACCTACATATTCGATAAGCCTAAGTGGCATATAGTTCATATAAATTCTGTTCTATATTCCTGGTACAAAGTGGCCAGACATTGTGAAACCTTAAACGATTGAACAAATCTATCTAATATCTACTAGAATACTGAATTTCGATTATAGTCGAAAACTAACTTATTTCGCGCAGTTTCGCACATAGTTCCCGATCTCGCACATAGTAGGACTTTCGGTAAGTTCTCCTTATGAATGCCCGGGATAAAAACTATTCAATCAATCTTATTCTAATATCTATTAATACTTAATTTTAATAAATTTGTAGAGAAATATAAAATTAGTAGCGGCGACTTCGTCCGCTTAGTTGTATGAAAGTGGATAAGAATAAAAATTAGAAGAATGCTTCTCTATACATAACATTCATTAGTTGTATTTTGGAGTTGCACTTCCCGGTAGGTACCTACTAAGAGTGTTACTGAATTACCGTACCAGGTCTAAGCCGGTACCGGGAAAACCGGGAAATTGGAGAATGTCGGTACCCACGTGAATGGCTATTAAAACAAACTATGTACCCAAATCGTACGTAAAATTAATAAAAATGTGAATAGATTTAACTTTTTCTGTTAAGTTCAATTGGTCCTGTTACCTTACAAGACAAAACTAACTAGACTAAGAAAAAAATCAGCCAAAACAGTTACACAACACGCCATTATAAATGCCCATTTAAAAACATAACCGCCGCTTTAATAAAAAGCAATAATCGTTTAAACAACGTATTTAGTGAAAATGTGTTATATCACTTGCACTTGCTCAACAACAACAACAACAAAAAACAACAACAACAACAACAACGGGTATTTAAATACACATAGCAAAACTTGTTCGGAATTTTGAAGCGAATAATTATGAAGGTTCGAGTGCGGATTAAATTGTTTTTTTTTTAACTGAAATATGACTACCTTATCAGGTAGTCACCCTTATCTCAGTGCCAATTTTTATCAAAATCCATCCATTCAACTTTCTTACAAATAAAAACAAAAACCTTGAATTAAAACCTTTAGAAGATCGATTAAGACTTCTTTATAAATATGTGTGTGTAATATATTTGGCACGAGTAAGTAAATTATGTTGGAAATAGGTTGCTCTACAACTCCAAATGGGCACCATCTTTCTATGTCTCTGCCAAGTCTAACCAAAACAGGGTTTAGGTAAGAACAGGTCTAATCATTGACGATTTCAACAGTTTCCGCTGCCTTATCTTTACCTAACTAAGTAGATGTTAAACATGCTTCATAAATAATGAGTACTTTCCCGTATATTTACTTGAGTTAAAAAACGAATACTAGTTTGAAAATGTACCTTAACGTTTTTTTTTTATGTGATAAAGCGACACCCGCAACAACAGAGGAGTTACGAGTGCGTTTCCGACCTTTAAGCGATTTGGGATTTGGGAGATTTAGGGATTGGGGAGGGATTTGGGGAGGAGAAGGATTGGGTCTCCGGTAAATACAACGCTGTGGTTGTTTCACGCCGGTTTTCTGTGAGGCCGTGTTATCACTTCGGTCGAGCCGACCCATCCGTGCCGAAGCATGGCTCTCCGACACTTAGCATTGCTCTCCCACACTTTTTATCTAACTTATCATATGCTTTTCATTCCCCTAAACTCAATACTCCCTAATATACTATTTCGCTTTGCAATAAAAGGGATTGTGACTGCCTATATCAAAGTAACTTACTTTGTCATACTATGTAGATAGTTAAGTTTAAACCTAATTTAGTTGTGGTTGTGGATGTATATGTACTTATAATGTACCGCGGCCCAGGCTTTGAGCAGCTTGGAACGAGGTGGCTTTTAAGCAGTAAGAGCCTGAGACACTTTCACTGCACCCAAAATAGAAGAACACACTAGGCCCCATAAAAAATACTGTTTATAAAGACAAAAATCTAAATACAAACTTCTCAGTTGTTTATACATATGACAATTTTTTTTTTTTACTAGCCTTTGTTGTCCCACCTCCCGATCCTTCGACCGTGTCCACCAGTCTCGACGATAGGCGTCTAGATCGTCACGCCATCTTCCGGGGCCTACCCCGCCTGCGGCTTCCATCTTGAGGTGTCCACTGGGTGACAATAGTGGCCCATCTCTCCCACATATGACAATGCAACAACAATTATTTGATTTAGTTCTGTTGTTAAAGTCTTCGGCATTTACTTTTCATAAAAAGTAATCTCAAGCATTACTTGACTACCCCGTGAAAAGAAAGCCATTCTTCCATTAGTTCAGTAAATAAACGCCATTCGTAGATTTTATTTGTTGTCAAAAAACCTTTATTCATAAAACGGTATAATAAAGGTATGTAATGTAATACCATCTTTGAAACATTGTTCGTATCAATTCAAATGTTTTTTTTTTACTTTAACCAGGATCTACCTCTTAAATTTTAATATTAAAACTTTTTATTAGAACTTAGATTTCGTATGTGTCTACTCGTATAGGTTAGGTAAATTGCTTTTCAGGGCAATGAAAATATGAAAATATAAAGAAAAGAAATACTGCAAAAATTGCATTTATTTATAAAAACTAAATTATATTTACATGTACGTAAATAATACGATGCGTCAAGATCAGGTCCGTAGGCAACAGTCAAAGCAGTACAATAAATAATAAGTTACAGTCGACAGGCGAGGTCATCAGGCGCCCACTCCTGCTGAACGAAACTCACCCTTACAGACACGGGCCGGACAGTAAAGGCGAGAAAAACTACGTAAAAGGGCACTCTCCGTTCAATTCCAAAACGCCCAATGTTACATTTTGACGTTTGAGCCCAAAACAAGAATTCTTAGACTTCTACAAAAGTTAAATTAAAAACAAGTTACAATATGCCTTTACCATGTAGCCGCGGCCTATGATTTCTAACCAAACTATTCTGAACCGAACAATCTTAGTCAAAAATAATTAAATAAACTCTTCATAATCACCCTTGTTTTTTTAGAAAACTCTCTACATCAATCTAGAGTTGACATCTATCTAATCCATAAACAATCCTCTAGTCGTTCAGCAAGATGTTAGGTCGCTTTGTGGTCGTAGTAAGTGGGTTTAACCCCACGGGTGGGCAACGCCAACGTGGGCAGCAGGTAGGGTGTACCTCGCGACGGGTGCAGCCACCGCCACAGGCGCAGGCGCGGCGTAAACCTTAGCTACTGGAGCGGCAACTGCTACTGGTGCCTAGAGGAAATTAAACATTCTCAAAAACATAACCAAAAACAACTCAGATCATGAAGTACTACATTATGTTATTAAAAGTTATATTAAAAAGCATAATGAAACGGCGTCTGTATTATTCTTATTTGTTAAAAACGAAAATGGTGGTTCTATTGAATTTTAGTCAAAGAACTTCATAATCGCAACCATTACGCGGATCTACGGACGGCGAGTAAGGGTAGGTAGCTTGCCGCCCGACGAGAAACAGACAAAACGGGGCCCTATAACTCTGATGTTTAGCCGGGATTTCGGAGTAAGCGCAATGAGGCACCGCAGCCTCGGTCTAGAGCAGAAGAAGGAACGGGGATTTTTGACGACCCTGGGCGGGAGAAGTCATAAAATGATTTTCCCCTGACAAAAAAATAACCCTTACCGCGTGGGCAGCAGCTCCGGTCCTTTCAACCACGGCGTTGAATCCATTGATCTTGTCAGCAGTGTAGGTCACCTTACGGACATGGCCGTCAGGTTCCACTAGGCTGTAAGATCCGTGCACCACACCATTCTGCAGCGTCTCCGAAGCATCCTTGTGGTCACCTGTGGCGGGGTCTGCTACTCCGTATGAGAAGCTGTAAGCTGGATTAGGGTCTACGGGCTCGGCACGTACGACCTGCGTTGAAAAGGACACGTCATTAACAAAATTATTATTTTAGCATGTTATTAGATGGTAATGAGCTTAGCCAGGAATTTCAAGTTAGGCTTAACTAGATGCTTATGAAAGGGTTGTTCTCCCAAGCTAGAAAACATCTGATTCAAATGGAATCCTTGCGGCAAAGAAATAAGGTCTGATTTTTGTTCTTTGCTTGAAACACGGGTAGATAGATAGTTTAGGTTCAACTGGATCTAAGGTAAAAGTTACATAATATAAAATATACCGGAAAATAAAATAGTTAAGTATCTATTTAATTATTTTAATTCTTACCGGAGCTGCAACTGCTTTAACGACGGGTGCAGCGTATGTGTGTGCGATAGCGGGAGCGTACGCTGGTGCAGCCACAGCGTGAGTAATCGCGGGCGCAGCGTAAGCTGGTGCATAAGCTGGCGCTGCATATGCTGGAGCCGCGTAGCCGATACCGTCCAGTATCCCCGGCCGCGCCAGAGCGCCCGCACACGCACAGCATAACAACAACAACTATAGACAAAAGAAGTATAGATACTAAAACAGTTTATGTATTAACCACTCCTTAGAAATTACATGTGGTTCATAACACAACTGATGTAAGGCAAGTAGGAAAACGCCTTCGAAAAACAAAAACCTCAAAATGATATGTTCTTGTACGCGACTTAAAAAATGTTGTCCACCTTTTAAGTCTTAACTGAATTTTCAGTATCAAGCTGAGACAGCGGACGCAGCTTGAAATACCTCAGAATGCAACAGTCTTGCACAGAAATTTCTAATCGGATTTGTACGATTGGGATTATGACCCTAATTGTACAAATCAGATTGTGACCCCAATTCAGAACACAGGGCTCACGGAAGCTTTAAGTATCTACTGATCTCTGACTTACTGGCTTTATCTTGATTTGCCATAATATCACTATTTTACCTTCAATTTTTTCATTAAATTCCTAGTTTCTGTCCCGTTTATTCAGTGTCTCAAACTAAAAAAAAATATATATTATTATTATTAAACATTTAGTTTACCTTAGCGAGCATGTTAGTGGCGTGCGCACGTCGTGGGGTGTATTGCACGTGTGTCGCTCCCCGCCAGCGCGCCGTATATAAAGCGGCTGGGAGGCTGCGCCCGCGCACCCGACCACGCACGATCTACACTTGATACACATTTCGCAACAAGGATACTGACATATGTGTATAATGTGGCTAAAGGCTAGTTATGCTTAATTATTAGTTTAGGAGAGCCGTTGAACTAGATCTACGTATAGTGCATTAGTTGACGCTTATATTCTCATACATGAGCATTTTATATAAATACGAAGCTGCTGATAAAGTTTAAGCTATCTGACCGAAATGAAAGATATGGGGTTCCTGCCAATCTGAATGATCTGCAAGTCATTTGTATGACCCATAATGGAGCATGTCTAGCCAGTAACAACCTTTTCACGTGGGGTTTAAAGACATCCAAGTTGTACCCCTCTGGCAACACTTTACGTGTACTTTGGCAAAGAGGTCCATTCCTTAGCAGTTTTAATGAAAAAACTTGTGGCGCAACGCTTCGTGAAATTTAATGGGATATCGATCATGACGCATGGAAGGGACTACTTACAGGGACTCAATTCTTGCAATCTATTATCAAATGTTATATATAAAAATGGATCGCAAAATGTGTTGGTAAGCGCATAACTCAACAACGCCTAGACCAAATTTGCTAATTCTTTTTTTGTTGTATTTGTTATTATCAAGAAAAGGTTCTTATCAAAGAAAACATTAGAAAAGTAGAGGGGAAGATTAGGAAAACGTGACCCTTTGATAGCGAGGTAGTTGGACCCGTGCGAAGCGGGGGCGGGCCGCTATATACCTATACTTTTATAAGGAAGTTACACATTTTGTCATTTGGACACTTAATTTCTCCTTTGATGTCAAAATCCTGTTTTAATTTTGCTCTCCGAGACATAATCTTGTATTATTTTGGACAATATAACCGGCTTAGTTGCGGGTGCAAAGGAAGGGGGTGATTTTTAGTCAGTAAGAATATGACTATATCATCTGGCCCAGTGGTTAAGGTGTCCGCATTTCATGCATGATGGTGCGGGTTCGAATCCTCGCAAGTACCTGTATGTACTGTAGTAGATATGACTTTTTCCGAGTTATACTTATGTACTTTCTATGATTATTTAGACACCACTGGCATGAAGGAATACATCTTGAAAATAATCCTCACGGTGTTTGTTACTTTCAAATCACCAATCCGCATTGAGCAACGTGGTGATTAATGCTCAAACCTTCTCCGTGTGAGAAGAGGCATTTGCTCAGCAATAGGCTAATAGTGTGAAGAATCTGATATCGGATACGAATAGAGAGAAAAGCTTTAACCTTATAAAAGGATAAGGATTAATGTAAAAAATAAATACGAACAGCTTAGTGCTAAATCTTTCGAGCACGATGTTTTTTTTTTGTGTAAGTACATGAAATATGGATCCGGTACAGATTAGCGCATTAATTTTACGTAGCAAAACGGCTTCATGAATCTAGTTGACTAGTAAACTGCTCAGAAAATAACGCAACGACTCAACAACTCCCTAAAATCGAAAGTTCTACAATCTGATGCAAGAAACGCGAAGTTTTGCACAAAGTTATTAGTTCTTGTATCATTAGGGACGGTTATGGAGACCAGGGCTTGCCATAACTCGATTTGAACATATATGTATATGAGTCAATCTACATAATATGGTTTTCTCTTTGCCCTCGTTTTTAAAAAATAGTTTTTTAACACGCTTTTATAAGCTTGACTTTTTCCGAGTTATATGTACTTTCAATTTAGACATCACTGACATACGGTGAAGGTAAGCATCGTGAGGAAAACTGGACTTATAATTTCTAATTATAATAATTTGAGTGTGGGAGAGTCATACTTCGGCACGAATGGGTCGGCTCGACCGGAGTGATACCACGGCCTCACAGAAAACCGGTGTGAAACAAACACAGTGTTGTGTTTCGCCGTGTGAGTGAGGTTACCGGAGGCCCAATCCTTCTCCTTCTCAATCCCTCCCCAGTTCCTAAATCTCCAAATCCATAATCCCTTAAAGGTCGGCAACGCACTCGTAACTCCTCCGTTGCGGGTGCCATGGGCGGCGCTGATTGCTTACTATCAGGTAATCCGTCTGCCCGTTTGCCGACCTATTACGGTTATGGTGACGATGATGGACAATTCTCGCCAAAGCATGGCTCGACTTGATATCACATCCTTACAAACTGGCGTGTTACTGCCTCCTTACATACAGGCGTGAAGCAACGATGACGTTATATTTCATCATTTGAGTAAAACTACCAGAGGCCTTTTTCGCGGCCACATTCCCAATCCTCATATCCCTAACAACATACAAAAAGCTGGTGACGCACTTGTAACTCCTTTTGGTGTTGCCATATACATATGAGTGGCTGAATGTTTACCATTAGGAGTTCCGTCTCGTCCTATCTAATTAATGGTTGACACGAACAATTTCAGGCTCGATCTTTGGTTGGGAACTACTTAATTCAAACAACTTACGAACTTTTCCGCAATCACATTTTTCTCACTTGAGAACTTTCGATCCACAAACAAATATATAACACATTCTGTAAAACTAAAGCCATCATCCTGTAGCTTTTTGTGACTCACGCAGCCAGTGTGTGGGGAGTTAGTGTTGTAACTCGATTATACCTGCCGATATTTACAATTTATGGGACACTAATGCATAATAACTAAACGCAGCTTCAAACCAACTTATTAAATGAAGTAAATAACATTAGTTAGGTCTTTGTAAGTTTATTTTTCGAGCTGGGAAAATCATCGATTGCCTTCTCCTTGGTGTGGCAAGAGGGATTATTAAACTACTACAGACGAAAAATCACCTTCTTTCCTCTCCTGCTCCAGGTTGGGGCCACGGTACTCGGTATTGCGGTATTGTGCTTGCATTCGCAACCCCGGCTGGACATCGGCCCTAGTAGGCTCCATGGTGGTCTACTGGATCTTAGAGATTACGAGGTAAACTTGCTTTTAGTCTTCTTAACGTTGCTCAACACAGCAAAGCATCTTTTTTTGTTTTTTTTTTTGTGAGGAGAAAATCACCAAATGACTTCTCCCGCCCAGAGCCGAGCGGAAGGTCAAGTGTCACTCTTACTGACTAAAAACCCCCCTGTTCCTTCTCCTGCTCTGGGCCGAGGTCGCGGTGCCTCATTGCGCTTACCCCGCAACCCCGGCTCACAGCAAAACATCTTGTATCGTCAATAGACGCGTATAATTTAATCTTACACCCGGACGACACGGAACTGCTAACATTTTGTGGAAAATAAATTGTTTCGAGCGGGAATAATATTCACAAACGCATCTCACATTTACGTGAAAAGGTTTATGGATCAATCACCACGCTTTCGCAAGGAAGGCTGGCGGTTTTGAAATTACAGTAAAAAAACTACCCAATCCAATACCCATCTTTAGATCAATTATATGAAAATGGCACAGTACGTCATAACCAAGTCCGCTTTATGATTTCAATCCCGCGTAATATTACATCAGACAGCAAAAGGCGTTTGGATAACGTTAACCTTACAAAAATATATTAGTTCGGGTACTTATGTTACGTTAGTTAGCTTTCAAATTGCGTCAGCTAGTACCTTTCCCGCCAAAATGGTATAAAGGAGATCTCTCTCAAGGAGGTTCCAATTCTGTATCTTTCTGCCTCAAACGAAAATATTTTATTCAAGTTTCAAGAAATGTAGATAGAATAATAAAAGTAGGTTTACTAAGAAGGAGGTTGAATAAATACTAGAACAATTGCCCAAAATTTATTATTCACTGTGAATTCTGTCTGTATTATACCCACGAGTCCTATACACAATCTTTTAAAGTACGTAAAAATACTGATTTTTATAAGCGGCAACTTATGGCTACATATGAATCTAAAAAAGCATAATTATTATTATATTAATTAATCCTCAGACAGAAAGTTTTTTATTATCTGTCACTTCTATGGATTGTCAAGTCTGCCAGTGGTCTGTTGCTCTATGATTATCAATAACTTTTGTTTTATTTTTATCTTCTAATTTTGAAAAAAATATGCTATGACCCAATAGTATGCTGGTGCGGAAAATCAGCGCCGTGAACCACTCTTCATTGGCAGGGCCTCTTTCTTTCTATTAGCCTGACTGTCAGTCAATCAATATACTCAGTACCCGTTCTAACACATAAGTGGAATAGGCTCCGAACCTATCATATCAATCACATTTCATTAGTTAGTTATTTAGGTACATATTATTATGTGGACGACCTGAATAGTCCTGACGGACCTAGAGCCAATGACATTACGATTAAGACCTAGATACTAGACCTCACCAATAACAATGTCAAGCCATATTCGAGCAAATAATGTCGTTAAGCGAGCTATTTGTGGTTTTAAACAAAGAGTATTAAATTGTTCGTGATGAGGCGTGGTTCCACTGTAAGCGTAATATATTATTACAGCGGTTGAAAATGCAAAAATGTACCGCGAACCGGATCAGGCCCGGCAACTTCCTCTTGCCTCACCCTAGGCGTGAGAAGTAATTTGAAGATTTTCCTTTGACAAAAAAAAAACCATTCATTAACGGACACCCTATATACTATGTGTATTCTAACTTACCAATACCTCGCCGTTTTAACAACGGCAAATAAAGAAAAAAGGGAAAATAACGAGATGGATCTTTAAATAAATTGGTGGCATTTATTTAGAACATAAGATATAGGTACCTACAACTCATTATACTAGAAAATTACTTACCTAAATTAATATAAAGTAAAACATAATTTTACTTTACCACCTCAAATAGGAGCAAACAAACAAGAACCAAAAAAGCTAATTATAATAAAAGTCTTACGATAGACTTAGACGGACATTCATTACTACAAGTATTGATATCATTTTAACGACTAGGGTGTAGCCGTAAACCAAAAATTATGTTTAATCTAATTAATTAATAATAAGGCAATAAGAAAATTATTATAACTACCACAACGGCGTAGCACAACTAAACCGTTGCATCACGCCATATTCGCATATATTTTACAATTTCACTAATACTATACCGCTAAGTATCTTGGCGAGTCTGAAGTTAGCCGATTAGCGGCGCAGTACACAATTTTGTTCCTAAAAGTTCCATTGCGCAGACAAACGGCTAACTTCAGACTCGCCAAGATACGTCGGCCGTACTGTTCATCATTTATTATTCACCCTCATTGTGACAATAATGCAGAGACCAGTTATTAACAAAAGAACAATATAGATATTTATATAATATACCAGCGTCCCGGACTTCGCACGGGTGCAATAATGGATGCAATAATAATAATAATGGATGATGGATGTACATATTTATAAACCTCCCTCATCACTCACTCTATCTATTAAAAACCCGCATCAAAATCCGTTGTGTAATTTTAAAGATTTAAGCGAACAGCGATATAGGTACGGAAAAAGCGACTTCGTTTTATACTATGTAGTGATAAGAAATGAAACGTATATTCCTCGCTAGCAGTAAGACTACAACCTTCCTCGTACCCGCCCGTACTGTTACACACACCTGGTAACAGCAGTCAACACACAGAAATGTAATTTGGCGTAATGTAGGTCACACTCGGCCACAACTATTCCGGTACATGTATCAGACATGTGCAAGCCAGTTTAAAATTCATATCTAGCCGCGCCCTAAAACCAACGCATGTAGAATATGTATATTGTATATATAATCCTACAATTATGTCCATTAGATCAGCCATAGTGCTGTAAGGACATAAAATTATGCTCGACTAAAGGACTATTTACATTTTTAATAGAGCGCGCGTGGATCGTGACGCGCCGTACGGTCGGGTCTGGTTCTGATCCGTGCTTACGGTGGCCGGGGGTCTTCACACCATCCCCAACGCCTAGAGCGTCTATTGCAATGGTTGGGACGTGAAAGGTATCGTTCTCTGTCGAGCTACGCCTCCTAACTTAAATAGCATATCTGCTTTACAGAAGAAGTAGATGGCTTCCCGGTACCTCTCGCTCTGCATCATGGCCTGGCCGCTGACAGCAAGAGGTTGTTGCTACGAATTGCTTCCCGGAGGACAAGGTAACGGTGTGCCCTACTAGACCGTGTTCGGTAACCGATAACTGGCAACCGGTGAGCACCTGGGTCAGGTAGAAGGTGAGGAGGACGCCGTGACGTGACGTATCTTTAGCCAATCCTCAAAGACTCTACTTGTCTACTTGTAAATAAATGAATCTGTAAAAGCGAGACATCGACGTGTTGCCTCCCTGCGGGCTCAGATAGTTACATAGCAAAGTGCTCCCATAGGAGTTCACCATATCACATACAACCTATGTAGGTAGGAGATTACAAAAGTAATACTGCTGCGGATATGTAAGGTGCGCAAAAACTCCATCCAATTTTATCCATATAAGGTTATTTTAAAGGCATAGGTAAATGACAGAAGCAAATCCCAACTAAACATTCAATATCTACAAAATTTTAGTGAATCAATAATATGTCTCACTTTCAATCCACTTAGAAATGTTATTCCTTATCAAATAACGCCTAAACTCATCCATGACTATCATGAGAATGGCGAAGGGGATCGCTAGAAAAAAGTCCCACCAAGACAACGGCTCGGTGCTAAACAGTTCATGGCACACTGGCCAGTAGGATACCATCAGTGCTGCTAGTAAGTCTACAATAATACTAGCATTAAGTACATGGTTTCTCATGCCTTTCTTAACAAGTGAGATTCGTCTAGTTTTACAAATAATCACATCAGATATCTGCGTCCAGGCAACTGCTACAAAATAAGCCGTTTGCGCCTTCCTCTCAATCCTTTTCCTATCTCTGTAATTCCATTCGCGACCTAAAGTATCTTTTATCAAAACACGTGAATTCTCCCAGTCGTTCCGCACAAACATTAAACTAGACGGGAAGAAGCCGTCCTGAGCAAAAATTATAAAGTAGGCGTACATTGCCGAGAAGAACTGAATAAGACCTACCTGAAAATATGCCATAAATAACAAAACACCATTCACTAGGTGATCAGTAGGTTTGCGAGGTGGAATAGACATGATGTCCTCCTCGGAATCTTCATAAGCTAAACTCATCGCAGGCAGTAGATCGGTTCCTACATTTATGACTATAATCAACATGAGAGTTATAGGTAATGGCATTCCCAGACACGCATATAACACAAATGGTGCCATCTCAGGTAAGTTGGAGGTCAGCGAATAAGCAATAGTCTTTTTTAAATTGTCGAAGATTCTTCTACCTTCTTGCACACCCAGCACGATAGAAGCGAAGTTATCGTCCAACAGAATCATATCCGCAGCCTTTTTAGATACTTCAGTACCATTTATACCCATAGCAATCCCGATATCTGCTTTCTTCAAAGCTGGAGAATCGTTGACGCCATCTCCGGTCACAGCCACTACATAACCTAGAAGCTGATAAGTCTCAACTATAAACAACTTTTGCTGAGGACTGGTTCTCGCAAATGTGATCTCATTGTACCTGGTTTGCACTGCTTTCAAGTCATTAACGCTCATTTTACGAAGTTCGTCGCCAGTCACAACCGCAGCTTTAAACTGGCTTTTAATGTGCGGTGGTATATCAGCTAAATCTATATGATGTTCGAACGCATAATCGTACGCAGTCGGTACAGTAATTGTTCCACACCTGCGAGAAATAGCCAGTGCCGTCACAGGATGGTCTCCAGTTACCATAATTACCTTAATTCCTGCCGACCGACACAACCCAATATATGTTTCAATATCTTGCCTTGGAGGATCTATCATTGATATTGCTCCAACAAAAATAAGGTCTTCCAGGGGAAAATTTCGTGCTTGTGCATCAAATTTGTAACCCATTGGATAATCACCTTCAGGTAATATGAGATCGCAATATCCGATGACTCGTTCCCCCATGTTTGCAATTTTGACAAAATTAGCTTTTAATTCTTTTTTCAACTGTGGCGTGAGATTTTGCACGCCTTCATCGGTGTGAACCTGTGAACAGTATTCTAAGACGATTTCGGGTGCGCCTTTCATTACGAGATAATGCGTGTTTGTTGCTGCCATAAGATGAATTGTCACTTGATACTTGTAAGCTGAACTAAACGGAATTTCTCCAACTTTTGGGTTTTCTTCTCGAATTTGTGTAGCTGAGCGGTTTATTTCCATGTACCGTAATATTGCAGCTTCAGAAGCGTCACCCAAAATTTTTCTTTTTTCTATTGGCTTGTTCTTTGAGTCAAAAGCAAAACTAGCTTTTAAATTAAGACAAGCTGCTAAACATAAAGTCGAATACGAAATGTTTGTAACATCATGATGATCATCTTTATCAATTATTTTGAAATTGGTAAATAAATGTGACACATTCATTTGATTCTCGGTTAATGTACCAGTTTTATCGGAACATATACATGACGTAGACCCCAAGGTTTCAACAGCTTGTAATGTTTTGGCCAGGCAGTTCTTCTTTTTTAGGGACTTGGCAGAAAGTGTCATGCAGACAGTCAAAGTTACAATCAATCCCTCGGGTACATTGGCTAGTATGATCCCCAGCATATATTGAAGTGCTGACAACCAACTGTTCTGTATAAAATATACCATAAAGAAGAAAATTAAACCAAAAGCAAACGCTACACCGCACAATAGCTTTATGAAATGTGTAATTTCCTTTGCGATAGGAGTTTCTTCTTTCGTTAATCCGGTTACGAGTCCAGCGATTTTTCCAATTTGAGTCATTTCTGCAGTGGCAATAACAATAGCTTTAGCAGAGCCTTCAGTAATGGGGCATCCAAAATACGCCATATTTTTGGACTCTAAAGGATTAGAACTAGTACATTCAGGCCTGTGTTTTATAGGTTCTGATTCACCAGTCAAGGAAGACATGTCCGTGTTGAAATTAGTACAAGTAAGTATTCTCACATCGGCCGGCACTATGTCTCCTCCGCTCATTTCTACGATGTCACCAATCACTACATCGGAATTGGGGACTGTTTTTTTAACTCCATCTCGTATGACGACAGCATTGGGTGGCACTAGTTTCTCGAAACCACTCATAACCGCAGCATTCTTTGCTTCTTGATAAAAACCAAAAATACCAGTTCCAATAATGGTGGCTGAAATAACACAACCCAAATAAAGATATTCTTTAGCAGAATGGGCTTCAGCGGACTCTTCGTCGCCGGAATCTGCGCCTCTGGTTAAGAAGTATCCAATGAAATTGACTATTGCCGCTACCCAAAGGACGCACTGGAACCATCCAAACAAATTGTTGCGAAACAATTCCCAATAACTGGTGCCACGAAGGTCCTTAAGCTCGTTTGGGCCATAGCGTTCCAAGAGCTCGGCAGCAAAACTTTCCGTCAGACCAGTGACCACGTTTGTTCGATATATATTTTCCAGTTGAGCGGGCGTCAGATAGTGGTCTCCTGTGTAAGTTTCTTCCTTCATGAGGGATACTTCTGACAGCTCCATATTACTGTGGGCTATCATGCTGGTGCGCTTGGCGCTCCTCAGGGAGGTCGTGCTGGACCGGTGCCCGTGTCGTTGCGGCATTTTGGTGGCCTTATAACCAGTCGAAAGATTAAGATAATTTACTCTTTGTACGAAGCCAACGTCGGATACGTAAACAATGACAGCAGAGCTGACAAATTTACCAATCACAAAAAACTATTCTTCTAAAAGTAATACTCTACGGATATGCTAAAAAAGGTTTTACACAATAGGTAATGTATTAAATACCACGCTTTCTCAAGGCGTATTGACGATTTCAAGGTTGTAATAAGAGATTAAAGTCCAGGTTTCCTATGTTTCCCTCACCATACGTCCGTGTTTTCCTAATAAGTTTAGAAAGTAATTGGTACCTACTTGTCAAGTTTCGAATCCGCTTGCTTGAGAGGCGGGCGCCTTAACCTCTAGGCCACCACGACTTTTTATTTATGTATATTTTAATAAATATTTATTCGTATAACAACAACCCTCACCGATATAATCTATAATCGAAGAAGACACTTTTTGAAAAAGATTTATGTTTATGACGAGACAATACGGGGGCTATTTTATGTTGCCGTTTAAAATAAGTCACGTTAAAGTGAACAATTAAATAATATTTAGAAAATGATGTTAAAATTTTTCAGTTCAAAGTCCATTTATGAGTTTCAAACTCCATTTATCCCAAGAGGTCAGCAACTCTTCTATTGTTGCTGATGTCCATGAGCTACGTCGATTGCTTACCACCAGGTTAATACGTCTAAACTATTAAAACCATTTATTTAGCATACGATAAATTGGAAACAGACGAAAAAAACATAAAAAACTATAATGCAAGAAGGGGCCCATCTCAGTGTATGCTGTGCTAATGTACAGCACTGATTTTACAAATTCAATTTGTGTACTCGTTTGCTGATGTACACACAGCTGCAGAGAAAAGGATACCCCTATGCAGATAGCTGCATGTTTATTTGTACTTCAGTAGGCCTACCATGACGTGTTAAAGCGTGAATCTTTCTGCTCCATCCCATCCCATCTCCATCCAGCTCCATCCCTCTTTCTCGCCCGAATGATTCACGAAGGTAGACCCTCAGGGGCATTTCTCTGCAGCTGACCGGACCACGACCGGACATACCACATAAAAAAAGTTGTTATTTTAAAAATCTTAAAGTATTCAAATAGAACAAATTAGTTGTAGGTAAACAAGCTTATTATTAAGATTTTATCGTTGCACTGTTAAGTGTAGGAGAGCCATTCGGCACGAATAGGTCGGCTCGACCGGTGTGATACCACAGTCGCACAGAAAACCGGCGTGAAATCACCACAATGTTATGTGAGTGAGGTTACTGGAGGCCTCTTTCCCCTCCCCCAATCCCAAAATCCCTAATCCGCAAAAGCGTCGGTAACGCACTCTTATCTCTTCCGTTGCTGCGGGCGTTCATGGGCGGTGCTGATTGCTTACCAACAGTTAGGTAATCCGTCCTCCTGTTTGCCGACTTGTCACATAAAAAATGGGACCTATACCTAATCAAAGAAGGCAAAGATAAAAAGCAACATTCAACATTCCGTAGAACAAATAAATGAAATGAAACACTTAAAATAATTTATAAAATATGTTTTATTATTAAAAATACCTTTTCTACGTTACAGAATATACACAGTTTAGTTAGAACAGTATTAACTTAAATACGATTGGTTGAAACTCCGGTGTTGGCAGATTGTGTAGTTACTTTAGTTGAATAACTTACATAATATAATACGTCACATTTGGGAAGGCTTGTTAGCATTATGAGCCCCGATGTGGCTTGAAACTAGTCGAGCGTGCTCGAAGTTGACGTATCACTATGGTTATTATACAAAAATACTAGAAATATACACATTGTGTTGGAAAGGAATGTTTGTATTATTAAGGTTTGGTATTATTTTAACCATAGGACACTAATATAAAACAATAATGTTAGTCTTTTTTATTGAAAACAATAATATCCATATTTGGGAAGTCTACTTGACTCTTGAGGATGGCGATAAAGAGTTGTTGCAGCATAAAGCAACACTAATTAATGATTTAAAATTATTAGATAATGTAACACAGATACACTGACTAAGTTCTGAATTCGTATATTAGTAGTTCTAGATATACCAAGTAAAACAAACAAGGGATAGCAATTTCATTTAACGTTTTAAAATTTAGGTTAAAATAAATACTTCGTGGTAAAACGATTGATTTATATCAATTGAAATGATTGGAAAATAAAATTTGACCTAAAGGGTCTGATTTGCCATCTTTACTGATATAAGTACCCGACAGTTATGTGGCACATAGTTCATACAAATGACGTTCTATATTCAAATATAATTATGTGACACATAGTAGCTATCGAGACTTACATAAAGGTGGTGAAACAGACTCTCATTGTGCTTGATTATTTGGCACACAAATGAAAACAAATATTAATTATTATTTTTTGGTTTATTGTAAACATTGTTATATTCAAGAATAAATGTTAAAATAAATATTTACATTGTTTTTTTACATATTTCTGATAAAATACCTACTGATTAAAACCCACATTATAATAGCTAGATCGCTCCATAAACAAGAACCCTCACTTAGACATAGCTGACTTACTTTTTAAATTTGTAAGTTGCTGTTTTATATTTTATGGATTACTGGTTCAAATACTTACAAGTTATCCTGGGTTTGTTAATTATTATGACGTTGCTATGATGTATATTGTTATAAAGAAAAAATATACATTATAATATATCCTGTCGTAAAACTAATTTAAGACTTAAAGCTATATATTTGGATATTTTAAATACTTTTTTTAAATAACTTGTTCGTAATATCACTATTGTTGAAAATTTAGAACTGAACAGAATGATGAATGGAGCTCTAGGTATTTAAAAAACGCTTATTTACGAGCACAACTTCAGGACATACATTTGGGCGCTAATAAAAAATAATTGAAGCGAAAACTCATGATGTGAATTACCAAAAAATATAAATGGTTGAATGGAATAGGGTGTACAACAGAAAACAACAATTTAAAACATTAATATTCTTGTGACAATTATCAGTTTGAATAAAATTAATTATATTATATAAATAAACTTAATTATAGTAAGATTATTTTTAACTCGGTTTGGTAGCGTGATTTTGATGAAACTCGTCAGTTAATAAAAGGAATGTAGGTTTTATGAATACATTTAGATGTAATTTACTCATTTATCATACTAATTATGCTTAATATTTTCCTACTTATCGTACTATAGTGGTACTTTTTCTCTTCTTTAATAGAAGCTAATATCTACATAAATAACATTTTAATATATTACTTTAAGTATACAATTTTACATTATCTTATTAGCTGGTTTTACAATAACTTGATAAAAACACTCGACGCCGCAATTTTCGACAGTATAAGTTGGGTACTTGATTTGGAGAGAGTCGAGACTTCTTTTCCAAGAATAACATCACGATTCTTTATAATGTATTCTATCACCCAGGTAGGGTGCTATTCATGGAGTCCATTAATAAAATTTATTTTTATTTTATCTTTTGGATACTTTTTATTTTATTAGTGAGTGTGAAACCAGCCCTACAATTAATGTTTTCTAATTTAAAATATAAACTAGCATTTCTACATAATCTTATATACAATATACCTTAAAAATTTCGAGCATAAATTAATTGGTTGAGCTGATACCGATAGGAATTAAAGTATACAAGACTTTTTAAATAAAGCATTTACATAATATAATGTTTAATCTAGACATTATATTAAAATGTCTTTTGAGAGTAAATTAACAACAATACACTAATCATATTACCTTATTCGCTACGATTTTGTTAGGGAAAATAGACCGCCATCTTGTTATACAGTAGTCTTTCAAATGACGTGATGCTAATTGTTTACGCTGTTACTAGATGTCGCCACTGGCGATTTAGATCCTGTCAGTATTACTGTCGTATTTGTCAGTCTGTTTTTGTCTGTAAGTGAGCGTTATTCGGCCAATGGTGATGAGGGCGATGTTTTTTTTCAAAAGTGGGCGGAACCCATTTCAAGATATAGTTAAACTCAATAATAACGAAAGGAAATAATTATTATGATTGATTAGATCTTTGGTAACATCCACTTTGTACTTTTGACATTTCATATTTTTCTATTTACATAGCGATGGAGCTGGGTTTCGTAATTATTATTCAACTCTGAGCTAATAGGTATCTACATTGGTTATTGTGAGGGCGAAATTTATATTATCTAGAATTCGTTTGACCGCCTATAGTTATAGGAGTTATATGTAAAAATAAAACACAAGAATAAAAAAGACAGAACCTATCCCTAGTTTTTTAAAAAGAAAATATGTTTAATATGAATGTTTTTATGATCATCATTTTGTTTACATTTAATATTGTAATACTTGCGTTTCTTCTTAAAAGATAAACATAATTTTGTGACACATAATCTCATTGATATATGTACATAAAAATGAGCGATAGCCAGCATGCCAGCATCATCAGACAAGACAACAGCAAATAAATTAATACACATTTTATAAATTTCAATACCTACTTTCCTTTGTTCATATTCAAAACGAAACAGCGAGTATCAAAACTTTTTACCCAATGTGTGATTCATTTCGGAATGATTCGGTTTGGAAGTAATAAATGGAATGATAATAAGATATTGTTTCATACATTTGACTTTATCGTAAAAATAGCAGCCCGCCACTATTTCCCACGGCACGGAACTCGGTGTCAGTCATTTGTTTTGTTAGCGAACCGCTACTGCACCTTAAGGGTTACAATTTTTAAAATGTTCTTTTATAAGAACTTACTCCTGAGCTCAAAGACAGCATTAATGCAATTATCAGATACAGTCTAGCTGCTAACACGTGATACCATGACCAAGGGAGATTGAGTTTTATTTCTAAACACGTAAGATAGAAATTACTATTAATAGCGCTCAGGTATTGCCTTAGATATCTCTGTTACGCACGAACTAACATAACCAATTAGATATAACTTTAATGAAATTCTTAAGAAAATAATAGACTATCATAAAATACCAACACTTAGGGCTGGTTTTTCAATGGTTAGATAAAAGTTATCTGGGGAATAATTATGATGCTGTCGCATCAGAATGTTTGTATAAGACAGTGACAGCAACAATTTTATCCCTCATATAACATTTATCTGACTATTGTAAAATCAGTCTTAAGGGCTGTGTAATAAACGTAAGCAATTACTATACAAATACATACAAGGAAATAATACACGAACAAACTAATTTGTAATATTTATAAGATAAAACTTTCAAACATCACTTATCACATACAAAATTATTCCAAACACAAAAATACAGGTACCGTTACCATTATAATAAATATATTAGGTTTATACAGTAAAACGCACACTTTGGAATGGACTATACACATTCAAAAATCTCGAATGTAACTTATTGAAAACTGATTGTAACTACTTTTATATTCATAATCTATTTACCTTATTTATAATTAAGGGCTTAGTTACGTAATAATTTGACGATGTAACACGATTACTCTCAAGTTGATCCAGTTATGTCGCATGGCGGACAATCCTACTCAGATAGGAAATGCCGGCTTCATCTAGTTTTTCATACATATAATTTTGACGCGTAAAAGTGCCGTTTTTTTCTTTTATAGGTCGGAAAACGAGCAGACGGATTACCTGATATAAAGCAATCAGCGCCACCCATTGTCACCCACAAGAAGAGAGGAGTTACGAGTGCATTGCCGACCTTTTGGGGAGTAGGGATTTGGATATTCAGATTCGGGAGGGATGGAGGGAAGGATAGCGCCTCCGGTAACCTCACTCACACGGCGAAACACAACACTGTTTATGGCCTATTTGCAAAAACAAATTCATTGCCCCTAGTGCGTCTTGAAAATAGTCGAGTTTCATCGTCAAACAATTACGTGATACCGGCGCTAAACTTAAATAAATCATTTAATATATCTCACGAGACTTATAATACAAATATTTATTTATCTATTACATATAATACCTTTTAACATAGTAGACTGATGGTGCCGTTATCGCTGGCTAGTAGTAGAAGCCTATTCAGCGGTAGTACAGCCATACATGTGAGCACTCCTCGAAATGTGTCGGAGCGTAGTTTCGTGCTCGAAAAGCTAGCGTCCTGACTGAGGGACGTGTGCACTCCGATGCGATTGTTCGTAGTGCCTGAGATCAATTCTTTGTAGTATACTGAGAGGCAGTGGACGGGTTCTGTGCTGCCTCTGTGGGATAGTATAAAGTTTTATTTAGTTCATGTATGTATAACAGACTAGTGTATATAACATATCTTGCGTCATATTGTGTTATATATCAGACTGATGTTCAAAACCATATTTGTAACAATTTTACTTGTGTATTACTATTGACTTAAAAGTTGACTGATAGAGATTGACATTTGACATTAATTCATCAAACTCCGAGTGAAGTCTTACTATTGTGTTTCATATTACCAACCTTTTTTCATTTTGAGTACATAAATAATGTTGTGCTAATAACAATAATTTATTGCGCACTGTATTAGTAGAAGAGTAGATGAAAAAATCGATCTTGACTCCATAAAAAGGTTTGCTATAAAAAATCTCTTTTTGCTATATAACCTACCATTTACAAACTATATTTTAAATTTATATATATTTTTAAAGTGTATAATAAAATTTAATAAAATAAAAAATATAAATAATCAATACGTAATCAAACCTCATTATAAAAAAGTACGTACTTGAGATGTGCTATGAGTTCCCCGTCGTCAGGCCTCCATAAAGCTGTGACCTGGTCCAAACCTGAGCTGAGCAGTCTATGCTCGTCCACTGTCGCAAGCCTTAAGACCTGGGCATAACAAAAAGATTAATAACTATTTAACAAAAAGATTAATTCAATGTAAGTATACATTTTACATTATTTTAGATAGAGATGTAGACGGATCACCCGATAGTAGTAAACAATCGAGGCCAGCAACACTAGAGAAAATATTCAGCATTCAGGGGCTTTGCGATTGGAGCTTCTGGGAATTTTGTGAGAATGGGGTCTCCGGTAAATGGATTATACGCTATTTAGTAACCAGTAGCAAAATTCGAGCAGATTATTATAACGTGACATAACGTTAAACTTGCGTACCTCTCCATCGTGTGCCTTCCACGCGGCGATGGTGAGGCCGGTCCTGAGGTCGGTGACGGCGACATGTCCGCTGGCCAGCCCGCAGGCCGCCCAGCCGCCACTAGAGCTCACACACATGCAGCGGATAAACGTCGTCGCGCTCATCGGGAGCTGGGGATACCATATTTGTTTATTTATTTCATAACTTAGCATTGGTTATTTAAGACAGAATGCGTTAAGTTCCATACACCATCTTACTAACGCCCGGTTCCTATAATTGACAAACGATCCGTTTTAGTTACGAATAGTAGTTTTATATACGGCTCGTAAGCTAAAACCGTTCCTATAAACAACGTCTCGTCGTGCAACTTACTGACGGCTTGCAACTAACGGATGGGAGGGTATCGGTAAGCATATTGTATGGAGATGACAGTCTATGGTGTTCCTATAAATATTTTAACCGTCGGTAGACGGTCAAGATGACTATTCGTAATGTCATTTGGTTACGTGCCGATGTCGGTCGGTTAGAGTAGAATTTTTAAAGAAAGTTCACTGATTTCGAGTCGAGCATTAAAATGTCGAGTTCAGATAGTGATAAAGAAGCATTTGATATATCAAACTCCAGTAAAACTGATTCAGAAGAAGATAATAATAGAGGTAACAAAATACAATAGAGAAAGAGTGGATTATTTAGCGTTGCTGGATTCTTACGAATATCAAGTAAGATAGAAGAAGATAATAATAGAGGTTACAAAATATAATAGAGAAGGAGTGGATTATATGTACTAATTTAGCGTTGCTAGATTCTTACGAATATCAAGTAAGATATCGACTCGATAAATAATCATCTGAGCAGTTACTTTATAATTTAATTAATTATCTGCAGCAAGAAAATAAATTACAAACTTATTTGGTTTTAGATGTTTCGAAGTGTGAAAACGGCGATTTCCTTTGGTGGCTCTTACGAGTTCATGCTGTTATACCTAATAGTTACAGAAGTGCTCCATAACATTTTCTTCGTGACAAGTAATGTTGATAAAATGAAAAATTCTACGGAAAGATACACAATGATTGCAGAATATTTACCTATGTAACCACATTATCATCCAATGATGTATTAGTAGGTAGTACATGTACAACAAGAAGAAGGAACCTTCTCCTTAACTGTTTACTGTCGTTACTTCAAAGGTTTTTATATTTTTCAGTTTACACTAATGTATGATGATATCAAGATAAACAGCAGTAATGAACTGATCAATATTAGTTCACTTATAAATGTTATGAAAAATAATAAAACGAAAAAAACATAAATGTTTTATTTTACAACTGTTCGAAACATCCTAAATAGCACAAAAAAAACCAAAAACCAAACCATTTCAATGCCTCCATACCATTTAAATAAAAAAACGGCATTTATTCAAACTACAAACTAAATATTATTATTACAATCAATATTTTCCTTATTGGCTCCTATTTCAATATCTTAAGCTTAATGACAGAGTTTTCCGTCGTTTTATCATAGTATCTTGCAATTGGCAAATAACATTGGAGCCGTTCATTTTAATTTCTTTGGCTGTAATAAAGAAAGGTCATTAGCACATGTTTTAATGTTACAGTAATTCTAAAAACTACATATGTATGTATAAGTCACATAATAATTATGCAATTATATTTTTACTTATTACAAAATTAGAAATTGGACCTTTGTATGGGAGACACATAAACACTGTTAATATAGAATTATTTTTACCTTTGCTTTGCAGAAGCTTAGACATAGAGGTAATTCCATATATACATGTGTTTTCCACTTTGTTGGCACAATATCCATTTCAAACAATAACTTCTATATAAGTCAACTTCTTTCGATGTCGTAGGCAATAACAAACACGTATCTTGTTATCAGTAAATTATAAATTGTAGATGAATCGAGATTGATTATTTGAAAATATATATTTTTTTAACGGATGTCAAACGTCAATGCCAACGCTCTTGACTATTACAACGTTCCGTTTCTATGGTGTTAGCTGCATTCAATTTGTTTGGTAAGGGAAAAATGATCACGCAGATGCCTGCGATGTCATAGTTTTAGTTAATAAAACTAAAAGAATAATTTGTATGTAAATCCGACTTATTTCATCTTGAATTTTGTGTTATCTTTAGTTTCAATTTTACTTATAACGAAACGCTCATCTGTCAATGAAGAGGACTCGGTATTTGAATGACTAACGGACGTTCGTAAAGAAAATGATTATAGGAACGGTATCTACGATTCGTATTCGGTAGTTGAAAAACGGATAGTAATGCGTATACAACGACGATTCGTTAAATATAGGAACCGGGCATAAGAAAACTAAGAAACTTGTGTAAACTATTACAAAAAAAACAATCAATGATATTAAGGCAAACATTAAAGTAAATAAAAAAACTTTTATTATTTAAATTAGTAATGTTGTTTTGTACAGGCACCATTTTTATGAAACTGTAATAATATTACGATGCAATTTAGAATAAAAATGTTTACACAATTATTTGTTACTTTTTTAGGGTTTTTATATACAACCGAAATTATATTTTGTTTTGTAAAACAGCCAATGTAGGAGCAAATTTTATGATTATTATTAAAATATGGGTTAATTGGGTGCCTTCGCAAAATGGAAAAGACAGCGTGGACATTCATTTAATATTTCTAATTTTGTTATAGGGGTTTAAAACACCGTCTGTTTATTCATTGAATACTATTAATATTTTTCTATGAAAATAATTGTAAAGTATAATATACCTTCAACTCATGCGAGGTGTGTGGCGTCCGTGCGTCGATGACGCGGAGCGTGGCGTCGGTAGTGGCGGCCAGTACCGCGGCGGACGGGCCCGCCAGCGTGCGGACTATACTCACCGGACTCTTCAGGCTGTCCAACTGCAGCATACAGAGGCTCAACTTGTAATATAACCACTATATAGTATAAAACAAAGTCGCTTTCTCTGTCCCTTTCTACCTACGTATGCTCATCGCTAGTATACATTAAAGCAAAATAGATAAGAAATAATGGTCACTAATCTCTAATTTTCCCCTAATGTGCGCCTCTTTAGCGACCTTTATTTAAATTCCCGATAAATTCAGATTCTATATTCAAATTTATCTGGTACGTGGTACAGTAAACAACATTCGGTTACGCTGGTAATATGTATAAAGAAGTATAGAACCAGTAGTACAAAACTAATAAAAGTCATTTACTAGTTTTATGTTTATATAAAATTAATTCCGTATTGAACACAACATTAAAATATCACATGACTTAAACTGTTCTTTCCCTTCCCCTCCCCCTCAAAGAAATTATCTACTATATAAAAATAAAAAAGGGTTTTCCTTCCCGACGCTACCTAACTCCAGAACGCACGAACCGATTGCCACGGTTTTGCAGTAGGGTTTATAGCAAAGAAATATCAGGGAAAATTTCAAGAGAAAAGCGGTAACATCGTTTTTTACATACAGCGCCAACTTTTTGAAATTCATTTGGTAGCGAAACGGAGTTCGCCGTCTTTGCTAGTAGTCTATAATTAATAAAGATGCAATAAAATAAGGAAAAGATTCAATATTCACAAAATTTAAGGTTAAATATTCAATGACACAAAGCCGATGACTTAACGGACAGAAGATTTTTCGTGTACCAAACGTGTTTAAGGTAAACTTTTGATGCAAAATTAAGTAAGGAGAAACTAGTACCTGAGACACGACGCTCTCCATGAAGGGGTCCCATATATGCACGACGGAGTCGGTGGACACGGCCAGCCGCAGCGACTCCAGGAACGTCAGCGACAGCACGCCCTTCTTGTGGCCGCTGTACGTCCAGTTACATTGCGACGTCGCGTTGCCATCACCCTGTATATATTATAGTACAAGTGTGTAATGTTGGTGATTACCGCTGAGGCGCATTGAGATGTCTTAAGGAGCCGAGGACGGTAACGGTAACGACACATAGACTAACAAAATATGTTTTTTTGGGCTTTTCGCTAATACCATAGCTGATAGTAATGAAAAAGTCACATTTTGATTATAGGTGTCATTACGTGCCTAATTGCCGTGAGATAAGAGAAGTGTGTTGAAAGGAAGTTCTTACTTCATAGTTGATGCTTAATACTCATCTGTATAAGAGCCAAAGAATATATATTTTTCAGATGGGACAGCCATTCATTAAATATTGTAACAAAATAATTCAGTGGTGCTTTCAACGGCCAAGTAGTGCGTTTCATTAACAATAAGGTATGGCAGAAACCAGCGAAAAAAAATTGCGTTGCCCTTCGCCGCAGATAGAACTGGAGGCCCTGTTCATCCTCTATCCCCCAATCCTCAACGGGCCAGCAATGCCGATGCATGGTCAGTGCCAGGTCATCATCAGGTAATCCTTCAACTTAATGTCGATCTTAAAAATGCCGCAAAGTACCTGGTTCCTCAGCGACCACAAGCGCACAGTCTTGTCCTTGGAACCGCTCATGAAGCTGTTCTCGTTGTCCAGGCAGTGGATGGACTTGACGGAGTGGGTGTGGCCCACGAAGGTCTGCAGCTTGATCTGCTTCAGGTTGAACCGGGTCTCCTTGTCCGGGCGACCTATCTCGTGCTCCCAGTAGATCAGCCAGTCACCACGCAAGTGTCTGGGGAATAGGTTAATTTAGACTTTTTATATGTATAAATATATTTGAAAAGAAACTATCTATTTAATCCTTTTAACAATGTTTCTGAAACACTGTTCTAATGTAAACGAAGTTTTTCCTTCATTCCACGGTATATAATTCAGCAATTGTTTCACGTTATAAAATTATATAAAACTAGCATTGTAAGTTTTTTTTTTATTAAAACGTGCATTGTGTGATTCAACTACGGTATTCATCTATAATAAAAATACAAGATAAAAAAGGAACAATACCTCTAAAAATACAATAAAACACAAAATTACTGAAAACCTTCAACAAAACATACATACCTATTACTTTTAATCCCATTATCAGTTTTATACGCGACGACATCGAATCCATGCGCGTGCGCACCACTACCGACGTCGAAGGCATCACTAGCGACATCTATACGGTTCCCGACTAACGTGACATTGGATCCGAAACTGTTCGAGCTGGAAATATGGTCCATGACCACATCGGACTTGCTTGAGGAGTTAGCCTTGTGACTGAGAGGCTCGTCGCTGAAGGAAAGCTGGACGCGTTTGTCTGGACGGATCTGGAGGGGGGAGCTGTTGGAAAATAGATTTTGTTAATATGATATTAGAGGTTAGTTTTTATAACACAGTTTGATATAGTTTTATTTTGATTGGGACACATGCCCAATGTCTTCACACTTAGAGTAAAACTGCATTTAGTATACGAAAATTCATACATCATTATTATAATATGAACTTACTTAGTAATTTCTTTAGCAATTACGACTTTAGGTATATATTTGGAGGTTCAATTTGCTTGACAATTTTGAGAATACTAGACCTTTAGGAAGCAGTTAAAATTATTTAAAAAATAACGTACGTGATACGATGGTTCTGTTCATAGTTCCTGCAGAGCGCTCGAACGGTGTCTACATTCTTTAGACACCGCTCCATGGTTTCAGCCCCTATAGACTTCACGAAGGTCGTGTACGCGCGATACGCTAGCTCTTCGTCGAATACCATCAGAAGTTCTTCTTGAGCCTAAAACAATAATTGACTTTATATCGCTTTTATGTAATGTGGAAGAGACATGATTCGGTACGAATGGGCCGGTTTGACCGGAGTGATACTACGGTCTCACAGGAGGACAGTTGGTCGTTGGTTACTGATGTTTCTCAGTCTGAATCAAATGTTGGAGAGCCATGCTTTGGCACGAATGGGCCGGTTTGACCGGAGTGATACCACGGCCTCACAGAAAAGTAACATGAAACAACTGTTGTTCCCCAGTCGGAATAAAATGTTGGAGAGTCATGCTTCGGCTCGAATTGGCCAGCTGGGACGACGTGACACCACGGCCACAACTGCAGCGTTGCGTTTCGCTATATCAGTGAAGTTACCGGAGAACCAATCATTCTCCTCTCAAAATCCCTAGATCTCCTAAACCCTTATGCCTAATAGGGCGGCAACGCGCTCGTAACTCATCTGATTTTGCAGATGTTCGTGCCTCGAACACCATCGCGTACCATCAAGTTAATCACCTGCTCGTTTGCCCTATCCTATAATAAGTACGTTTGTGATACTTCTAGTGTTAGGATTCAGTATTCGCTTACCATCAGGTCATAAGCTATTTTGCATTTTTTAGAATAACAACGGGGATTGGAGGTTTAGGCGTAGGGTTTTTCGATAATGGAGGACATTTGGGCCTCCGATAGCCTCACTGATACGACGAAACACAATGAAGGAAGTATAAAAAAACTAGTTTAGAATAAAATTTGGAGATCTCTGTTGGGAAACATCACATCTTAATGAGAATAAAAGGATTAAAAAATCTGTAGGTACTGACCGTAAGCCGTGTGGTATCGTGCGGATGTTCAGCAATGTCAGGCGGCGTGCAGGCCAGGTCGGGGATGTCGGCGCGGACGACGCGTCCGTCCTGCACGCGCCACTCCGCCGTCGTACCGTCGCGACATATCTCTAGGAAACCTTCTGGCTTACAGTCCGGTGGCTCTTGCTCTGTTAACTGAAAGAGAAAAAACATATCTTTTTTATAGTCTGCTTTATCATCTTCATATAAGTACACGATTACAAACTTTGTAACACATCATCAGCTTATAAGTGCCCCTGTTTATTAAATGCCTTTCCTCATATGCAGAAGGTTTGAGCGATGACGATTTCTAAAAATAAATTTTATAAGTTCAAGTTTCTTTGCGATGTTGTCCTTTCCCGTATGTCAATGGTGTCTAAATAAACTAGGAAAATACATGAGAAATACACAATTCAGAAAAGGTTACATTGGTACTTGCCGCTTTTTGAGTACGCATACTCATGCACAAGAAGCTTTGGACCCACGACACGGGAGAAAACAATAACTCGGAGGTACGCTTTAAAAAAAGTCTGTATCAGGCCATAATAAATAGCTAAAATGTTTATACTTTCTTTTTCACTATTTAGTATTTGTACCTTTTCTGGCGCTGTTTCTTCTTGTTTCGGCCAGTTATCGATCTTGCCTGTCGCTTTATCAAAGGCCAAAAAGAATCTGGAACAAAAATTAAAAATTCAAATTATTCTTTCACGTCAAAAGGACAGAGGAGAAGGAAATCAAAGATTGATCTTATCCGTCTTTAGAGACCTTTAGTTTATTTTTAATTAATAATGTTTGGACTTACTACGTAACTGCTTGACACGATAATTTAACTTGTTTTCCATTAATACAGAAGTTTTCAGAAATTACATCCGATCATTTAGCATTTGATCAAAAGTCGCATAACATGTAAGGATGTATATAGATGATTTGACGATAGTAATGAATCAACTGATGACCTCACAAATCCTGTATCGTGCAAGTTCAAATTTAGGGAGAGAGAGAGAGGGAGAGAGAGAGAGAGAGAGAGAGAGAGAGAGAGAGAGAGAGAGAGAGAGAGAGAGAGAGAGAGAGAGAGAGAGAGAGTTTTCTGTTACTCTTACTGACCTCTGCAAAGCCGGTACACAAAGATGTCTCCTGGTCATTTCAGGTCCTATCCTGAGCGCCAACACATGCAGCGCATCCAGCAGCTTCCTAGTCAGCGAGCTCCGCGCTGCAGCGCCGCTGGGGTACGAGCAACGGGTGGTCGATGCTAGCCTCAGGGCTGGCTGGAGAATAGACTTCAGGAATGTGTCCTGGAATATACCGAAGGATTTCTTGAGACTTTCATGGCGAAATTATAATATTACACAAGTTGGCAAATTGTATACAAATACAATGTATGTACAAATAGCATGGCAATCGTAGGTCGTGGTGACCCACAGATTAAGACACCCGCTTCTCATACAAGACAGTGCGGGTTTTTAGCATTTGTCACATTGCTCAACCTAACAAACAAAGAGTTCGGGCATTCAAGAGCTCAACTTCTGTGTTATTCAAAGTATAATCGCATTTCTGTTTTTTTAGTAGAATTGTTATTCTAAAAACATAGCAACAGATGGCAACCTTTTGTATACAAAGCGTTTATAACTAACAAAATATTCTTTTTCTTATGAAAGGCATCAATATTGAATACTTCTTGTACAAAAAAACAATTAATCTCATAAAATATAGACCCGTACCTGCAACTGCTCCATGAGTTTGACGTCAGACATATGCGGCAGCAGGTACTTGATGAGCTGTAGACAGGCGACCACGCCGCCCTCTAGCGGCGCGGACAGGCGGCGCCGACATGAAGCTATCAACTCGCCCATATGAGGCAAGTATTGGAAGATTATCAACTGTTCACCGTACATCGCTGGAAATGAAATATTGTTTATTTCATTTAGAGTTGAAAATGTCATTATTTTTATATGTAGGCTAGTTACCACATATAAAAATAAAAGAATCAAATTATTTGTTCACGTCAAAAGGGCAGAGGAGAAGGAAGTCAAATCCTGATCTACTGATAGAATGAATCCACATTATTGTATTACATAAAATAATGCCCGGGTATTTAAAGCGATAGCTCGACTAAAAACGCAAAACAAATATAATTAATAGTCTATAGCAGTCAGCAACAACGTAGCTATTCTATCAGTGAAAGAATTTTTGAAACCCGACTAGCGGTTCAATAATACATTCTTGTAAGTTTCACCGCGTTTAAAGATAACTGGTCAAAAAATGCAATTATCTGACTTTTTTAACAACACCCAAGTATTTTCTCCTGTGTCGTGAGTGTGTCCAAAAACATAAAAAATCACATACAACAACAATTTGTAGGTCTCTGAAATTTTTGTTCCGTGCAGAAATCGAAACCGCGACACTTTGCACAGCAGGTAGTTGGTGGTGTTCGAAGTACATCTCATAACAATTATAATAAAAACGCAGACTTCAAGCTACATCTACATTAATAAACAATGAGTAACTCACCTACAATAGAAGTGAGGCACTTGATCACTTTCATAGCGTTTCTGTCGCCAACCACTCGACTGCTGACAACAGATATCTCATCAAACTCGTCTCTATCATCGCTATCCCACGGCGCCAAATTATCTTTTCCAATATAACACAACGTTAACATCTTCAACAAGTTCCGTGTTATATACCTACAAGTAAGTACTGGCCCTAATCTATGAGCCAGCCAAATTAAACTTTCAGAACTCATATCGGAAATTTTCGACGTATTAGGATCTTTGAAACCTTGAAAATCTTCGTCGTTCATACTTCGAGACCCTTTCGCTGACCTATCCATGTGTCTCCCCAGTTCCAAGTTTATTTGTGGGTCGTGAGATTTCCTCCTCAATTCAACCTCAGAATCGTCTTCTTCTGCAAAGTGCAGGTAACTTGTAAACATCGGCTTCGTCGGTATCTCTATAGTTGGCGACATTGGTTTGTTAGAAGGCGTCACTACTTCGTGATTTTGATCTCTATGTAGTGTTTGATTCGGTTCCTTTTGGACTGCAGTAAAGTATTTTGTTGCTATTGGTGAGACGTGGTCTATTGAAGGCGAGGGTGTGTGGATGTTGTCTTGGTTGTTCGAGTTATATGAGTCTATGGATTCCGCTGGAGACTTGCTCCTACTACTTCTGCTAGGGAGTCTGTCCTTGTCAGTTTCGAAATGGAACAACTCATTTTCGCTTCTATTATCACTGTCTTTCTCTTTTAGACCTTCGTGGGTTTCAGTTTTCTCCACGCCAGGTGTCGTGACGTGTTCCGACCCGTAAGAAGTGTCAGGAGAGAATATATCCGTATTACTGGACAGCGCCTTCTTGACATTATCATCAGAATATCTAGGTTTTTTACTGGACAATGCTTTATTGTGACACAGATGGCCTGGAGAGCCAGCTTCTTCAGTTGCATCCTTATAACCACCAACAGCCTCAACTAGGTGTTGTGTGAAGTTGTCCAGGAAACATTGGAGCCCCAACCTGACCATGAGCTGAAGGAGGAATATATTGTGGTAGAGCTTCACAAACTTCTGTTTGTTCGACACTCCCCCTGCGAGAGTACCGTCTACATCGGTCAACTTATGCTGGTCAGGTTTGTCCACAGCAAAGTCATCATCTTCGTAGAGGTTCAGAATATGTTTGAGAAGCTTCTTCCTCGTCTCAGCGGGCCCCAATGCTTTGCTGACTGTGTCAAATAAGTACCACGCGGCCAATACTGACGTATCCTTGTTCTGAAGTAACTCTATGTAGTGGGAGAGGAAGATGTCAAGGACATCGAACTGATTGTAACAATTTACTTGGTTTAATAAGACTTCTAAGTGCGTGACGCACGCTTGAATCTTTCCTTCAGCTATTTTCTGGTTAAAATACAGCTTAGTTTTATCCACATTCTGGTACTTTTCGCACTGCACGCCATCACACTCATACGTATAGAGAATATTTAGCTCCGTGCTTGTCAGTTCATACTCGTGTAGCGTATTCAACAACTTGTACAAAATATTAAAGCTTTGAGGGAACGGTATCAAATGCTGCATCAATAATGGCTGCAAAAGCTGCGCAGGTGTGGGTGCGGGCAACCCTTTATCAGTTACCAAAATCTTCTTCATAGGCTCCTCCTTTTTTGGAGTCAATTCATTTTTGTAACTCAAACTGAGAGGTTGAACGTTGAGGAGTAAGGAGGCTATATAACTAACACTTCTTGGTAACGCATTGAAATTGTATTTTAGTACTGTTCGACAGTTGTTGTATCGTTCTAAAAAGTTGTCGGTGGCTGTCCGAAGCGGCCTCATGTAGCTGTGTAAGAATATTTCTACGATCAAGCACCCTATGACTAGCATATCCTGACGTCTACTTTCTGTAACAAACTGCTTGTATATCGCTGCATCAGTCGTGTACCTTGTGTTGAACGTCCTATTCTTTCTCTCTTTCAGCACACTCTCCAAGTGCGCATCCTGAGTGAACTTCTTCAAATAATTCTGGTCGTAAGACGCTAAAAACATGTGATTCGTAAACGCAGTATCGTCAGAGCCTTCCTTGGATGACACAGTGCTATCCTGCCTCATGTCTTGCTGCACCGGATAGAGGTTCAAGGTCGTAATATTCTCTTTATGTTTCTCCTTATCCTCAGCTTTGGTAAAGAAGCATTTTGTTCGGAAATTATCGAGGGATTCTATCGCTTGTATGGAAGCTACTGGGTTGAATTCTTTGGGGAGGTAAATGACGCCTTTCCCTAGCTCTGATCTTTGGACCCTGTAGTGCCGGGAGTGGGAGGAGGCCCTGCCTTCAATGGGGACAGTCTGCGAGTCTTCAAGACCTTGGCTTTTGGACAAGGAGCGAGCCCTACTGCTGCTTTTGTGTCGTGACCTAACGCGTTGAGGAGGAACGTTCAGCCGCGACACGTGCTGGGGAAGACTAGTAGACTCTTCCTCATCATCAGAAACTTCGTCTGAACTGTCGTTTCTGAGGGACTTTTCTGTGGACAATAATATGTTATTTGTTATAATGTATGTTCACAGAATCAATCAATAGACTTAGCCCGAGTTTGACGGACATTAGATATTATTCAGCCTGTTTCGGAATCAACAACTTTTCAATGAATTAATACTGATGTTATGGGATAGTACATCCATTATTAGTTATTTTACTTAAGAAGTAATTTTACGAATCCCGTTTATACTTGCAAAAGAATCACATCAATGATTTCTTTTTAAAAAACGATTCGTTACTTTGTAGTGAGCTTAACAGAAGACTTAGAAAACTTCGTTTGTCTTCTTCATTAACTATAAAGGATACGTACTAGCATCCTTAGGCGCAGTCCAGTGTAGGCGCGGGGGCGCAGGCGGCAGGGCGCGGGAGGCGCGGGGCGGGTGCGGCGCCGTCAGCAACTGTACCGCGCCCCCGCGACGTATGCGGGTGTGACCATCCACTAGAGATAGGCACACGTTCTTTGCTTTTACTGACGCTGCTCCTGACAGTCTGGGAATAATAATACCCTATATTATAAGTTTTTTTAATTAGAAAAATGAATATTGTAAATAGTAAAACCAATCGGTCTATCCTGGTCTGGGAATAATAATAGCCAATGTAACAAGTTTTTAAGAAAATATTATAATTGAGGAGGTCGAAGAGCTTCTGCACAAATGAGTCAAACGTGAAACAATCACAGCGTTGTGTTTCGCTATGGGAATGGGGTCCCAATCCCTAAATCTTCGAAACCCTCATCTCCATAAGACTGGCAACGCACTCGTCACTCCTCTGGTGTCCATGAGCGGCGCCGATTGCTTACCATCAAGTAATCGGATAGCTCGTTTGCCGAGCTATCACATAAAATAAAGAGGCGAATATCCAGCTCAGTGGACAAGAAAGACATGAAAATGACAATGATATTATTCATAGCAATAATTTGAAACTCACTTGTATCCGAAAGTAATATCGATCCAATGATGCAAATTCTCCGATACGTGCGTACTTTCCAATGCTTCTCTATGTTTCGTTATAAAATCCTCGACGCAGGTCGCCCACGACGGAATGCCTAGGTCCTATAATTAAGCAAGATAATAGTTGCTAAATGGGTATTTATGTATAAAAATAAATTAAAGGTTGGTAAATATGTATTTAGATAGAGAGAGCACAACAATTTCCATTATAGAAAAAATGAGCAAAATTTCATCTTTCTTTTTGAGCAAAATGAATAGTATTATAAAATACGAATAAGTGTGGGAGAGCCAAGCTTCGGCACGAATGGGTCGGCTCGACCGGAGTGATACCACGGCCTCACAGAAAACCGGCGTGAAACAACCCACAGCGTTGTGTTTCGCCGTGTGAGTGAGGTTACCGGAGGCCCAATCCCTCCCCTTCCCCTATCCCTTCCCAATCCTTAAATCCGCAACCCCTATCCCCAAAAGGCCGGCAACGCACTCGTAACTCCTTTGGTGTTGCAGGTGTCCATGGGCGGCGCCGATTGCTTACCATCAGGTAATGCGTCTGCTCGTTTGCCGACCGATCCCATAAAGAAAAAATACGAAACTGGTCCAATTAACTCAAACGCGACATCGCCACTATTGATTGTCTGCAAAATCTTAAAAATGCATTTGAAATTAATGGTATCATTCTTAGCTAAATAAAAACACCTTACACCTTAATTAATATCCTTAAATTATATGTATCCTCAACTCTTTAAAACTACGCAACTGATTTTAACGCGTTTTTTTTTTTATTTAATTTAATACGATTGTTTTAATTGAAAAGGTGATTGAAGAGGACGGTTTGTAAGTATAATAACATCCATTAAATAGAGGAGATTTTTAGTAACACCATGTATTTGTGGCCAGCCGGAGCAAGTCGCTGGTCGTCTGTACAGTCAGGGGTCAAAAATACAATTACACTGTACCAATTTTAAAATGACTAAAATTTCTTTGTAGTAAAAGTTCAATGGTTCACAGCCAGTTTATTCAATAATTTAGATTCTATGCTATAAATTAAAGCAGTCAGCAGCAATGGTTGAAACCATTGACTCTATTCTACGAAGATATTTTGGTCATTTTAAAATTGGTAGAGTGCAATTGTAATTTCGACCCCTGACTGTACATAATCTCTTTATTAATTTTAACTTCGGATATGTTTTCTCAGTGAGTGAATAATTCTTATGAGAAATAAAGTTATTCTTAAACCAGAATATGTAATGGGAAGTGTAGAGTTTATAGTGCCTTTAATTAAAAGTAAAACCTGTTCGCCTATAAAGACTATAATCGTGTATTTTCATTTCATTTACTTACCGGTAGGTCTTCGTGTATACTTTTAAACACAGTGGGGTCTGTGTAGAACTCCGGTATACATTCGTCAGGAGTCCATTCCTGCATGCGTTGTATGGACGCTGGATATTCAGCCGGCACCCATTTATTTCTCACGTATTTACATAAAACCTCTTTTGGTGTTCTAGAAAATAAATACGTTTATAAATTTTGAGGGTAGGAGAGCCATGCTTCGGCACGAATGATCGACCACGGCCTCGCAAAAAATCGGCGAAAACAGTCCCAAAATCTCCAAAACCCTCATCCCCAAAGGGAGCAACCCATAACTCGTCCGTTGTTGCGGGCGGCGCTAATTGCTTACCATCTGGTAATCTGTAGGCTTACTACACTTGTACTTTTCTATTTTGATATATTCTTTCTTTCTTATAAAAAACCTACTTTATGATTGCCTTGATATTCGAATGCTACGGTAAAATCCACTGAATAATTAGATTATACATTTTAACATGCATACATACGTTTTCTTATCTACAACCGCAGTTTGAACATTAACGAAGTACTTATTTATTCAAAACTCATTACACAGTCAAGGACATGAAAAACTTCAATGGTTAAAACGAAAAACAAATTAGTTAACAAGAAAAAAGAAACAATTACCGCGCAACAACGAAAAGTAAGACAACCATCGCGTCAGTTAATGGAAAACCAGTCTTAAGTCATTTAGCATAAAGGTCATTATGTCGTACAAACCTGCGCGCTAGGTAAACGTAGCAAGTAATATCGGAGAGGGCGTCAGAAACGTGGTGTGGTATCTGGTCGGTGCAACTGCTGACGTCATATGTCATGTCCAATTGACGATCTCCCTTGTTCAGGCGGTATTTTGACTTGCTTAGGTCTCGCCAGTTCCTACCTACAACATTAAAAAGAAATAAAGTTTTATCCCTACTTAGTATAAAACAAAGTCGCTTTCTCTGTCTGTTTATCTCTATGTATGCTTAAATCTTTAAAAATACGTGGCGGATTTTGATGCGGCTTTTTAATGGATAGATTGATTGAAGAGGAAGGTTTATATGTACAATAACATCCATTAAATAGTGGAGAAATTACGTATCATCATTGCATTGGTGGGTTGCTCATGATTAATAATAATAATGAATGAATTACAAAACAAAGTATTTAATACAATAATTTTGTTATCATAAAAAGAAAATGGACAGTTACTACATAAGGCTAGCATCACCTCATTATATTCCTGTCCAGACAACCCTCAAAGTATTCCATTTAAAAATGTAATCAACCTACTTTGTAATGTTACTATGTATATTGTATATCTAGCCATTTGTGTACAAAACAAACATTACTGATAAATTTATGAGCATCTGTGTAATAGATAACAATATGAATCATCATAATATACACATTTTTATCATACAAACAAAAGCATCACTCTACATAGACTTACCACATCTGGATGAGAAATCAGTGACCCATGGAACCATGAAATGGGCTTGAGGATCATTAGCAGCTCTTCCAGCTAACATGTTCAGGTGTAGCAGATAGTCAAGGTTAGATATCCTCCCTCTTACCCACAACATACACAGCTTCTCCAGCTGAACTGCCTCCTTGCGCCAACACCACTCCTCCCCCCTTTTCCCAGGAGGTCCCTGACTTATTGCAGGAGTTGTCTGTTTACTCCTATTGTGCTCAATTATCAGGGAAGCATCCAAACAATGTATGTTATTGGTAATCATTGGCAACACTTGTAGCCATAGGTTCTCAGACAAGTAAATGTCTAAAAGAGTTAGCATTCCTAAGCTTAAGCCTCTGTCACTCATAGCCTTAGACAAGTTCAACAATTGGTACACTATAAACAGGCCTCTGCTGTAATTCATGTCTATTAAGTTTGGACTAAAGTTCAGGCAGTCAAGGAGGGTATTCTCATATTGTGCCCTATATATAACATAGAAGTTACTGTCTGTTTCTATGGTAAACATGGCTGCTAGTAGGTTGCCATGTGTTTCATACATTTTTAAAACATGTTTATTAGGTATAATCTCTTTGTACTCTATGTGTTTTCCAGCTCCATCACACTTAACCCTAATTATATTACATCCATACAAGCGGAGCACGACTTCAGACATCAGCTGGTCATGCTCTAATAGGTTTACTATGGTACTTTCCTTACTGCTATCATTGTTTTGACAGTACTTCTTGTATGCTTCTTTCCACAATGTTCTTTGGTTACTCTGCGACACATATTGCAAGAGCTGAGAGAACGTAAGGGGAGTCTCGTTTGTGTTTTCGTTGAGTTTGTAACGAGGCAAAGGAAGAACCTTGGACACTTTTTTATTCAACACCTAAAATGTTAAGGTTTTTTTTATTAGAGCGTAATAAAATATAAATGCAATATTTTGGTAATAATAAATAATTTACATACCCTCACAAATATTTTTCGCCACGGATAAGGTACACTTTCACCAGGTTGCAAGGTAAAATCTACATTGTTCAGAGAGGTATCTATTTCGATGTTTTTTATCCATTTTTTCAACCAAGCTGTGTGAACAACGACGGAAAAAAGACCAGGGGACGCAGTTGGAAATATATTTTTATTACTTATACCTAATTCTTTAACTATATTATCCATGTCTAAATTATTAATAATGTTTTGTTTTGTTTTGTTGCGTACAAAACTGCAGTCATTATCAATTTTGACATTTCCTTGTGATTGACATTTTGATTTAATGATGACATTCTGAAATTGGGATGCCAATGTAAAAAAAAACAAAAAACATTTAAAATATTCTAGGGATATTTGAATTTTGTTTAATTTCTCCGTGTTGCTGTATCAATTTACCCCTGACAAAAAAGCCTTCACAGGCTGTGGTACAACTCGGGTTCAATCGCAACAGGATGATGTTGTGTGTGTGTGTGGTGTGATTTGAAGGACATAATTCATTATGACCTGTTAACTACCACGAGATAGACAGATCGATGGTCCCCATCGATTCTAAATTCTACTACGAACTACTAAGTTGAGAGGAAGCGGAATTAAGGAACAGAAGGGGTGTGGTTCTTAATCATGATAACACTAGACCTCACGTATTTTGAGCTACACAGCAAAAATTTTGGCTTGGCGGTGCATTCGCCGCGCACTCCTGACCTTGCAGCTTATTTTTGTTTCCGTGTCTTCAGAATTCTTTAGGCAGTGTCAGGTTAACATCATGGGAGGACTGCCAAAACCGCTTAACTTTGAGCAGAATTCCCGAACTATAGCAATGGGATCATGGGCCTACAAGATAACAAAATGGAACCTAAGTCCATGTAAATAAAGCACCAAATTGAAAAATGTTTAAATTTTCTTAATACGGTAAAATGGAGTGAATAGATATTAATGAATTTTTCTAATATCTATTCACCTCGTTTTACGTTACCTACCTAGTAAAGAGGGACTCAATGACTGCAGCAGTTTATTGAAAACTAGCTATTCTCGCGCGGTTTCACCTGCTGCTCGGCTCCGTTTAATTGTAGCGTTATGTTTTATAACATAGATCTATCTATATATATCTATCAGTGAAAGAATTTTGGAAATCCGACCAACGGCAACGGTTCCAAAGATTACCCCCTACATACTTGACAAACTTACAAATGTTACCTCTTTATAATATTAGTATAGATATAGATAATGACTTACGTGTATACCAGTTATAAAATAATGTACTCTGTGAACTCAGAAATGCTCTACTAATAGTTTCAAGTCACAACGGGACTCTTACACGTGAGCAGCCGCAGCGACGTCGCGCAGTCGACAGTCCGTTTATCTCAGTAATTCGTGTGGAGTAAAAGCCAATTAATCAATTAATTTAGGATGTCCCACGATAGGTACTTTTCAAAAATGCCTATAGAAGTTGTTTGTCAATGTGTTCTACTCAGGCTGATGCTCAGAATGATATTACTTTCTGGTACTCTTGTTTTTTGCTGTTAATAGGTATACAAATTCACAAGAAAAGAAGTTTTCATTCTTAATTTGTCCAGAATTCCCATCTTTTGCGTAGATTAAGGATTACTTTAGGAATATATACTTGAGTATAACGAAATGACTACTGCCGGCTGGTCTAGGGAAGTAAAAATAAAATCATTTTAGGGCAAATTAGTTATTATTATTATAAATGAATACTTTTGCTTATACTATAAGAAAAATGCAAATATTTATGGTGTTTCACACCTTGTGGGAATGTAAAGGTACTATAAAATGGTTATTTTAGCACCAAAAAGTTATTATTCTACAACCTATAGGTACTTTATCACAATATATTGGTCCACTATAAAACATAAATGTAAAATATAAACTGCAATATTCAAGATTCTGCGACAACATTTCAAAACCTAGTTTAACATGAAGTTTTAACATAATACAGCAGCACCACATAGCACTCAAAGGGAAAAAGCTCTGCTCGTTTTATTCCATTTTCCCAGAAACTCGTTTCAAATAACATTTCCACAAGGTATCTTTGTAAATGACTGCTTGGGTTTCTGGGCTCTTGGCGGCAACAATGCCTCTACCAACTACTATCACATCACCACCTTTCTCCAAGATAACCTTCTCTGGTGTATTGTACACCTGGCCTAAGTTATCTTTGCTGCTCTCCAGCTGCACTCCTGGGGTCAGTTGTATAAGACCTGGGTCCTTGAAAGTGTCTTTGTTCTGACAAACAAATCCGGTAATCAATTCTGGGTATTTTGATGCCATAGCCACTGTTGCTTCTCTATAATCTGGTGTAATAAGGTTTCCCTGAAAAACAAGTAAAATTAATCTTCCAATGATCTATGTTTAGCTTACACAGCTTTGTTAAAAAGGGTTTTAGTAACATCATACCTCACTGCTCATTTCAGCCAGTAGAAAAACTCCTCTGTTGACACCATTTTGTGAATTGAGGGCTTTCAGAATGCCTTCACCAGGCAAAGAATGGGCTGTTACACAATCAGCCCAATCTCCGACTTTGTACAGGCCTTTGGAATACTGCAGAGATACAGTATTCCCAATATCAGCGTACTTTCTATCTTCCAGTATTAGGAAGTTGAATCTATCAGCCAGTTGTTTGATTCTAGAAATGAAATCACTAGTATAATCTTCAATGATGTCTGCATGTGTCTTCACAAGACAAACATGTTCTCCAATTTTTTCTAGAAGGTCTAGGATCTTTGTGGCCGAAGTCAAGTCAACTGAGAGACACAGATTTGTTTTCTTAGTTGCCATTATGCTGAATAGCTGTTTGGCCACTCCATTTTTGGCTAGCTCAGCTCGCTTTTCATAAGTCAATGACATTCTATCCAATGGCTTTTCTGTAAAAACAATGATTTAATATATTAGTCTTTAGACTGCAGACAGAAAAATTTGCTACAACAACATTTGCTGCTGGCACATATTATATATTTATTTCAAGAAAGAGCTAACATACACATATTCAAATTAATGTTATTTATGTAGTAGAAAGAACATGTGAATTTAAATAATGTTATCAATAAGAATTTAGCCAATTAATTAACATAACATACATACCAATGACTGGAGCTTGTGTCTCTTTCAAGTACAGCTTCACTTTAGTCACCGTGTCCTCAGTAATCTTCCCGTTTTTCAAGAGAATGTCAATCAATGAAGACATAGTAAACAATGACTTGATTTTTACATCATCAACTTCAAGATTTTTGCTGCCTCCTTGTTCCCGATCCAATATAATAACTGCGTCTGTCACTATCAAGCCTTCTTTACGTAGATCTCGTACTGTTTCCAGCACACTTGACCCGGATGTAACAACATCTTCAACAATTAAACATGATTGACCAGCTTTATAATGGCCCTCAATAGATTTTTTAGTTCCGTATGCTTTTGTTTCTTTTCTTCGCATGAGCATAGACTTCTTCGTCAGTACACTGAGGATTGTCGCGATAGGCAACGCTGTGTACGGCACACCACACACGTGGTCATATTTCAGATCTTTCATGGTAAGTTCCAGCAACAAGTTTGATATCGATTCCTGCAAAAAGGAAAATTACCATAAAATTATATAAAAAAATAAAAAAGTAGAAGTAAGGCATGTGGTATTTAAATCATGTGCTCTTCGGTATTTTTTGGGGTAGAGTATTAAGTTAATTATGTTTATTACGTTGTTATTAACTTACCATAACATCAGGATAACTGACTATAACCCTCAAATCAAAATAAACAGGTGTTTTGATGCCGCTCTTTGTTGTAAACTCTCCAAACTTTACAGCATCTATTGAAAATAGTTTTATTGCTAGATCAACTAGTTTTTTATCGCTCGACATTTTAATTCCTCTTTATTTAAATGGAACACGTGAAACTAAATGGGAAGTTTACGAAGTTTTGATAACTTGATAATTTTGAAGTTTTGAACTATGATTGATTTGCCCTTTGATAAATTGGTTTTTATTGCCAACAGTAAATTTAATTTTAATCAGTTTTGAGACCCTGTTCTTTGAATTAACACAGTAAGTTAATAATATTTATGTATACTGTATTAATACAGCTAGCGGTTGTATACTTTTTTGACTTCCATAGTTCTTAAAACACTTTAATTTTATATATTGTGACAGCTTTTTTCTACTAATCTTGTTCGGACTGAATAGGCAACCCCAAAATCAAGTGGTTTTTCCTGTCAAGTGACTCAAGTGTCATGCTAACTTTATTCTTCTGACATATGTCAATTCTGTCATTTTCAAAACGTTCTCAGTGGTGGGTGCGCGCCTAGTTTTCGTGTATTTTTTTTATTTTCGTAATATTTTCGCTGGTTGTTTTTTATTTTGTGCATCACAGTTTCAATTTTGTTTGTATTTTAAATTTGGTGACCTAATAAATGAAAAAAGTGTTAGTATATGTTTTATTGTTATACGCATAAAGAGGAAAACTGTTGCTTTAACTTGCAGAACTTTTTCGCGCGCATAATAATAAAAATATGTTCAAGTTAATATGTGGGGGGAGTGTTGATAAGTAGGTGAACAGTGTAGTATTATTATTATTTCAATGTTAAAACCCGCGTTGGGACTCAGGTAGAGGATTTTGAATCAATGTCGGGTTCGGGCAAGGTAAATCCACCCCTCCTATCGCCCCGAACACGAAGTGGGGTTCCCTCCCCTCCTTTAGGGGAAGTTTGGGTAGACAAAGGGTAGTCACCCCTAAGCAGAGGGGAGCTTTTGGGCCTTGGGCGATATCCGTTGGTAGGGGAAGGGATCACAATTTCAAGTTCAGTTTTTTTTGGCCCTTGCCCTTTCTAACGGTTGCGCGCGTGTGGGAAAGTTTCTAACGAAAGATTTGTGTTTCGATTTTGTCTCAACAATTTTTTTGTTTCCTCTCTTCAGGTGACATTTTAATTAAGAACCATGGACAGTAATAATCGTATGTATTTTTTTTTATTATAATTTTAAAATTTATTTTTCGAAATCGTGTGATGAAGTGATCATATTTTTGTAGAGCCAGTACCAGACCTGGAAATGGCAATAAAAAGAAGTATGTTAGCTAAGAACAAATTGGCTATGATTGTGAAGCAACCTGATGGTGCTGTCAACTATTCCTGTGTGGAGTGCTCTGCACTGTATGTACATAAAGAAGACCTTGAACAACATCTCCTTGACCATAACAGAGAGTATAGATACCTCTGTGGGATCTGTGGCACTGGGTATGTAGCATACTTTTTAAATTACATTTTTTATTTGTTCTTAAAAAGATTATATTAGTGTTACCTTAAGTACTATCAAGATCACATCAATTTGTTATATTTTTTTTGTCATAAATATACATTTAATACAAAAAAGTATCAATAATACATTAATATTGTATTACATACTTTTTGATTTCAATCTACCAAAATTAAAACTTTATTTTTCTATTCCCACCAAAAAGGTTGAAACGCAAAGAGCACTTGGAGAGGCATACTTTAGAACATCAGGAGGTGAGGCCTCACATCTGCCCTGACTGTGGCAAGGGTTTCAAGAGAAAAGAACACATGACCATCCACCTGTCTATCCACAGTGGAGACAAGACTGAGACCTGTCCAGTGTGCCATAAAAGTAAGTAAATAAACATTGTCTCAGTTAAATCTAGAGTATGTGTAGTGTTTTTTTTTTCAAAATATTATTACCTTAAATTTAATTTTCATTCAATATTAATATTACTTTGACATGTGTAACTAGAAACCATTTTATTTTCATTTGTTATTGTGTAAAAATAAGAACACTTTAAAATTGTTTTGTAACACATTTGAAAAAGTAAACTATAAACAGACAAAAGTTGACATCACTAGTCAGAGTCATAAACTATTTTTGTTAATTATTAAACACTGCCCTACCCTAAGATTTGGTATACCCTAAGATTTGGTATAGTGGGTGCATTCACAAACACCTAATTGCACATAACCATCACACTTAGACCCGGAACAATAATTTGTGAATCACACAAAGAATTGTTTGAAGTAACAAATAAGGCAGGTCCTGGTCTTGTAAAACCAGCTCTGCCAACCTCTGGTAGTAGGTACGATTTATTTAAATTCTCATAAAATCATAAAAATATTCATTCATATTTTAACCGCGAAAAACGTGTTGTTGTAGGTCAGTAACTATAGGTACTTACTACCAAATAAATTGTTTATGTCCACACGGGCGCATCAAACCGGCTCGATCCCCAGCTAAGCAATAAAAAAAAACTGAGTTCCATGATTACCTGGATGCAATATTACGTTCGTCCTATACAACTCTTGAAACAAAGAAAAAAAGAGAAAGAAAATATTTTTGTTCTGACTCATTTGTTTTCACGAGAAACATGAGATTCGTATTCGCAGTAATAATTTGTCTGACCTAGGGAATCCACAGACGTGTTGCTCGGCGACCGCTTCTTCGTGTATATTTGTACCGACATATAATTAACGCGTTTGCGACTGAACGAACCCCGTTTTTCCTCCCCGACCCGTAGCCTGCACGTGCTTTGCTTGTTGCCCCCAATTAATTAACTGTACAGATTCAGTTGTCCCTTGTAAGTTTTAGCCCTCCCTTAGTAACACACTAAGCCGATTTGTTCCCCACTAGGGGGTATAATTAAAAACAGTTAGGTACAAAAGATACAAATTATAAGTATGTAGTGATATACCTCCGCGTTCGTTAAAAATGATGCCTAAATAATAATAGACTGACAACGAAATTATTCAATTTAATAATTGCTTGCATTGGGACTTTGATATACATTGACACGTTTAGACCGCACACGCACAACAACCAACCACCACGCGCGTTTTTACTCTCGTTGAAATATGTTTCATGTAATTTGAGTCTTAAGACAAATAAACTGATTTTAAATAGCATTTGTCAAAGTCCACGCCGCGGTCGCGGTGCAACGCGGGCGCAACGTGGGCGCAAAGCGGGCGCAACGTGGGCGCAAACCAGGCGCAACATGACAATTCAATCTGACATCTATTTATGTGTCATAAGACTCAAATTGTATAAAACAAATTTCAACTAATAAAACGCGTGGCGTGCCGTGTTGCGTGCGTGTCATCTGGATGTACCCGAACCAATGCATAAACTTACGTATCTGTATGTGTTTAAGTACTAATAGTAACTAAAATCAAGGAGTTTGACTAAATGTCTTAGTAATAGCTTGGGTCCATGAAACTTCTAGGCTGCACTAAATACCAACATCCGTGTATTAATATTGACTGTTTTGCACGTTTATCTACTTACTTATCCCCAAGTTTTCTGGGTGATCTTCTTGTATATTTCTTTTAGCTATTAACTAATAAAACAAATATTGTTCTAGCATTCTACAGAAAGGATCATTTGAGGAAACATTTGCAAACACACACGAAAGTGTTTCTTGAGCAGAATGGAGAATTAGTTGGGGAACAGGTGATGGTGGAGATAAAGCAGGAGATACTGGACGAATACAGCGCGCCACAAGGCGCTGACGTCGGTGAAGAAAATCCCGCCCCCAACAACAATCAGGTAAGCCCTCTTAACTAACACAAATCTATACTATAAACTTAAGCTACCTATACCATAAATTTACTTTAACATAAGGAAAGATTTAGTTGTTTTTTGTATTCAATACGCTCCATAATTACATAACCGATTTTAAAAATTCTTTCGCTGTTAAAAATATACGGTATTTCCGGTGAACATAAGCTAAGGTGGTGAAACAGCGCGGCACAGCTAGAGACCTACTTAAAATACATGGTGTATTTTTCCTGACTTAGAAATTGATTAACAAACTTCATTCTTATTTAGTAGCGTTTATTTAATATTACTGTAAGAATAGGGCCTTGACTATCATCCACGTGTATTTTTTTTATCAACCTTAAACCACCCCTTCCTTCAACGTAGTGATGTTTTAAACACCCCCCTTGCGCCCAAACTCCACGTGTATTTTTAACTGACTTCAAAAATCAAAGTAGGTTCTTAATTCTTAGTATTGTTACCGTTTTCTTGTTTTTTAAAAATTTTATAGACGTCAGGTCGTGAATCAAGGACGTGGCTTTTTATTTCTTTTTTAACAAAATAACGTGATGTTTTAATTTTAACCCAAAATTTTTCCTTACTTGTGTTGAAGGTTCAGAATTTTCGTGTTTTTTTCCTTTGTTTAGGTTTTAATTATAATTTTATGTCTCGTAATTTCTTTCTAAATCGTTCGAATTGAATTGAAACTTTAAAACCGAGACCACAAGATTTAGCTAAAGTTACATGTTAGCCATATTACGAAATACTGCCTATGAAGGATATCGGAGATGTGAAGCAGGCGTTCGTATTAAACCCTACACGCCCACCCGTGGTACGGGTAGATGGGTACCCGATCTCGGGGTAATCCCGACAGGCTTCGCTCGTTGTTTTGCTCAGACCGGCTTGGGAACATCTGTCCTCCAATGACCGCCGGGCATAAGGCGTCATTTTGCGATGAAAAAAATCACTTGACTCAGATTCTGTGCACAATTTGTAAGGCTTTATCGTTGGTACCTACTATACACTTGTGATAAGTTTTTTGTCACTGTTTGTTTCATATTTAGTGGAAGATATTTGCTTTAACGATCTCCTTAATGTTATGAAGGATACGTCATCATACGTCTATGCGTTTCCACATCCTTTTCCATAAGTGAAAATTGCGTGGTGCTAATAATAATTGTATGATATCTCTTTTTTAGATTAAGACAGAAGAAAAATTGAACGCGTGCGACCAATTTATAATATCAGCTCCCAGACCTTTTAAATGTCCGCTTTGCAAGAAATCGTATAAGAGAAAGGATCATCTCAAGATACACAGCTGGACACAT